CACCTCTTGTCCGCCCTGCACGCGCACGAGGCAATGACACACAATGAGCCAGATTGCCGCCATTGACGCGGGGCGAGTGAGACGAGACAAGACACCGTGTCAGTGCATGCAGCCAGGCAGGCAACAACCCAGGCGAGCAGCTCTTTCTCCCTCTCCGCAAATCTCCACCCCGGACGGCGGACATTTGGAGAGACCGTGACCCCCCCTCCTCCGCTCGGGACCTCGCACAAATCGCGGGCCAACAAGTTATGCGCGTCCCCATCGGGATTTCGGAGCCGAAAGAACGTGCATCCGCACAACAAGGTATGGCAGTAAAGTTTTACGGGCGCGGGACCCCTGAAGGGCGGGTGCGGGTGCGTGCTCACGCGCGCGCGACGGGGTTGGCTGCGGAGAAGGGGAACAAGAGCGCTGCGGAACGGGAACAGACGACGACCGGGGGGGGGGGCCCAGACCCAGGAGGTCAACTCAATGGGCTGACCAGTGGTGCATCCTCGTCGGGAGGCAGGGCGAGCCCGAACCCGGGGGTGCGGACCACGGGGGACGGTGGCGGCGACGACGACGACGACGATCGCAGAACGGACGGAGAAGGGCGGTGGAAGCTGCGCTGTGCCGCTCGATTGCACACGCTGCACGATGGAGAGCAGAGCAGCTGGTCAGGGGTGGTGATGCCAAGGTGACGCGAGTGCGAGCAGCAGGGGGCCCCGGGCGGGCGGCCAGGCCCAACGAGACACATTCATGACATTTGTGCAGACGGGCATCTCGTTGGCTCGTTTTCCCGCTCGGGTTGTCGCCCTCTCTCCTCGTCGCATTCGCTCGCTCATCGGGCGCCGGCTCGGCGGCGGCGGTCAATATACGTGTACTCCGCACTACATGCGTATGAGCGCACCGAGCAGCAGCAGCAGCACGTCGTCGCCAAGGCGGGGATCGCTCCCTGCAGGCGGGCGGCTCATCATCATCGTGTTTGCAAATGAAGCAAGGCAGGGCATGCGTGCGTGCGTGCGTGCGTGCGTGCGTGTTTTGGTACGGAGAATGCTTTTCGCTGATCACACAGCCCAGCCCTCTGGGCAAGGACATGGGCGCGAGCGGGAGTCATCTCGGTGCCCGAGAGTCCACGCACGTGTTTGTGCCGTAGAGGGAGAGGGAGACGAAGGTGCGATGGACGATGAGGCTTGGACTTGAGGTGTGTGCGAGGTCAGCTGCCGTATGGGTCGAGCGCGGAGCGGCATGCATCCGCGTCTTGAATACCTCGTTGATGGCCTGACGCTCCGCGTGTTGGATATTGATGTCTATACGTCGAGGATTGAGGGTCGACGCCGTGCACGTACGGTATTTCGATACAAGCCGTAATCTCTGTGTATCATACATCGGCAACAGGTCCTCTGAGCTATCGAGAGGCTCCTGCGCTATCGAGAGGCTCCTGCGCCAGGGATCGTGGACCGACGCCTCCACGGTGCGATTACAGCATGCGTCTTTCTTGCGTCCAGCCCATGAGCCAAGTCACAGCACCGTACCTGCTGCATTGCGGACGAAGCCGCACAAACGACTCGCGCATCCACCACAGCCCCGCGCGGCCCCTGGACCTTGGCAACCCCCGAACGACAGAAGCGCACCCACGCACCCACGCACGCACATTTGACGCACCCAAGAACCTTCAAGGTTTGGAGCCACGTCCCGCAATCAAGGCAGCGCCGCCCGCTAGTTGCCCCCTCGCATTCCAGGGCCAGATACTAACGTTGCTGTACTTCTTCTGTTTCCTGCATGTGCTTGCGGGCGGTGGTGGTGGTGGTGGTGGTGGTGGTGCCTGTTCGGCCCCGGCAGATAGACTTGACTTTGGGGCGCCGCCCGTTTATGCTCGCGCCCGCGGCAACTCTGATGCAAATCGCGGCCATGCGGTTGGCGAGGAGGAGGAGGAGGAAGAGGGGATCGAATCCTCTACGTATCGCAATGCTTGTCTCCCGCCTCATACAGATAGAATTCTCGTTAGCTCGTTGCTGTACCCGTTGCCGTGCTTTGCTTCGAGATGCGATTTGCATGTATCGCGGCCGTGGATGGCCATTTCCCGATGCGGCAATCGGACCATCCCGCGGCGCGTCGCCCCTCATTGGGCGCAGGCACTTTCACGATTTGAGGCTGGCCGCACGCCCACCGTCCTCGCAGCGCCAGCGAAGTATCGACGCTGCATTCCCTGCAGCAGAAGCTACCTGCACCACGACCGCCGCGCCCCGCTCCTCCTCCTCCTCCGAGAATGAGGCCCCCCCAGCGAACCGAACCGGGGGGCTCCACGCAGGTCTCCACAATTCCCGGAGCTTGTCAAGAGCCCGAACGCCGGGAGTCGCTTTTCCGTAAAGTCGCCGGCTCGCTGTTTTTTCTTGGTCAACTTCTTGTCCGTGCAGGTGGTGGTGCTGCTGCCAAGCTGTCCACTGCCATGTCTCGTCCGCCGTGCTTGGCGCCCTGGTCGACGTGACGACGATGGCGACGTGTGGCGGGCTGCGCCCCGTTGGTCGTTTGTGCGTTATTGCAGTAGGTATGTATGCCCGCGTGACTGACTGCGTCTGGTCATGGTTGTTGTCATCGTCGTCGTCGTTATTGGCGCCGTCCGGGGTTCGGGGGGCGTGATGTGTATTCACGGCCGGGTTGAACCGCAGCCGTTATGTGTGTGCGAATACGTATTATACGGCACGCACTTTGTCCGCACAACGCGTAAGCACCACGCACCGGACGAGGCTGCTCCGTATTCGCCATGCCCCGGAGTCATTCCCTTCATTCACGCAGCCCGTGCCAGGCAGGCTCTTGCAGTCCGCGGCGGGCATGTCGTGAGTGAGTCCCACGCACGCCCGCACAGACCAGGGGGCAGGCAGCTCATTGTCCCGCCGCCCCCATTGACGCCCATGCTCACGACTTTCAAGGCAACAGACAACACAACCCGGGATTTGCATCCAACTTGCTACGAAAGCCGCCCAGCCCAGCCTTGACCAGTCCGACGGCGCGCGTCTGCGCGTCTGCGGGGAAGAGACAATATCAAAATGAAAAATCAAGGCACCGCACCGCACCGCACCGCACCGCACCGGCGCACCGGGAGCAAGGCGGCCAACCGAGCCGAAAAAGCTTCTTGGCGGGCGGGATGCAAGTGCCGTGCATGCACTTTGCCAAATGGCCAGCTTAGCAAAGCCTGAGTAACAAGCGCGTGTCGTGCTGGCTGGTGGCCCCTCCATTCATTCCCCCTCCACTCCCCTTCTTCGGCCGCCGGCAAGGGGGAGCCCCAATCCACCGGGCGCGCGAGCTTGCTGACTGACGCTGTTGTGTGGGATAGAGCGAGCGCAGCTGGGCAGACAGAGGCAGACCATTTGAGCTTGATTATTTTAGCTCGGGGCTGCGTTACCGCCCCGTTGGGTTTGGTTCTGGTGCCCGGTGGCTGAGGAGGGCGGGGCTGCCGATGGGGTTGGAGGGATGGATGATGGCATGGGAATGGATGACGATGCGACTGTTGCAGCAAGCTGTGTGTCCCCAGCTCCAGCTCCAGCTACGCACAACACCAGTAAGAACGGGACGACCGCAACAGCGCCAGTGGCAGTAGCTGAAAGCTTCCCGCTCTCCGTTTCTGTAGCAGAATCGTGGGTTTAGTGACATTCGCCGGGCTAGGGAGGCACAAAAACTGTTTCGTTCTCCACGTCAATGGCCGATTTGCGCAATCGATGGCCAACCGACATCGATACGTCGGAAACGGACATGGCACGGCAATGGGCATTCTGGCAATTGCGTTTTGACGGGAACTGGTCCGTCTCTCATTGACTCGCTCACTCACGCAAATCAAGTGACGGTGGATCTCCCCTCGAGCCAACCATCCGACTTACACCCATCTCGTAGTCCGTAGGCCAAATGTACATCCCGCCTTTCCTGCTGCTGCTATCAATTGCCCATCGCATTCTCGCATTGGCCATGGGCAGATCTGCACCGTCGCAGCCCTAGCGTGCGCATCGCGATCCGGGGCAACGCAACCCCCCTTGTCCCGGTGAAATCACCATCATGTCAAAACACGACACGCGGCATTCGACGCCCGACTGGGCCCCCAGGACCGCTGCCCAAGCGCAAGCAGGCACGCCCGCCAAGGCGACTGACTGACTGGAGCTCCGTTGCTCTGTCCCATCTGCCGAGGCGCAGGAGTGCTCCGCCGCGTGATGATGCGCCTCCTTCTCTCCCATTACGGTCCTGTGCCCCTGCGCCCTGGGATGAGGCCCGTCTGCCCAGGCCGCGCGCCAAGGTGCTCTGCCAGCCAAGGCTGTACGCAAAAACCACTCCAAGGCGCAGTTCCCGCCGACTGCACGATGCAAGCCTCCCCCCAATCACGTCACTGCGTCACGCATCATCGACTCTCGACAAACATGGGGGAACTTCATTGTGCTCTGACCAACAGCGTGGACAAGTCAAAATCGTCTTTTTGTCGGTTTGAACACTGAAATCTGGCGGCTTTGTGCCTGCGCGTTGTGTTGTGTGTGTGTGAGTGCGTTGCTTCTCCCGTCTCTATCGTCTGCCCTGGTGCCTGTCCCGGCCCTGAAACCCCGAAGTGCCCATCCCACGCGAGACCGCCCCATCTCCCGTTCTTTGCAAAACGCCTGGCCCCCGTCGGACATGAAAAACAGAAAAATAGAGATTCGTATGCCGCCGTGTCATGTCCCCAGTAAAATGAAATCAAAAAAAAAAAAATACCCCGAAGTGAAATCGTGTGGCATTAACAGAGCTCCCCCATTCCACTTTGAAACGCCTCCCTCGGCCATGGGCACAGCCCACCGGCCATGCCCGACATAATCCAATTCGAGTTGGCCGCCGCCACCACCCTCCGGCGCAGAAAAGTCAAATAGCGTACCCGCGATATTAGCTGCGATGAGGGGGAGGGCTTCACCGCGGGGGGTGGTGAATAAGCCGTGTGTAGTAAAGTCGTATGTGCGCGAATCGAGTTATGTGACAGGGTGCGTGCGGCGGCAGCAGCGGTAGTGCCCGCCCAATTATAGCCGCATGGCCTCGCCGTCGAAGCCGGCGTAGATCATGGGGTCGTTGATGCCCATCATGACGTCCGGGTTCTGCACCGACAGGATGTCGGGCTTGATGCCGTAGTCGCCGTCGACGAGGCCCTGGTTCAGGACGTTGAGGCCCTGCAGCCCGCCCTGGAAGAACTCGAGGCTCAGGTCGCCCGGCTTGCTGCTGGGCGGCAGGCCGGACCAGACCTGGAAGCTCTGCGAGCTCTGCGGCTGCGAGGGGAAGAAGGCGCCCGTGTCGATGTCGGTCGTCGGGCTCAGCTCGTAGTCGGTCGCCGTCGTGCCGGCCGAGTGCGGCGACATAGTCAGGCTGCTGCTGGCGCCGTGGCGGCCGCCAAACGCCTCGCTGCGGTAGTTTTGCGAGATGCCGCCGAAGCGGTAGTCCTGCTCGCTATCTGAGTGCTCAAACTCAGAGGACGAAGCGCGGTCGTGGCGGTCCTGCTGCTGGGAGGCCTGTTGCGTGGATGGCTGGTTCTGCTGCTGCTCCTCGAGCTGGCGGGCGAGCTCGACCATGCCGGCCTCGTCCTCGGGGAAGACGGAGTGCACGGGCAGGTCGATGTCGCTGTTGGGGCGGATGCACCCGAGCTTCTGGGCGATGTTGTGGATCACGGGCTGGCCGCGGTCGTTGAGCTCGGGCTCGCCCAGTGTCCAGGGCTGCGAGTTGCGGACCATGGAGTAGAGCTTGTGGACGGTGGCGATGAGGGCGAACTGCGTGTTCTCGAGCACCTCGGCGTAGCTGTCATGGGGACTTCTCGTCAGCTAAATGCCCTGCCAGTCAAAAGGGAGAATGTGTCCGACGTACCCCTTGGGCAATTGCTTGTACTCGACCTTTTTGCGGACGCCCGCTGTGCAGACGACGCCGTCGTCCTTGCACCGCTTACACGGGAACTCGCCATCGCACTGCCAGCCCGTTAGTGACCTGTCCCCGCGCTGCCCCCAATCAGACGAAGCCGGTTGCGTACCTTGGTCTTCTTCATTCTACACCGCTCGCAGGCCTTCCATACGCGCTTATGTCGGCCGTCCATGCCGGCGGCGTGGGTGACGTGGTCGTGGTGGTGAGCGGCGGCGACGCCCGAGTTGGCGCGCTTGGAGGCCCGATTGGAGGGCTTGGTGGATTTGCTGCTGCTCGACGTCGACGATGACTTTCTGCCCTGCTTGCCCTCCTCCGCCGGCGGCGAAGGTAAATTATGTGATCCCATGGCAGGGTATGTGTGTCGTGGTAGTGAGGGTGTGTGTTGGTATTTCGAGGTTCGTTCGTGAGAGGCGGATGGTGCGTCGTGTCAAGGGCAGAGCTCGACGTGTGAATGTGTGCGAGAGTGAGAGTGACGCAGGACGATGAATGGATGCTGGGCAGTGAGGAGTGACGACGAGGTGTGACGAGTGCCTCGTATAAGTAGAAGAGTGCACGGTATGTGTGTGTGAGAGGAGTGCGTGCGTGGCGTGGCTGTGGCTACTACGAGGTATGTATAAGAAACCACGAGGTAATGCACAGGCTGGATGTTGTCATGTATGTATGTAAGACGGGATTCAAGAGGCAGCGGCAGGGCATGCGAGAAGAGGTGGTGGCCCCGGCCCGGGATATATAAACAAGGCACGCAGAGGGTATGCGGGCCGGCGTTGGGTCAATGAATGACTCGACGGGCAGGCCTAGGGGAGCTTAATAATGGAACGGGAAAGTGCCCAGGCGTCGAGGGGATGGATGATGTGACAGTCTCGGAGCCTTTATTAATGTTCTGCACGGAGGCCGGTTGCGGGTGCGGGTGCGGGTTCTGGGTTTTCGACTGGGGCCCTTGGGCTTGGGTTCCCCATCCATCCATCCATCCATCCATCCATCCATCATCGTCCATCAATGGCATCCCTCCATCCCCTCCTCCATCCCATCCCATCCATGATCCCGCCAATGCACAGCGCGGCCGTGGGCCGTTTTCTTTCGAGCAGCCCGGGCCTGGCGCTGGGTCTGGGTCGGGGACTGTGGGTGGGCGAGCGAGCGAGCGAGCCTGCGAGGCGGGCGGGCTGGCGGGCGGGCGTGTAAGCTCACGGCGACGCGGGAACCCGGACGGAGGACACGACTGGGTATTCCGTACATGGCACCAGGCAGGCGGGCCAAGCTGGGCCCCATGTACGGGTTACTACCGCCTCGATGATGGGTGGATGGGGCCCGGGAATTTTTGGCTTCGGCGAGCAGGATGAAGCCGCCGCCGCGGCGGGCAAGCCCCCAGCCCCAGCCCAGCGCATTCCCAGTGGGCGGCGGCGGAACGTTGCTCAGTAGCGAGCGAGCGAGCCAGCGACAGAGAGAGAGAGAGGGACCACAGATGATGGGCGCTGGCGCCGGGCGCGCGGCGAAAAGGGGGGGCGTGCCGGGGGGCGTGGACTTAGCGGTGTCGGTGCAGAGTTTATGTCCGAACTGGCGAGAGAGGGGCGGACAGGGGTTCCGCTGCGAGGGTGGGCCCACGGGCAATCCCCCCCCCCCTCCCCCTTCATCGGGTTGCTTGTGAGGTGCTCGCCGCGAAATGGGTACTCGTACTCGTGCAAGTAGCATCACCAGAATGAGTCCAAGTGAGTCCCATCAGGAGCAGCTGCGTCGCTGCTATCGTTCGACGTCATGCTGTACCATGGCCCTGCTGTTGCTGCTGCCCACATATGCACGTAGACTCGCACTACACCTAGGTGGCCCTGTCTGGGACGGTCCAGCGGCAGACGCAACCCGAGCCCGTTGCGAGAAGCATCAGCACATCCCATCCATCAGAGCGACAGCATCAGTGCATTGGATCGTTGGCGCGCCGTCCGCCCACCTCCACCCCGACAGGCAGCCCAGACCAGCCCAGCCCAGCCCAGCGCTGAGGCTCGCCCTGGGGAGCCCTGTCCTCCACTGGCGGGCCACCACCTCTTCCATCATTACAGGGCACAGGGCCCCAGCATAACAGCAACCCGAGCCCGCCAACGCCGCTGCCCGCTCAGCACCAGCACCACCACCAACCTAACAGCCGACACCTCTCGGCAGCAGCAGAAACACAAAAAACCACCCGAGAGGCCATGCATGTAGTTCCATTGGCCAGCCTCGCAAACTCCGCCGCGACGCCGCGGACTTGGGATGCCGTGCCGGGCGGGTCGCCCGCCGGTCCGCTTATACAAGCGGAAGCACACCAGCAGCGCGCGCCCGCGTTTTTTTTTTATGCACGCGGCTCATTTTCTTAATTGTGGGATCTCACTCGATCGACGACTCGCCCGAGAGGAAGTGATGCAATGCCAGACCATGGCGGCACCGACGCAGGGACGGAGCTACATCCATAGGGAAGAAAAAACTGTTCCACGGACACGGAGATTCCACCACCCCCTCCCTCCCCCTAACCCCGGAGGCGCCCCCCTTTGTGGCCCTGGCACGAGACCACATGGCTGGTGGTTTTCATTCGCAGCCCGCGCCCACGGCAGTAGGGGACGCAGAAGCAGTACAGAAGGAGGAGGAGAAACGAAAAACTGCCTGCCGCGAGGGATGACGACGGCTCCTGGGGAGGGTGCTCGCCCGCCGGTCTGACTGGGCGCCCTGGGGGTTTGGGTTTCGCGTCCAGGGCTCCAGGCCCCAGCCACCGGGGACTCGCTTCGTACACTACGGCGGTGGTTTCGCTTCAGCGCGGGAATGTGAGGTGAGCGAGCGCCAACCCCAGGTGCCCAGGCGGCTGGTGGGTAGGTAGGTAGGCTGTCAGCAACGCGCCAATGCACCATCAGCAATCAGCAATCAGCAACCGGGGGCCATCAGCATCATCAGCATCCATCAGCGTGCTGTCATCCGCCATCAGCCCAGGTGCCACAGCCTTGGGAAGCGCTAAGGCAGCCCACCCCCGGCGCCCCGCCTGGGCAGCAGCACCAGCGGCAGCAGCATAGGCTACCTTGCCTTGCCTGCGTGCTTGGCTGCTGCTGGGCTGGCACGCCGCATACCTACAGTGCCCACGATGCCACTGCCTACCCACACCGCACGCGCTACGGGGGCCCGTACCTACATGGAGGATGGAGGAGGCGCCGCGATGCAAACGGTGGCAGCGGTGGCTCAGCGTGTAAAAATACCTTTGATACTATTGCCCTTGGCCTGGGCTGGCCTCGCACGATCCACGCCTCGCCTCGAAATACTCATCAAACGTGCTCGCGTATCGTCCATGACGTCCTGTGCTGGGTGACTGCATCGCCGTCGTAGCTGCGCATCGCATCGTCGCCCGTCCCCCCGACCCGTAGCATCGCAGGCTATCTTCGTACATGATTGCAGCATTGCCCTCTACAGACCCATCACGAGTCACGAATGGCACCGGCCCCGTAGCTCCATGACAAAATGACAATGACGCTGGAGCATAACGCATACCACAAACGCACGCACAACGGCCGCAACAACAACGGTAATGCCAGCACTAGCACGCAGGAGGCAGCAGCAGCACCCATAGAAGAGGCTCTGGCACTACCCTCGTAGCCTGGGCTTAGACTCGCGGTGGCGCGGCGGAGCTCGCACGAGCTGCTGCCGCCACGGGAGCCAGCCCGTTGCGCTGGGGCTGGGCTTGGGTGCTGGCATAGGTAGGTGGCCCTGTATACTGTAAGGTGGCGCTGGCTGGGCGCGGGAGCGCCGAGAGCAGTCGGCCCCGACGAGCGCTGCTGCCCGCCCGCGACACGCTCGTTCGCTGCTGCCGCGAACAGAGTTTCCGCTACCGTTGCGCCTCGCGCGGCCGGGTGTGTGCTGGGCCAGCCCCAAGGAGTCTCAGCAGCAGGCTCGTTGGTGAAAATGCGATGCGTCTCGATGTGCCGCTTGTGTGCGTGCGTACGAGCACGGCACGGTGTCGGCAAGCGTTTGTGCTTTCAAGCTGGTGGTACCTCGTAAGGCGGTCGATGTGCGATGCGTGTGTCCCTCTTCAGCACCAGTACCGTTTTGGTCCACAGCGGGTTTTCCACAGGGCCACCACCACCACCTAGGTCGCCCAGGGAGGGAGGGACCCCCATCGATCGGCACGGACATGGGGGTGTCCATGCAAAGCGCCCTGGAATCATCGACATGGAGCTCCCTCACCGACGACGACAACGCAGACGGGGTCCAGATCACCAACCTGCCAAGGCCCATCTGGCGATGTCTGCATTGCCGTTTGGCAACTCGGGCTCTCAATGCGGGACAATGCTGCCCGTCTGCCGGCGCCAGAACAAAAACACTCCTTCCTGTGCGGGCATCAAGACGCAGAAGAATTCCTCCGTCGAACCAGGACCCCCGGCCGTCCGTCAGCAACAAGCGGACGCCCGCCCGCACGCAAACGCAACCAGGGGGCGCGGAATGGAAGCCATCGTGCGTGCCTCCAGAGGTGGAATTCAAGACGCCGTGCCCGTGTGCGTCCGCTCATCGAAGCCAAGCCAACAGCGAGAGGGGGTGCCACCACCGTAACCGTAGTATCAAGTAGATCAGACGCAAACCGAATCAAGGACAGCGGGAAGCAAAGCTTGCCCGCTTCTTTTCCGTCCTCCTCGCAGCCGTTTAAGCTCGCCAAGCGCGGTGTTCCCAAGCGAGCTGCTTCTTTTTCTTCCGTTGCCCATTCCCGCAAAAGCGAAAAAAACGGGTTTCCCATCAAGGGCATCGTCGCGGTGCGATTCGCAGGCAGCGCCTTTCGTCGATATGCTTGCCGAACGAGGTCTCCCCCCTCCCCCCGCCGCCGGCGTCTTCAGCCTCAAAACCCAGTTTCCGAAGGAGCACCACTTCCATTCCCACTCTTAACCACATCCAGGTAGTAGTAATAGTACAGCATAGTAAGAGGAGCCGTCGTTACTCGATTATCTCTACGCGGGCGCCCGTTTTTTTGCCCTTGCGCCGCCGTTCCGCCAATCCAAAAACACCCCGCAACGTCGCGCAATTGGATATCTTCCAGGTTGTCGTTTGCCTGCCCTGTTTTTTGCGTTGGCTCTCTGGAACGCCGGAATCGGGGGGCCATCTCGAGGGCAAAAACAGGCCACCTGCTTTTGCGTTTGGGAAAGATGGCTGGCCGTTGGGCGGCCCCGGGGGGATTGGTCGTCCTTGGCGAACACACGCTCACCCAGACGCATGCCCCTCAACGCATGTCGTCGTTCGTCCGCCTCATCTGGGGTCCTCCAGGGGGACGAGACAGGGCCCAGGGTGCGTTGCTGGTCAAGTGCTCATGCTCATGCTGCTGCTGCTCGTTGCCCATCTCGGATCCGTCCACGGACTTTGCAGGTTACGAGCGCGTGCGCGCGCGCGAGGTGACACATCACGGCGCTTGTGGAGCCCCGGCGATTTGCTATGCCCGACTCCGACCGAAATCCGCGGACGGTCAATCTCGCCCGCCGCCCGCGCTGTTCTGCTGCCGCCGCTGCAAGGCTGTTAGCTGATGTCGCAGTCGCTGCCTCCTGCCCGTCGCGGTAATTAGTTAGTGCCCTCCTCACTGTGCCCTCCTCACTGAGGTGCATTTCCCAGCATGTTTTGTTGTTGGTGCACAGCGCAGCATCCATCCATCCACCGGCAGTCAAGATGCCGATCTCGTCCTTGTGCAGGCTGGTCTGGTCGTCACCGTCGTCTCTCGTCTGGCTTGGCACTCCCCCCTTTCCCGCCTCCGCCCAAAAGCCAAGACGAGGTGAGCTGCGCAAGCTGCTGCGCGCGGGACTGGTGCTGATGCCCACCACCAACCATCTGACCTCCAAGCTTCCCTCCAGACGGTTGGCACTGCGTCCGTCTCCAGCACGGTGGTGGCGCCCGCTGGACCTGTCAAGCACTTGGCGGCAACCACTTCTCCCACTCCGCAACCACCAACCACAAGCCCGCCCGCCCAGGAGCGCCAACTCTATCGCCCAGGCCAAGCACATGCCGTCCCGTCGAAAACGACCTGCCCAGCTCTCCCGGCCCCAGGGCCCCAGCACCAGCAGCAGTAAAACCGATGCGAAAAAAGGCTATCGGGAAACCCAGGCCCTGACGGCTCTAGACTTTCAGCCCCGGATGGGCCAAGATAAGGCACCAGCCACAGCTCAAAGCCTAACGGCTGGAGGACGACGCAATGTCGCGACGGGCCACGGGCACAGACGGACGGACTGATTGACCGACTAACTGACTGACGTGACGGACTGGCACATGCTTGGCTGGGCTAGCTGTCGTGGACAGCGGACACAAGGCAGCCGTCAATCACATCGCATCATCGCATCACATTCACCAAAACCACCGGCTGGAGCATGTATCGCGGCCGGCCGCCCGGCGCCCAAGGTTTTTCTGGCGTGATTGATAGTGGATGATTACTGAGCCCCGCCCTCGTCGTGCCCCCTCCCCGGCTCGGTTCCCCCTTGCCGGGCGCCGCAGCGCGTTTCGGCCTAGGCTCACCGGGCCTCGCAGCGCTACGGCGAGCCTACGACGAGTGCGTGCGTCTGTGGGACAATATCGCCGCGGCGGGCCGCCAATGAGCGTCGGCACCGTCATCATCAGGTCAGCACCGCCATCCCAAGTTCTCGATCCATTCCATTCTCAAATCTGACGCTGCTGACGGGCGCTGGCGCTCGAGCAAGCACATGCATGCACCATGCATACTCGCACGCACACACGTATTGCACCGTTCTGCGAGTGACTCTTTTGTTTCTGCCGCGGTCCTCATGTACGTAAGCGACGGCCATGCACGAGAGCCGTTTACCCAGGCGATGCTTATGGCTTTTTTTTTTTTTCTTTCTCTTCCCCCGGCCGGTCGACGGTGCATGTGGCCCGTTGCTTCAAGCACGATTCGATTTTGGATTTTTCCACGAACTCCCTCGCCGTGTTCTGAAGCCCGCGCGCGGAACGAGAGCGCGCGCACCTTGCACATTTGTCCGTGGCGCCATGCATCCATGGAAGCACATGCCGACCCTCGCAGGACGTCGACCTGGAACCGTGGCACAGAACGGTGGCGGTTCGCCCCCCCTGCTAGGTGACCCCTTTGGGCCCAGACAGGACCCCTGGAGCGCATGTGCAGCAAGCCTCCGTGGCAGGTGGCTTGGGGGGGAGTCTTTGGCCGTTGGCTGGCGCTGGGTTGGATTACAAGGGCGTGGCGCGCGCGCGCGGCTGGGCTGCTGAATAATTGATTTGAAGATGGCGGATTTGGACGCGAAACCCTGATCGGCAGCGGCAGCGGTGCCGAAGGGGGCGGGCCCCGCCAGGCGGGAATAGGCGGGGCCCGGGCGGGAATAAGCGCGCAGGGCTGGAGCTGTCATCAGCCCAGCCAGCTTTGAGCCTGCGCCTGTGCTGTGCCGCTGCGGTGCGAGGCGAGTCGTGCTGTGTGTGCCCCAGCGGACGCGGTCTGGGCTCCCAACGACACTCGATGTTGGATGATGATGATGATGACGATGCTCCATCACGACGCTACTATTCTGGGGTCTACAATCCGACGAATTCGTTCGCCGTCTCGATCGCATTAACAGGAGTCGCGAGCTTGTGGCGAGGGCGTGCGTGCGAGACAGCTGGGTTTGACACCATCGAAAGCATGGAGGTCCCGGAGCTGTTATGACGCGCCTCCGTTACGCTGAGGTTCGCATTTGCGTTTTGCCCTGCCTTGCTGCTGCTGCGATGCCATACAATGCGATTTTGATGCCGCGCTCGGGCAACCTTGCTGCACAAGGCCCGCCGTCGCGCGGCTCGGCAGTTGGCCCGCATCGTCTGCGACGGCCTCGGCAGCCGGGACGCAGGCGCTCAAGAAACAGCAAGGCCGCACGCTCCGCGCCGACAACCACGACAATTGATGCTTCACGGTAGATGATTGGCTTTGCATTGCGATCCTCTGCCCGCCCGTGAGTGTCGTCGGTTGGTCGAAGAGGTTCCAAGTACTAGTGGTGATGACGAGACAATGCTGTCGCCCGACCCGCAACCCGCAAAACCTGCACTCCGGTCCAACCCAAGCTCCCGGGACCTCGAGTCTCGACTGCCCCCATCAACCCATCAACCCTTCAACAGGGAAACGCGCGCGAGCGTAAAAAGCGGTGCCTGCCTGCCTGTCCGCACCCATGCCTTTTCCTTTTCCAAAATGTTGGCGAGGGTTTCGCGCCGTCTCTGGTTTCGGGCAGCAAGGCCCCGTCCGCAGCGGGCTTTCAGGAGTCAAGCTCCGTGGACCAAAAAAACTCACACACAAACCACAATCCCGCACAATGGAGGGTCCACGGGACGCGGGTGGGAGAGAGGGTCCCGCCGCCCCGCTCTTTTTTCTTCGCGAGGGCCGAGGCTCCGAGTGGGGCCTCCGTCCCGCCCGCCGCCGCCGCAGTCGCTGGTGCTGCTGCATACTCGTAGGGTGCTGGTGGTGCCTGTGGGCGCGGTGACAGAGGTGGCTGCCCACTGGGCTGGCGCTCCAGACGCGGCAAGTCGCAGCGGCTGCGGTAGAGCTACCTGATTGAGTGCTACTATGCCCCGCGAGCGACAGGAACCCGCGACTTGCCCTGCATGCACTTGCAAGTGCCGTGAACGCCAAAAGCCTCAGCGCCTCGTGGCTCTGCCTCATCACGCATTTATTCCATCTCCGTTTACTAAACCAAAGTTGCCGTTGCCTGCCCCCGTCTGTCGGTCGGCGTTTATGCCAGCCTTGTCTCGCCATGGGCCCCCCCTTGTTCGCGCACAATAATGGCTGTTCGGCCGCTTCACTCACGCAAACTTGGTGACGCACCTGCGGAATGACGACCGTCCTCTCGCGCCTTGAGGCGTTGTTTTCCCCCATCCCCCGTCAGGTCGAATCCTTTGAACACGGACAAGCCCAGCGGTTTGGTACACGCCCCCTCCCTTTTCCCTTCCCCGGCTCCCTGCCCCCCCTCCACCTCCTCATATGCGCCCTACCTCGATTTTCTTTTCCTATTTTTTGTTTTGTTGGTGGTGGTTCGGCTCTGAATTCTGATATCGTCATCCGCCTCCACCCACCACCACCCTCCCTGGCTGTGGGCTCTCCGGCTCCGATCCCGTGGAGACGCTGAGAAGCCGAGCCTGCCCCGGCCGCCCAGCGCAGCACACCCTTGGTACGGTACCTACCTAACCTGCGCGGTACGACCGGCTCCACCCTTGCCTTGCCCTGCGGTGGGTGGTGCGCCAGGCCCAGCCGCTCTCCTGCGCCCCCAAGTGCCGGGCTTCCATGCGGCGTTCTGGAAGGCCAGAGCGAGAGGGGTGCCATGCGGGATGCTTACGCGACTGCCGTGATGCCGAGCTTCGGCGCTCGCGAACGTTGTTTGGGTCCTGCTGCTACGCCCGGCCCGTCAGCCCTTGCGCTCTGACGGGCGTTTTCCTCTACCTACCTACTGCTGCCGTTGCTTCCAACCCCGCGCCGCCTTTCTCCGTGTCTCACGGCCGGCTCTCGACATCCGGCGGGGGGTCCTTTTGATGCTCGTCCGGCACGGAAGACGCCGTATGAGTGAGCGTTGCGTCTTACGGCTCCGTGACGGGGGCGCGGTGCGGTGCGGCGCGGCGCAAACTGCCCCTCTCGTCATCATCATCATCACGGCTGCCGGCGCCGACAGCCCTCGAGCAGTGAAGGCTGGTGCCGATGGCCGTGATGATGATGATGATGATGATGATGATGCGCCCTCCCCGCCCCGGGCGGTTCTGCTGCCCCCGTGATGCTTTGCATGGCCTTTCTCCGCGGGGCCGTTTTTTCTTCACCTGCATGTACTAAGAATCAACCACCACCCGGCCCAAGCCAGTGTGTGCATCCCGCCGTAGCGCGACCCCTGGGCCTTGCCTGGTCCCAAACCCCGGTTCTGCAACGGCCAGGTCGGTCGCGGGGGAGGCTTGCATGAGGCGGTCGGTCGGTCGCGTGGTGGTGAGTGAGGGTTGAGGGACCAGCCAGCGCACATGCGACAACGGGCGCTGGGCTGGGCTGGGCTGGTCTGCTGTGGCTGCCCCCCTTCGCGCCTCCAACGGCGACTTCGGGTGCCGACCGGCATCTTTTTGCGCCGCCGCGTTGCCGCCCGCCCGCCCGCCGTCTGCCCGGCGGAAACCCACCACCCACGGGCCACGGCCACCACCACCACCTACCACTCGTTGCGTTTGCCGAGCTTCGCCCAGGCCAATGCCGCGCCCGGGTCCCTGCCTCTCTTGGTGTCTCGCAGGGCTGGCTGGCTGGCAGAGGCAAGATGGCTGGACGGGCGCCCTTTCAAGGTTTACAGGTCCCACCAATCGCCCGCCCATGCCCATTCTGGAGCCATGCAACGGTCGGCGCCGCTCTGTCTCGTCCGCCGTGACTCTGTCTGCCGGCTGTCGCCCCTCCCCCTGGCCGACGACCACGACGATGTCATGCCTCGCATTGTCGCTTTGCTCGCCGAGACGGCCCCGCCGCGCGGGCCTTGTTCTCCCCCCATGACCCTGAGAGCGGCGCTCTCCTCCCGGCCATGCTTCTTCTGGGCCAAGTGCGCCGCCCTCGATCTGGCCATGTAACGAGAACAAGCCGGGACGCGCTCAAATGCCTCACGTCTGCCGGGCGCAACAACGAAACCGGGGGGGTCAGCTGTCCCTGAATGAACGAACCCATGGACCCTCGCCTTGATTGGGGGTCCTGCACGGAAATAACGACAATGATGATTTCACGTCGCACCCACGCAACGGCGGCGGGCTCGCTCATACGAGCAAAACACCGGCACGGCGCGCGCATGCACATTGGACAATTCGCATCGCCCAGCAGCGCACGCACAAAGATCATCATTGCAGGGGACAGGGAGGGCCCCTGGGAGGGAGGGAGGGAGGCGGCCGTCTAAGTCCGATCTCGCGGGCCCACGCCGCCCCAGTCGGGTCGGGAAGCTGTTCGGCAACCCGGGCGGGTACCCGGGCATGGGTGGCTTCCAGAACGCCGACCCTGTTTCCCGAGCCCGCTTAGATGCGTGTGCTGGCTTCGCTTTGCTGCTTGCTGGCTTGCTGCTTGATCGAGTCGAGCGTTGAGGCCATTCCGCTGCTGCGGCGATGGCGGTTTGGAGGCTTGATGTTAGGTGAAGCCATGAAGCCATGGCGTGTTGTCTTTTCCGCACTTTTTTTCTTCTCGATGCCCATCGTCCAGGTCGTGGTTCCTGGCCATGCCCCATGCCAATGTCGTGTGACGCGACACAAGGCGCTGTTGACATGTCGACATGCCAGTCTTGGCCTTGCAAGTCCTTGTCGTCCGACTATCACCGTCGTCAGGATCGCCCCGTCACTACGTGTGCCCCCCCTCTCCCCCGGCCGCCCGCCGTCCATCCATCCATCCATCATCATCAACCCCGTCGATCCAGTGATTGCCTCATCCTCGGTGCCGCGGTCGGTCGTCGCGCGTAAACATCCATCACCACCACCAAGCCCCCCGTCTGGAGAAGACCCCTCGACGACGACGACCGGTCTTTGCCCCATCTCCGACCCCGATGCACAAAATTAACACGGCTCGTGCCCTCCCCGTCGCTAGGAGGTGGGCCGTCGAACAAGGATCCGCTAGGGGGGGCGACAAAACGTGGTGCGATAAACCCCGACAACGTCCATGGAGTTTTGCACGCGCTACCGACTACCACCACCTACCAAAAACCCACTCGGCCGAGTCAGGCCTCCTGAAAAATTCCTGCGACTGCCCTGTCACAGGGCCCGCGATGCGTCTGCATTGCATTGTCCAATGCAGGATGCCGCGGGTAGTGACGTCCCGGCGGATCATCGTGTGCGTTGGCCAGCATGGACAGGGCCAAGAAGACCGTTTGTCCCCCCATCGTAGTGGCCCCCTTTTTGGGGCAACTGACGAGGTGTAAAGTCGCCGAGCCCCTGCCAGTGAGGCTGTCACCCTGTCACCGGGCGTTGACAGCTGGTGGGCTCCACCGCGACAACGACCAACGCTCGACCACTCACCGTGACATCATTGAGCCTGCGCGGTCGCATCTCGCGAACGGGCCAGCACGACGACCTGCACGTTCCGATGGCTCGCGATCTCGGCACTGCTCATTGCCCTCCTCCACGCCCCCCGTGGCCACCGCGGCCCATATCCGAAGCACACGGCGCAAAAGCCCGCGGACCATCTCGTCGTCTTCGTCCAACTCTGCATCAATCATCGTCCGATGCATTGACGTCGCAGCGCCCGCAACGGCCTGACTCGATCGATGCGTGTCGCCACAGGCACCGCTCGGTAGTCTCCGAGAAGCCAATGCAGCCCAAGGGTGGAAGCCAAGGCTCGCCGAGGCTCGGCAGCTCTGCCGTCGTGTCGCCGCGGACGAAAGGGGAGCCAGCGGGCGAGCAGAGTTCGCCGGCGCCATGGCCTGACGCCGTGGTGTTGCGCTCCCTCATCAGCGGGCGAGCGGCGAGTCCTTTCTCGTCGCTTGCAATGCCGAGGCTGTCCCGATGACATTCATTCGCCGCTTCTCAATACAGACAACAGTTTTTTTTCGTCGAGTCGCTTCAGCTCTCGAGATTGTGTCGTCACAGGGAGCCATTGAGTTGCAAAAACCCACACCGGAACATTTCCCGACCACCACGCGCGGGGGAAAACCGACGTTTAGACTTTGCGAGGTTAAATCGTCGTGGCGCCGCATTCCGCCGCAATGTTGGATCACTACCCGCTCTGGCAGGGGCCGCAACCCGCCGCCGCCAGGCCTTGAAGCCATCGCCAAAGCCTGATTGTGAGGAATCATCGGTCGTACGCCGATGCAGCGCAAACCCGTTGAGCCAGCCGCCAGCCGCCCCTCTCTTCAAAGCCAAACCCTCCTAGCGAGCGGGCTGCGCGCCTCGAAACTATCGACGGTGAGGCCAAGCCAAAGCCGGCTCCTGGCTTCCGAACCGAAGTCTTCGAGACGCCCTCTAGACGCGGCGCGCGCGCCCCACCTAGACGAACTTCCCGATCCGCTTCGGATGGCACCGATCTACGTTCAACGACGTGCTGTGCTAGTGTGCAGTTGGTAGTCAAGAGCGAAGGCGACGATGGATCTCATCCCACCGAGGGGAGTACGTCGTGATGGTGTTTGGCTATCGATGGCCTAGACGCTGGCCCCGTGGGAAAGGGTTGACATCATCCTCGTATCACCCCAGCGTGGCGGCCCTGGCCTCCACAGATGCAAGCAAGATCCGGCACGCGCAGAGTCTTGGGACGCTCGACAAGGTTTTCGCGCCAAACCATCTCCCAACGCCCCAGGAATTGGACGTGTGGCCAATCAACGAACCCGAGTTACATCTGGAGCAGACCGCAGCCTCCCGTTCCACTTACACGAGGACGACCAACGGCGACGCTACTGCGAGACATCAGCCCATCGCAGGGCGACGCACCACCGAGGCGAAAAATGCGCCTCCAACGGCCCTGGATCGTGAGGCATCGTCTCGCGCAAAAGGGGGCGTGCAGGTACGGCCTCTCTAGCTTAGATGTCGTTGAACAGCAGCATCCGCGGCTCCTCGTCCTCGCACACTGACCACGCCCACGCCGCGCTCGGCCAATATCCCAGCAGCGCAGAGTTCTCGAGCCCGTAGTTGGCCGGCTTGAAGAGCGTCGCATCACGGGCCCGGGTCTCGGCAACGGCATCTGGAGTCGCCAGCGCGAGGAAGTGGCTTCTCCTGGAGCCCTTCTCCAGCGATCTGGAACGTTACGTCGGTTAGTTCCGGACGAGCATCATCGCGGAGAGCCCCGTCTGCTTCCTCTTCGCCATCGGATCATGATCAGTCGTGACTTACAGCGCGTTGCCGAGCACGCCGTGGCAGAGGCTCGGCTCCTTCTTGAGAATGCCCTTGGCCCAGGTGACCTCGCGGCCCTTCTCAATGGCCTTGTCAAACCGTCCGGCGAACTCGGGGTAGTGAGGGCGCAGTGACTGCAGCGCAAAGACGTAGCCTGGCGCGCCGTGGCAGTATTGCACCCGTACGGCCGCCTCGCCGGCGTCGAGCGCCTTGGCTGTGTGTACCCAGTTGCCCTCGCTGTTCTGGAGGGCCAGGAGCTCCTCAAGCAGGCCGGTGAGCTCGGGGGCGAGCGACGGAACGCATAGGATAATCTGCGCCAGTGTGCCAATGTCGCCGTGAGGGGCGCCAAAATATCGCGCGCCGTTCCACAGCCAGTGGCCCTTGCCGTCGTCGTCCTTGTCCAAGATGCGGCGCGCGAGCTGCTTCACCGGCTCCTCGAGCAGGTCCGCACAGTCGGGCACCCAATGGCGCACCGCGCGCAGCATGTAGAGCATGCCCGCCCTGCCGTATATCATCTCGGCCGGGAACTTGTCTACGCCCTCTCCCGACGCCGGCTCGAGCAGTCTCGGCATGTGCGCGAGCAGATCTGTCACGTAGCGGCGGTCTTTGGTGACGCAGGCGCGCACGGCGTCGAGGGCGAGCACCTCGGCGACGATGCCGCAACACCCGTCCTCGAGGACGAGCGTCCCGCGGTCGCCCTCGGTGTACCTCTTGGCCCAGTGCAGGAGGTCGTGGCCGTTGATGCGGAGGTCCGGGTGACGGGCGGACAAGCAGAGGAGGGAGTAGGCAACGCCCGTCGGGCCTGCGAGCAGCCCTATGCACGTCTCCGGGTCGTACTTGTCCTGCGGCGGATTCGTCGTAACGACCTTTTCGAGGCTTTCCCTTAGCAGGTCCGCCGGGGCCGCCCCGAGGGCCTTCTGCGGCATGGTGTTGTCGATGTACAGCTGGTCCATGATGGTGTCGGCGATGGATATGAAGAGAAGAAGTACGGCTCACGAGGCGGTGCGATCAGCTCGGTTTTGAAGGGACAGCCCGCGCAGTGAGACAGTGACAACCCCGCGCCGACTGGGATGAGCGTGCCGTGCCGACAGCCCGTGACGGCGGGGAGCTGAAGCCTGGGATGGCGCCGTCGACGATCAGCTCAGGGTCTGCATCCCGGCCTCGACGCTAGACGCACCGAATAGGCAGGCGGACAAACGTCAACCGCGTACGCGAGGGCTAGCCCAAGACGGGGTGACTCAGGTCATCAGGGACCGACGCGACTTCATCCCACGGTGTCATCTCCACAGCGCGCGAAGGAACAGGGCGTTTCGTGAAGGCAGCTTGGGACGTGACTCCATTCAGGGCCCAAGACGTGGCTTCTTGAGCGAGCTGGGTGTGGGCTCGTCGCGTGAGACAGGCGGGCGGTGGGCCGTCGACAAGTTGCCCCCGTCGCCGGTGCATGAAAGTGCCTCGATGAAGTGTCTTCGTAGAGTGCAATGAGCAAGTGGTCAAAGAAGCATATCACATCGACGCAGTGCGGCAATGTTCTCGCCAGGTGCTGCCTCAGGTGTCCGTGCCACCTCTTCCCAGCTGATAGCGACATTGGCTGCCCCTATCAATCGCTGCGATGCAGGCGGACTACGGGCGACGTTGAACCTGGAACTGCCCCGCGCCCACCCCACCGGAGCAAAAGCCCCTGCCCAGCGGGCAGCAGCTGGAGCTATACAGGCTGTAGTTGCAGCGATGACGACATCGCATCGAGCTGGCATGACCAGCTCGTGATTCACCTCGCCAGCCTCTCCCCGGCACTTGAATCCTCGTCTCCTTCGCATCGAACTGGCACGAGAAGCTCCCAAGGCCAGCCAACAGCTTCTCGCCCGCAATTGAGTCTCCCTGCTCCGTCGCATCGCATAGCAGGCCCGCGACTTCGCCTCGGCATCTTCCCACCGGCGACTAACCTGCGACACCAGACGCGCTTTCATCTACTCGCGCGCATTCGCCCACCGCAGCAATGGCAGACTCAAAGGAGCAATCCGTCGACCAGACGTCGTCGTCCCGGGGACAGTCGGCCAGCCGTCGCGTTGCCGGCTCCGTCGGCGAAAAGGCGCAGCAAGTCCTGTATGAGCGAGCTCTCCTCGCCCCCGAGGCAAGAAGACGTGCTGACTCTCCGCAGCAAGGAAGACTACGACAAGGCCAGGACGCTGGCGTTCGACGCGCTCAAGAGCAGGGCCTACCTCTATCCGATCAAGGTCCCAACCCTGAGCGCCTCAATCTCGTGATCCGATGCGAAGCAGGGCTGACTCTCACAGGGGATATTCTACTTCCTCACCCATCGCTCGCTGTGGAAGCCCTTCACCTCCCGCCTCGCCCCGTACATCGGTCTCTCCGTGTCCGTCATCGGCGGCATGTTTGCCTTCACCTACCTGCCGCAGCTTGCCGTCCTCGTCTTCGTCAACGGCCCGCTCGCCGTCTTCTCCACCGTGCTGGTCGTCCTCAACGAGTCCTCCACCATTGTCAACATTGTTGCCCGCAACTGGTTCCTCCAGGAGGCGCTCCTCGACACCTTCGACGGCACCCTCATCGCCCGCAACAACACCGCCATGGTGAGCGAGGGCCGCGAGGTCAAGTCCGGCAGCGACCCCATGGCGCGCCTCGGGCGCATCCTCAAGAGCCCCTTTGACAAGTTTAGCATCACGGCGCTCGTCCGCTACGTCATCCACCTGCCCCTCAACTTCATCCCGGTTGTTGGAACCGTCATTTTCATCGTCCTTCAAGGTGAGCGGCCTCGGCGAACCTCGAGCTGCGGTTGCTGACAAATGTGTAGGACGCGCCCGCGGCAAGCGAGTGCACGGCAGAGTACGTTGCTTCCCCAGATAGCTTTGCAGACGACGGAAGCTGACATTGCCTGTAGTACTTTCAGCTGAAGAAGTGGTCAGCTCGCCAGCGCGAGGACTGGCTCGAGAAGCACACGGGCCCGTATACGTCGTACGTCAAGCATCTCCTGTTGCGTTGAGCACGGTGTCACCCGTGCACGATCTTTGGCACTTCAGCTTGCTAACCTCGGCTGCCAGGTTTGGCCTCGTCGCAACGTTGCTCGAGATGATTCCCGTTGTTTCCATCTTCTTTACGTATACAAACACGGGTGAGTGTTCTCGCTATATCGGTGCTGAGAGTGAGCTGACACGAGCAGTTGGTGCCGCGCTTTGGGCGGCGGATATCGAGGCGATGAACACGTCCATGACCGACGACACGGCGCCAACACTCCGGGAGGCGGCCAAGAAGGTCGAGTAGTACCAATGCCCTTTGTTTCTGCTCAGCAATCTACAACATCTCCAGCGTACCTAGGGAAGCAGATAGAACCAATATACACGATGCTCAAGGAGTAGTTTGTCTCGCCTACGTGAATGAGCTTGTCGCGACTTGTCTTGCCGCACGCCCGCCTTGTTGACTCTCGGCTGGCATTTGCAGCGCATGTGTTGAACCGCCAATTGCGCGACCCCGGTACAGCAAGGGCTCACGATGCAGGAACAGTGATACTGTCTCGCTCGCCGTGCAACATGACAGCCCTCAACGGCTGGCTGCACGACACTCTGCCGAGGGCAGCAGATCTCGCGCTGCCCGACCGGATCCCTGCATTTTACGGTAGCGATCAGACACAAGTCGCCTCGCACAGACGATGTTACCCGTCCTCGAGTTGGTTGACACAGGACTGCTATCGATCCTCGCATGAACTCCGCTTGTGCATCTCGCTTCGGACCCTGGCAGCTCTCCTCGTAGTGGCCGTAGACTGACATACTGGGTCCTGGCATATCCATGGCTGCGTGGGACCTCGCGGATTCGTGTATGCGACGTCGGCTGTGAATAGGCGAGGGCAAGAGATTCAGCTCACCAGGCCAGATACCTCCATGGTCTAGCCCGACGAGTAGCGAGGTTCGGCCCAGGGCCGGCAAGGAGTGAGACGCCCAGCCTGCAATATCGCCGAAAGTCATGCCTTGACGCGAGCACCGCCGGTTCGAGTGGCTTGCTCCAGCAGTTGCTGGGCAGGTATTCCGGCCAGGTGTAGCCATCGGAAGACAGCAAACCTCGGACACGGCAGCGGTGTCGTAGACGGCACCCTGCGGTGGGCTGCGAAACATCGAGTTTGATCGAGATGAGCGGATCGCGGCCTCGCGGTTGACTGACACCTGTGCGCGCGTCGCCGGCCGCTCCTTCCCGCATCGCCAACCGACACCGCCGCCCACGCGAGCTATTTTCCTCGACCCGCCGCTCTCTTCTTCTCTGCCCCGATGCCTCGTCGCATTCTTCTTTGTTGCTCCCTCGAAGACGCGTCGACTCGTCCCTCGTTGTTCATCTTTGGTCATCACCTCTCGTCTCTGCTCTGGAGACCATCTTCGCTCCCTCTGGAAGGCTGAGAGCCAACCGCTCGCTAGACGACTCTTTCTTTACGCTCCCTTGTTTTGCCCGTCTGGACGCGCACATTCGTTACTTTTGAGACATCTCAGGATATCTGATTCTCAATACCATCTGTAGAGAGCAGGTAAGGATCGTTGTTCGTCTGCATGGGTCAGCCCCTTCTAATGAAGGAGTGTAGCCCCGTTACCGATTGCCAACATGCGGCTGCCGATTGCCTCTGGTGGCTTCGTGTCAGCCATTCTCTTATGCCTCCTTGCTTTCACCGCTGCCGTTCCGCATGGCAAGTGGCAGAAAGACAGAGGCCGCCGCATGGAGGCCCGCGACTCGCCTCCCTCATACTACGACGACCCGGGCAATACCTACAATCCTCCGCCCCCTTACTATGGCGATCCGGGCAAAACCTACGGCAATCCGCCACCTTATGACTTTGGAACCTCTTCTTTGGCTACTATCTCTACTTCCAATTCCTGTAAGCCCGGTGTTGCCCCTCTCTTCTACCTCACAGGCTTACCTTTGCAGACCGCACTCCTGGTTCGTCGTCATTCGAGACCTTTGATCCCACTGCAACGTCGCAGTCTTGGACCAGTCTCGTTTATCCTTCGACGCTGAGCTCTGGCTACTCCGGAACCAGTACATCTAGCAGCACGAGCACGTCGAGCAGGGAGTCCGGCCCGACGAGCCACTCGTCTGTCGACGAGTCCGGTATTCCGGGCACGGCACCGACCTCTACGGACACGACCACGAACGCCTCCACAGCCTCCAGCATCTCAATCTCCACCGGGACTCTACAGACATCGCCAAAGTCTGTCACGGAGAGCTGGCCCTCGACGTCACAATACCTCACATCGTCGTCCACTTACGGGCCATCCAGTGACTCGCAGGCATCGCCAAGCTCGTCAGCATCATCAGCGCTGAGCAGCTCCTCGCGAGAGCCCAAAGCATCAATTTCGGCGAGCGACCCGAGCTCACGCATCTCTGGAACCTCTGTCACTTCCATCTCGACAACCCAGTCGCAGTCAACCCAAAGTGGTACTATTGAGACGAGCACGTGGACCCCTCTGTCCTATACCTCCTATCCAGGCTCTGGGGGCTCCCTGCGACCATCGTTGACGCACGATAGCTCCATGGTCATTAATGGTACCAGCGCCTCATCCTCTAGCGCCACTCAATCTCAATCTCGGCTATCGGGGAGCAGCGCCGAGACGTCCCTTACCGTCACCTTGACAATGCATCCCTCAAGCGCCACTCAGTCTACATTTTGGCCGTCGGCGAGCAGCGCCAAAACCTCTCTTACCGTTACCTTAACAATGCACCCCTCGAGCTCCAGCGTCTCCCCAAGTGACTCGTCTCTGCCCGAAACCGAGACTGTGACATTAACTCGAGCCTCAGATATCGGCAAGCCAACACAAAGCCGGTCATCGCCGAGTTTGTCTACCGTCACAACCGAGGATCCGAGCCTGACGCAGACTGGCTACCCTATTTCCCTCTCTTCAGGCTGGGCCAGCTTCACCAACTCATCGACCGAGACGGGGACTGCCACTGAGACCAGGACTTATTCTCAAACTGTTCCCTCGGCTGGAAGCAGTGCCTATTCATTCAATACGGGATCCACAGGTATCTCAACTGGTGTGACCACTGCATCCCCGGCCACGACCGTGACCGCATCAACGGACGGACCCGGCACGCCGCCCTTGCCATCCACAAGCCAGAAGGTCACGTATAGAACAGAAACGCGCATCATCACCAGCTGGACCAACTCGACCAGTTCTGGGGCGTCTGGAACTCCCACGAGCCTCCCGGGGTCAATGCCGTCAGCCAGCTATTCCTCTGCAACACTATCGCAAGCATCGACGACTGTGTATTCCTTGACTTCATCTTCTCCTGCTTCGGGTATTCGTCATTCGACAACTACCAACAGATCTTTGACCTCAAGCCCGGGCTGGGATCCCGGCAACTCGTCTCATACCTATGCTTCCTCAATTCCATCCTCGGCTGCGAAGCAGTCCACTTCAAGTGCATGGAACTCCTCAGCTACCACAGCTTCGCATGCTTCAACTCGCACCTGGACTTCCTCTCCGCCATTCCCTATCCCATCAAACTCGACCAGCTCTACTCTTCCAAGGCGGAGCTCCGTGTGGATGAGCACCTCTGCACGAGAAAGCTACAGCTTTGGCCCTTCCGGCACCGCAGTCAGCTCCACAACTCGGACGTCGAACGGTGTCTCCAGTGTCCCAATCAGCAGCCCCCCTTATGGCAACTCTACCTCGCGCTTCTCCCAGACACGGCCAGCCAAGTCCAGTGATCTGGGCACCATTGGAGTTACCCCACAGTCTGGTTTGTCGAGCGCGACGAGTCGCAGCTCTTCTCGCGTCAATTTGACAGCGACAGTATCCAGCGCAAACTCGACGCATTCCTTTACGTATGCGTCGCCACTCTCTCCCACAATCTCGCGAAGTTACACGTGGGGAGGCGGCACAGGGTTCCCCTCGAACAGCGGTCCTCGGACGTCGCCGATGACTGGTGGCAGCTCAATGTTCTCTACAGTGACTGAGTCGACTCCCACATGGCCCAACACGACAACACGAACAAACACTGGTCCTAGACACAGTTCGTCGCCTCGGTCAGCAAGCTACTCGGCGCCTTACCCAACCACGTCAAACCACACGGGATCCGGCACGTTCACTGGTAGCGTATCGTACACGCGGCGATCGACAAGTCTTGAAGTCGTCACGGTTGTGCCAACGACGTGGACCACTGTCAGCAAGGTTACGCATGGCACCTCGACGGGAGTCGTGACTGTAACTAGAATCTCGACGCTTACGCGAACCTACCCTATAAGCTCCGTGGGGAACACCAGTTACACCACCCACACCACAAGATCGAGCAACGAGTCCGACGAACCGACTGTGGGATCATTGACAAGCACCTCCGGAGTCGTGAGTTCCGGGGGGCTGAGCACGACGATTTGGCAATCGACCAGCAGCAGTCCGACGGCGTCTGAAACGACATCGGAATCTGAATCATACAGCCTGACCCAAGTCACGCTCACAAAGGTCACCCTGACGCCGCGTCTTAGCTCCAAAAGTACAAGCATTTCGAACAGCTCGTCACTTGATACTACGACAGAGCCAAACACGACCACTGTTCCGACCTTCTGGACGAGCAGCTCCCCAGGCTACTCCACGACAGATGCGGCTATGTCGTCGACGTCTAGCTTGTCGACGGGCATTAACGGGACATGGACAAGCGTGGATACGACTTGCACGCACAAAGGGACTTATGTGAGCCCACTGCCCGCAAGTGAATCCACAGCGTCGTGCACCACAGTCGTGGATGACATGACGCTGGTTTTGCCTTGCCCTGGGGATATGACGGCGACGATCGCGTCTATTTCGTCTTGTGGGGCGTTGGATTGCCCAACAGCGAGCTCCACAGATGGCTATGAGACATCGCTGAGTCTGGCAAGCGCGCCCGGTAGTATGATCCCTAAGTCGATCACGGAGACTGCAGAGAGCTAACGCTATGCTCAGGAACAGAGACGCATGCCGCTCCAACAACATTCAGAACGTCGGTGGCCAAGTCCGGTGCGGGCTCGCAGGGCGTCGAGTCGTCGACTGGGCTCGCACCGGTGACGAGCCTTCCCAACAACCCCAACTACCCGTGGGGTGGCGACTCGCCGATTCATAGGCACGAGAACGTGACGGAGCTCAACAATGGCATGGCGAGGGTGGGCGTGGATGCGCGCACGTACGCGTGGCCGAGGTGGGCCGAGGTGGTGGATAGGCTGCGGACGCTGTGGTCGTGAGATGGCGAGGGGCGTCTCTCTTGTAGGCAGCTGGCGACTCCCACGAGGATCTGGGTCGACGCGGCACCGTCTCGGCGGTTGGTTGGGCATAGCCTGCGCTCTGGCCACGGCGAGAAATGCGCGTACGTCGAGGGCGGTGTGACGATCGACAGAGGCTTGGAAGCAAATGAGGATGCATTCGTGTAGCAGTGCTCGTGGCTGCAAGCAGAGGTAGACGAGACAGCCCAGACTGACTGACAAGACAGAGCTTGCATTATGGCAGTGTGTGTGTGTTGTTGCACGCATCGACAAACGAGCTCGGCGGGCTGCACGCGTCTGAGACAGCGATGGCGTGGAGTCGCGGACTGCCCGAATCGGCACTTGGGGGTGGGCTGGTGCCACGGATCGTGGCCGCCCCTGCAAGTGCAAACCTCCACTGAGTGAGCCCACTGGCCGCGTGGGCCCTGGTACCTGCCGGGTGCGGAGGCCGATGGCGTCGCCGCTGGTACCCTGCTGGCCCTGCAGGCGTCGAATCAGGCGTCGTGGACGCGGGGGCGGGTGGGGCCCTCGCGCCGTGGCTTCCGGGGCAGGGCGAGCGGCCAAACAGCAGCCCTGAAGGGGCAGCGCAGCCCGGGCGGTGCAGTGACAGCAAGCACCAGCGGAGAGCAGTGGGAGCACCGCATCAGCACTGCCAGAGGGCCCCTACGCCAGCCCAGTGCCGCCCGGCGACGCAGGCCAAGCCCAAACGGCCGTGGAGGCCGGGCCTCATGCATCTCTCCCCTCCCGCCCGCTCGCCACTCTTCTTCCCTTCTCTCCTCCATCCATCCTCTCGTTCACCCTTCCCATCTTATCACCACACGACGGTTCCGTTTGTTCCCGCCGAACAACTATCGAGCAGCATCATCAGCAGCCGGCTCTGAGCAGCATACGACACGCGCACGCGCCGGCCCACCATGCAGCTGAAGCCGCTCGCCTTCGCGGCCGCGGCCGCCGCGATGCTCATCGTCCCCGAGACATCCGAGCAGGGCGAGGGCGTCTTCAAGGCGCTCCCCGTCCACGCAGACACCTTGTCCGTCCCCTCGAGCGCCGTCGCCCAGACGGTCAGGGTGCCCTGCGCCCAGTGCAAGGGCAGCGACACCCAGCTCAAGCTCGATTTCGCCGTCGAAGGCGGCTCCCGCCTGATGCTCAACGGCTTCGAGCTCTACCCCACCGCCGACCCTTGGAACGGCGATCTATCGGCAGTCGTCGTCAAGGCCGATGGCCACGAGAAGGAGCAGCGGCTGGGCTACAGCCTGTCCATCGAACCCGAGGCCGTGGACCAGGATCTGCAGATGCAGCTCATCGCCGTTGAGCTGCGCGTCATCGAGGTGGGCAGCCGTTTCGTCGAGGGCGTCCCGACGGTAAGGCTGCAGGTACTCCGCGCCGCCGACGACGAGATCGCCATCGCCAACGTCGCCCTCATCGAGTCGCCCGTCTCCGGGTGCACCACCATGTTGTGCCGCGCCAAGCACCTGACCGGCGACATGCTCAAGTCCCTCAAGGGCTTCAAGGGCGGCAAGGGCTGCGGCAGGCACCGCAACAAGGGCCACCCGCATCACGACGGCACCGGCCCCGGCGGCGTCATGCCGCTCCACGGCGGGCGTCCGCCGCACCCTCACCCTCATCGCCCGCATCCCCATCACCATCACATGGGACCTCATCGCCACGACTGGCGCAAGCTCATGAAGAACGTTGCGTCGCACATTTTCCTGCCGGTCCTCATGGGCATCACCGCCGGTGTCGGCGTTGCAGTGTATGTTACGCTCTTCCCGTTGACTGATTGATTTCGCACGACCGTTACTAACACGAGCCAGGATCGCTATGGTCCTCTGCAGCGTCCTCGTCCGCGTGACGCGCCTCGCCACGTGCAAGCGCGCTGGCGCTCGCTGCTGCCGCAGGAAGCAGGCCACGCCTCAGCAGGATTCCGACGTCGAGAAGGTCGGCCTGATGTCGGAGGAGGAGCACGAGGAGCCTCCCCCTCAGTACCGGGACGACGAGACCAAGTAGGCCGGACTCGCCGGCAAGCCAAAAAGTTTTGCGCATCATGCTTTGTGCGGTGCACTTTTGCGCGCGGAGCAAGACGGGCACACTCATCGACACAAGACACACACACAAATACCCACCATGTATCGGTACAGAAAGGGTTGGATATTGGGCGTTATTTGGGCATGCAGGCACGTAAAGGGGCTGGCGGACTCTGGTTCGCGCGTTGACCGGCCGGGGGCGAGATGGATGCTGGATCGCCCACTACCCTCCTTTACATGACGGCATCTGGCTGCAGCGTTTTCATTTTGATATACCACACATGTCACACAGGCACACTCCTTATTGAACAGACGATTGTTTTAGCGCACGAATCGGAGGCGGGTGCAAGTGATGCTGGCTTGCTGGTGCCGTGCCGTGCTGTGCCGTACCGACAATGCCGTGAAATGTGCGGGCCGCGGCGAGGCCGCTGGGTATGAAATCCCATGGACTCGGGACTGCGAAATGGCTCAATGCATTGCGGCGGATGCCCCGATCACAACGGACAGTCCCGCGCCTCCTTCTCAAGCCTCTGCCGACTTGAAAGCCTGTGAGGACGGCGGGCGGTTAGGACGCCAGGCAGGTGAAAGCGCCCGGACGCCTACCCTCTCCCAGCGGCTGCGGGCGTGCGCACCGGTGCGCCTCGAGCCCTGACTCGTTGGGCCCTCCCCTACTCTGTAACTCGGGACGAACGAGGAGGGGAGGGGGCGCTGGAGGCTGAGTGCGTATGACCCCTGGTCCGGGCGAGGGTGGGACACTTGACTATAGTACGTGTGTAACACAGGCAACTACCTTGCATACACACATTCATACACCTTGTCGCCCGGTTGTACGGCATCTGTTTTCCTCTCTGCGCGCGCGCCAAAAAGGGGGGGAGGGGGGTTCCCAGTGGAGGAGTGCGGGCTTGGACGCTTGCTTGCTTGTTCAGCTGGATGGGGACTGGGCTGGGCAGGTGGACGGATGGACGGATAGACGGCACCTTGGAAGGAGCAATCAACCACTTCACTCATTTCGCGCGCAGGCTGGGGTTGGGGTTAAGAGCTATTTTGTACCTAATGAGAGGATGGCCGGGGAGTAGGTAACAGTATCACGACGATGATGGCGGCGCGCCTTCGCCGACACAGTACAGTACAGGGCCGTACACAAGCAACATGTAAATCAGCAGTGTTCTCTTATGTAGCGCAGGCTCCAGTACCTTACTCTGGGTGAGCTGTGCAATCTAACACGTGCCGAAAGCGCTCTCTTCCCGCTGCGTGGGAGGCTCTACATTACACATACGTGGGAGACGGATGACGAGCAGCGCCAACGCGATATGTTAACTCTATCTCACTGTCCTTTCTCTACTTACTTGACCCTGCACGGCTCTCCCTACCCACCACCGCAGGCCTCCTCTCCAGCCCCGCCGCATTCCCCGTGTTCTTCCTTTGGCACCCCGCGCACCACTCCGTGCTCTTGTGCCGCAGCTTCTTCGGCACGACGCCCGGCTCGCACGTGCCGATGTGATGCTCGGGGTCTCGCGGGAACCACAACTGCACTTGGTAGCACGGCCGCGGCGCGTCTCGTCTCCAGAGCCACTCGGTTCTGCAGCTAGGGTGGCTTCGGCACTGCCGGTAGTGGAGGTCTTGCGTGCACATGATGACGACGATCACCACGACGACGACGACGACGGCGGCGGCGGCGAAGTTGGGGGTGCGGATTGCCCTTGCTTTTTGCACTCTCTTTTTTTTTGTTTTTTATAAAGTTAGCCGCTAGATGGCACAGTAGATGATGGGGCTTTGGTTGGTTTCGGGTCGGGATCTGAGAACGTGTTTGGAAGTTCGCGGTGTTTTAGGACGTCAACGGTTTTGGGTACGCTCGTGTTTTGCGCACGGAATGTATATATGTGTCTTTCGAGAGTCGCCGTGATTCAACGGCGCAGGACAAAGAGTTCTTGTTCAGTCATTCACCCGGTTATGGTGGCAGCAGTGTGAGGGAAAGCCATTGTTGTTATCCAACCGACGTTTATGGCAGCCTTTGATCAAATGACAGTCCCCCCTTGACCATGGTTGTTAAAACGTCTGTCACGCACTCGCACTACACTTCTTCTTTTAACTGCGCGATACCAAGTCGTAAGTCACTGCCAAATAGAATTAACCCTCGACAGTCTGGGCGGGTCAAAGTAGGCCTACACAACCAAGACCGCCAGATAAACGCCTGGTATCAACATGCCGACATGGGAGGTTTCACGGTGCAGTGTTGCAAGGTTTTGAACTTCAATTACGATATACTGCTGCTGCAATGCTCATCTGCGCGATACATGTCTGCTCAACTAGTTCTTTGGGTAAAACTCGTACTTGAGACAGCCGACCTGCCTCGAGCCGCCCGCGCCACCGTTGTTGCCTGCGAAACCACAACTCGTCAGTCCAAGATACCATAAACAGAGAAAGTGTCCAAGATACCATAAACAGAGAAAGGCAACCACGCAGATAAGTGGGCAAAGAGCGGAAGGATGAAGGGAACTTACACTTTTGGTAATTCTCCACCATGAGCGTCTTGCAATCGAGCGAGTCGTCCTTGCCCAGGGGCTTCATGGCCGACTGCTCCTTGACGATGTCGCAGCCGTCGACCCACGAGATCTGGTAGTTGAGGAAGTAGATGAAAAGCGAGTGCCAGTAGATGGGCTTGTCGCCGGGCTTCATCACCGTGTCCGAGTAGTCGCGGCAGCCGATGTCGGCCCACGTCTCCTGCGCGCCCCAGGGCACGTCCGGGTGGGAGTACTTGTCGGTGCAGACCTGGTCCTGCGCCTTGGGCGGGTCCGGCTTCGGGTCCGGCTTGCGCGGCGCCTCGACGTGCCACGTGTACTTGCCGCAGCCGACGTCGATGACGGTGTCGACGAAGAGCCGGTCGCCCGCCGAGCCGTGGTTGCTGCCGCCTGTCGCGATGAGGTTAGCCAGGCAGGCCCGCAGGGCTTTGCTGGAGAGAGGGGGGGGGCGGGGGGCGAGTGAAACTCACAGTTGGTCTGGACGGCCTTCTTGTAAGCATCCACGCACATGGTGTCCTTGGGCAGCACGCAGTCGCCCTTGGCCGGCTCCCAGCTGACAAAGAACTTGTAGTCCTTGTAGTTCTCCTGATACTCTGGCGGCGTGCGCTCGTACAGGAGCGAGCGGCCCTCGATGGGCGTCTTGGTGGCCACCTTGTTCTTGAGGAGCGGAATCTTGTTGCCGTAGACGTCGTAGGCGATGGACCCCGTGCCGAGCTCCGACTTGTTGGCCAGCGGGCAAAAGTTCTTGGTGATGTCGCCGAACCACTTGCTCGGCGCGTTGGAGATGGCCGAGTCGCAGGTTACGCGCACCTCGGGCTTGGCCTCGTGCAGGTCCTTGGTCGCGGCCCAGATGGTCTGCTGGTACTCTTGGAAGTACGGCGTCACGAACTCCACCGAGGGGGGGTTGCACTTGCAGCCCTTGGTTTTGCCCTGTCGAGCGAGAAGCAGGGCGTCAGTCTACGTGTTGGGATGTAATGAGGATACCAGCGAGGACGGGGACTCACCTCGGAGCACTTCCAGTCGGGCACTCTGGTCTTCTTGGGGTCCTCAATCTTGACTTGCGTGGGAGCACAGTCGTCACCACAATCAGGCTATCAACTTGGGTTACTATATGTGTTGCTTTGGCTCGTCGGAGGTCAACTTACCACCTTGGTCCCCGTGGGGCACGTCGAGCTCGTAGTCGTGCTCTCGTGCGTCGTGCTCGGACCCTTAGTCTTGGTCTTCGTCTTGGTGATCTTGTGGATGCTCTCCTTGGGAACCTGGTACACCTGGTCGAGGGCCTTGCCGCCCTGGAGGGTGGTCCACAGCAGAGCCAAGAAAGACCCGGACGTGACGGTCGAGGCGCCGAAGATGGACCCAGCTTCAGATCCAGCTGCCGCGGCCGCAATCGCCGCAGCCTCCTCCTCAGAGGAGAAGACGACGGCCTCAACGGTGGTGTCCCCCTCGGCGCCCTCAAAGAAACCGTCAGGGTCATCGGAGAAGTAGCCCTCATCGTCATGCACGTGCTCGAATCCAGGGTTCTCATCAGGCCCCCCAGAGTAGCCCTCGTCGACACCAGCCCACACTTCGTCAGTGATCTGATGGGTGAAGGTGTCTCTCAGCTCGGCGTCTTCGCCGACGCGGTTGACAAAGTCGGCCAGACCGCATGACTGGCCTTGACGCTTCTGGACCCCGCGCCTGCGCTTCGCCGAGCAAGGCTTCACCTGCTTGGCAATGGCCTCGAGCTTGGCCTTGACGGCAGGGCTCAGGAGGATGTCGAGGCCGCCGGCGGCGTTCTTGGCCGCGCCCACACCCATGGTGATTGTGGCCACGGTGGGCTTCCCGGCCTTGGTGGCGGTCTTGGTGGCGACGGTGATGAAGGACGGGTTGGGCCCGATCCACTACAGGGTGTCAATTCGGCTTTCGTCTCTGCTAAGGGGATATAGACTTACTTTGGTGCTGGTGCCCAGGTCTGTCAGGTACTTTGTGTTTTTGCCAATGTGGCCCTTTCTACGGGGTCGTCAGCACCAAACCACGTCAATACAGGCACGCTAGAGGTCATCTAGACTTACACGGACTCCGGTGGAGGCGGGTTGATGCCTATTTGACCAGACTCTGTTGGTATAATGGCCGCGATATGGAATCTAGCACTGCGTCAGCAAAAGTCGCACGATGAACGCCATGTAAGTCAAGTCTTCATACGAGGGCGCGCCAGTGATCTTTGGCTCCCGCGGGTCGATGCTGCCAAGGGCGCCGGCGAATGCGCCCAGGGCAGCAAGAACTTGCAAGGCACGCTTCATGGCAGAGACTCTTGGCGTGAATTGCAGTCGTCAAGAGTTCAAAGAAAGTGCAAAGGTTGTTGGCAGTGGTCTTGATGCGTTCCAGCGAGACACAGAAAACACTGCGAGGATGCCACAACAGTTAAGTACGAGCATCTAGTGACGACGGCTATACTCAGTGCTCTTTGTCAGACTCAATCGCTAGGTCGTCATCGCCACTGCCAGTCAAGGCCGAACATCCCGATGCCATTCTGTAAGTGGCAGACCCCGAGGAAGGATCATGCTTGCAAGCAAGCTGAACATCATGAACGCTTCAAAGTCGCGCATTTTGGGGGCTGTGGTCAGCTTCGATCCTTGAGCTGATACGATGCCTCTGATATCATGATGCTAAATGGGTGCTCGGAGTTAAAGCTCGAAGCAGGTACATGGTTCGAGATGGGGTCACCCCCGCAGCTTCAAGTGCTGGCGCCTGCAGCGGCTAAACCCTGAAGATTCAACGTCAGCACATGGCTGAAGCCCCCGCAGGAACCGGCACGCGGTCGATGCATCGCGATTGCGCAGCAGGCATAAGCCGCAGGAACAGATGCCCAAGACGGGAAGAGCCGGCCGCTGAAGAGCCTGGGTGAGGGTGTTGTCATGGGGGCCGCCACACGTGCAGTTCGTTCGACTGCCGCCCCCAACAGGGCTGTGTCGCTTACACGGCCCCGGCGCTTATGCACGCACGACTGCCGCGCTTGTCGATTGTTGCCCTTCCAGGACTTATCCTTGGGATATACCCAGTTTCCGCGTGAACTGTATACCCTCGGCGGCGGGTCTATACGAGTATGGCCATGGCCGAATAGCTTCGACTGGGTTTCTCACCATCGTGGTCCTCGTCATTGTTGGGGCGAAGGATCGGTGCGGATGCGAGTCGGCCATATCCCGATAAATTTAGACTCGGAGACAATGGGTTCATGTCGGTCTCAGATGCAATGTCATTGTCTGAGCTGAACCGTGCTAGGCAAGATCGGAAGGCTTACAGACGACCTCGTAGTGTCGAATATAAGTCTTTGTATAAGAAGCGTCCCGGGCCGTTGGCGGAGTGTGTCAGACAAAGTCAAACGCAAAGCAGGCAACTTCCTTGATACTCGACAAGCTTTCGTTCTCGCTCAAGATGCACTTGAGCTACGTCCTTGCTTTCCTGGTGCAGGCCGCTGCGTTTGTCGCCGCGGCAGATGAGCCACCAAAGGTCAAATGGACCCTTCACAAGAGTTGCTGCAAGTAGCCCGTTTCTCCCTCTAAGGGCCATGTCGCTGACACTCAACCTAGACGGAGACAAGGCGCTTCGTGATGCCATCCTCTTGGGAATGGAAACCACCAAGGATCGCGCCGTGGCTGCGTCCACCAAGATCCTAGACACCGGCAACGAAAAGGTGCAGGCGGCCGTCAAGTTGCTTCTTGGCGGCGATGCTGAGAAAGCAAAGGCTGTTAGTGGTATGTAGTTTCCGTTTCCTACCTAACACCAAGGTGGACCACCGCCTCGTCGACACGGCGAAGCGCAATGGCTCACTCCGCTTAGAACAGTTCAAGCTGTACAATGGTCTGGAGGGGCCAATAGGGGCGCCCTCGGACAAGAACGCCCTGACTGGGGCCATCTACCTCGACTCTGATGCTTGGAAGGCGGTGGCAAAGGACAATGACAAACATTACCTCAACTTTGTAAGTCGTTCCCGCCTCAGGCAGCCAAGGTCTGCGCCTCTGACCTATCCACCCCCTCATGCAGGTCATTTACTGCGCACCGGATATCCTCGAAGAGAGGGATGAGTGGGGTAACAGGATCTGGACAGACTTCGGACGCCAGCGACAGTTCACCTTGGGCGGTTCGACGCTGGTGCAGATGAAGACCGAAGCGGACAATAATGCCTGGAACAACCCCAAGTCCAAGATTCTGGGCCTCACGGAAACAGACAAGCCTGGAGAGCGGGAGAATGGCCTCCCCAGGGGCGACCTTAAGAAGATTGCCGAGACCATCACGCTCCACCCGCTCTGGTTACGAGAGATGAAGGACCACGCATATGACCTGCTGACGGCCGAGAAGCTCGCGGACATCAAGAAGCCGTCGGCTTGGCGGACGTTCCTCCAGCGCCTCAAGGATGCGGAGCCCGAGGCGCGGCCCATCGACGCCCTGATGGGACTCGAGGGGACTCTACACCACGAGGTACGAGAGGCCCCTACCTCTGACATGCGAAACTCTCCCCTGCTGTGCTGACACGGACCAGACTTACCACTTGACCTCGTTTGGCAAGCTGCTGGACATGCCCGAGGGCGCCGGCGCATATGGCTGGGTCAACAACCAAAAGACCAAGAACATCAAGAATCCGGATCTTCTGGCGTACCTGGCGCTCATCATTGACCTCGTGGAGAACAAGAGCTGCAAGATCAACGAGAGGGGCGAGGTGACGCCCCCCTCGTGATGCGGCAGAAGGTGCTATGTGTGACGTGTCGCGCTGGATAGAGTCGAGTCAATCTCAGATAATTTAAACGAGCCTTGCGTGTATGTTCGGCAAACGTATGTGTCTTTAAAAGTAGTAAAATCCCCGCCTGTGATGTCATCCTATCTGGCGAATGCGCCGGATATGCGTGTCATGTCGCACACGATGCACCATGTCGCAAGTTGCAAGTCCGACCACCCCGTTTTCTAATCAAGCGCTTAAAGCGTTGAATTCACGGCGTAGAGGGCTCCGATACCTGTTTCAAGTGGCAACTGTCTCTGTGGATTACTCCATGTGGCGTTCTAAAAGGCAAGCGCAGGAACCACAAAGTCATCCAGGCTTTGGCTACATCCAACTCGCACTTCCCTGTTTGCTTCGTCAGCTTCGGCGTGCAAAGGCGACACATTCCTCAAACCATCGGAAACTAACCTCGAATTGCTTGTGCGGATTAGGCTGTCCTTTCCCAGGCGCACGGCCAGCCGGAGCGTATTCAGGTAGGGATGAAACCGATCTCCGGTGCCCCTCTTCCAAAGCCTCACACCTGGCTCCGCCAGGCTCTCGACGTATCCGTCTTCCGGCTCGATGCCGGCGCCCAGGGGCATGCTCAGAGCGACAGACCCGATCCCAGAAAGGGATTCTGCCATTCTGCACAAGGCCTCCATGTCGAGCTGGTTCGAGGCGACAAAGTCGCGCTCCCCGTCGTAGCGGAGAGCCAGGCCGCGGGCTGCGATCCAGATGTTGAGGCTGCTCAGGCTCGTGAACATGCCAAGTTTCAGCCAGTGGAAGTCGTAGGGGCCGTGAGCAGGGCCGCTCTTGCGGTCGGTGGCAACAGTGCATGGTAGCAGGACCGGGAAATTTGCGCTGAGTGACAGCTCCAAGCTTCTCGCATGCTGGAACAACGCAGAGGGTACCCTTGGCGGTTTGTACGGGATCTTCATCGGGATAGGAGTGTCACAGCTGCCCACGAGTGCCGTCAGGGTGGTCGTGTCCGTGACGACGAATGTTGTAGACCCATAAATGGAAGGTAGGCACTCAGAAGAACTGAGAATGGGAGTCAGCGTCTCATATCTTTTGAGTAGGTTGAGGGCCCCCTCACACGGCTTTACACGACAGCAGCATCGGCAAGTAGGGCGCTCGTACGCGCGAGACGTGATCTGGTCGTTCTGGCGTCTTCCAGCAGCTCGTTGCCGAGGTGGCCAAGGAGTGGACGGCTTCGACACCGTAGGCCGACTCAGCACGTCGGCCACACGCGCGATGATTGATCCACGGCGAGAGCAGATCGTGGCAGAGCTGGGTGTTTTCGAATTCGCGGCCCAGAGGGATGCCAGACCGAGACCTCGCGTCTTCGATCTCCTCCTGCAATGCGTCTTGAACCTCGTACGGCGTGGTGCAAGGCCAATGGCAGAAGTGTGCCGGGGCCTCGTCGGTCTCACCGCGATGGTGGAGGAAGTGCTGGCGAAGGCCGTACGAGCGCCACAGCTCGAGGTACACGAGCTGGCGGATCTCGGGGGGCAGCTTGGTGATGAAGCTGGACTGGAGCTGAGGATCTGCCATGTTGCGCTGAGCTACCCAAACACTGGCCACGGGTAGAAAGGGTCTCTATGGCAGTGCAGTCGTTCAACGCACGATCCCGAACCGCGGGGCAGCAGCTTTAATGCAGGTGTAAGCGCACGCATACAGGCGTACACAATGTGGAGCCGCGATTCGGCCCCCAAGGAGCAGCAGGTTGCTTACCTTCTTCAAGGCATGTCCGGCGCCGCGATGACGATTGGAGAGAAAGATCCGGGCATGATGCGACGACGTTTTTAGAACGATGGCCGAGGCGTTTGTGCCATGCAGAGGCGGCGGCCAGGCACCGCCACGCGACAGGCGTTGATGCAGCAGGCCACGATGCAGCTCCCGGGAGTGCGTTGGTTGCGCAGCCACAACCGCAGATTTGGATTGCATGCTTTTCTCGACTGGCTGGTGCAGAGAAGAGGAGGAAGCTCCTGTTGATTCGACTGAAGAGATGTTGCCGTTTGAGTTTTCAAGACCGGTGATTCAAAAGAAAGCATTTGTGCGTGTGTGAATGAAGGGCAATGAAGGGCAGGAAGGGCAGGCAGGCGCGCACTGCAGCGGCAAAGGCAAGAACAGGCTGAGGTGAGCTTCAGCTTTCCCAAAACGGCAAGTGTCCCTACTGCTGTCGCAACTGGCCGCTCCCGCAAAGCACAGACCACCTCAACTCGCCCCATCCCCCAGACCCCCAATTCCCACAGCTTCACCGTCGCCATTTCGCCGCCGTGTCTCGCTCTCCTCCCACCGCAACCCGCCGCCGTCCACATACCCCTAGCCCTCAGCAGCACCCGCAGCAATGGCGCCGCAGACCAAGGACATGCGCCGGCCCGACCTGAGTGAGTCTTCCGGCTCCCATGCGCCCCCCGCGCGCCGGACGGGAGACACTGCGGCGCCGATCGAATGGCGCCCGGCCCTCCGTGCCCCCGACCTCCGTCTTTGCCTGCCGTCGGCTGACATGCTGCAAAACACAGTCGTCCCGTATCAGGAGCCGGCCGCCGCGGGCGACAAGCCCGAGTTTGCCTCTACGCTGGCCTCGACCATGCCCATGGCCGCCATGTTTACGCGCAACAAGTTTGTCGGCTGGTGCGTCGCCCCCTTTGTGTGCCTCGAAGCCTCCCCTCGCGCGAATGCGGACACCGGAGCCGCCTCGAATCCCGCGCCGGGAAATCGCATCGAATCATACAATGGCTGTCGCAAGGATACGGGTTTTGCTAACGAGCCACCCTCTGCAGGGCCGCCGTCGTCTTCTCCATCCAGAGCTACCTCGGCGAGAGCGAGGACGCCAAGAAGGCCTCGAGCACGCCGGGCTACTTTTCCATCCTCATGTCCGGTACGTCGCCTCCGTGCCGAAGCCGCGGGCGCATTCTGCGTCAGCTATACAGGCGAGTGCAGTGCTAACAACCAATGCAGTCATGGCCCTGGCCGTCACCTACCTGCCGCTGTTCCTGCCCCCGCGACCCGGCATGCCCGGCTCGGCCACCGAGGCCCCCGCGCCCGTCCCGCCGCAATGAGAGACTGGGAGAGATGATACTGGGAGAGCCTGACTGGGCGTGTAATGGCTGTGGTTGAATTGGGCGCGAGGCGCGTCTCGGTCCCGCGAGTGTCGATGGACGGAACCTGTACTACCACGGTGTACTATGGTGGCAGTGAGCGCATCAAGGACTCAACATTGGGAGGGTCACTTCATGGATAATAGTCAGACTGGGCAGCATTACATCAGCCCTGGGATTCGCGTGTCAAGAGGCTCGGCGCATGAATAGCACTCCAGCGCATGAATAGCACTCCGCAGGTGTCACGACCCTGACAGATTGGAGGATCCTCGCAAGATCGCCAGCCGAGCTGCACTCCACCACCAACGAGGGACCCGCCTCTGTCGACCCAGTCAATGGCACGCTTCTCGCAGCATATGAGTACCTTTTCAACGGTGCTCGGCTGGCAGCTGCAGCAAGAGCCCGCAGCGTCGCACCCGAACCCAAGGTGCCCTGCCATCTGCCTCCACCACCACATTCGTCGCCCCACCACGGCGCTTGGGTCGCTCCGCCGCATCCTGAAACCTTGGCCGTCCCGGCGCCAAAACCCCACTGCGACGGACCAAGTTTGAGGAACGAGGCCACCGCCGAACCACCGCCCGCCGCCAGGCCGCAGTCTTTCCCTGATCTTGGCCTCTTTGTCCCCTCTCCTCTGTCTGCGTTGCCGCCGGGTTTATTTCCTCCTTTTTTTTTCCATCCATTCTCTCTGTGTAAGCCTCTTTGTCGTGCTCGATTCGCAAACACGCAAAACCGTCCAAACCTCAACGACAAGGTCGTGTAAGCCAAAGCGCGCATCGGCGGCAACGGAATTCGAGAACCAGCACGCACGCACGCACGAACGCGAAAAGAAAGAGTGTGCGTCCAGGCCGAACGCACAGCCATGAAGTCGCCCTTTGCGCTCGCCGTGGCGGCCGCCATGCTGGCCGCCTCGCTGGCCAATGCGGGCATCGTCATCACGCCCATCTTCAGCGACCAGGTCGTGGAGAAGACGTCCGGGGACTGCTTCTTTGGCGTCGTCACGCCGCAGGGCTGCGGGTACGTTCTCACTTATTCCCTACCTTCCCATGAAGCGTTGTCCGTCTTAATGTGAGCCGCTTGTGTTGACTTGAGTGACTCGCACAGGCCGAGACGAGGGTGATGATGAGAGAGCGAGGTACCGCGATGCGTTTGCAGGAGCAGTCTCATCAAATGGGTTTGAGCACTGGAGGAGAAATGTTGAGGTGTGCTGGTTTTCTACTGGAGCGTTACATGGGACACGGCGTTTTGGACAGCGTTGATCGCTGGGAATACCCTCATCGGCGAGCGGCTTGCACTTTGCAGCCGCGAGAAAGAGCCACAGCCACGGGACTCAACTTACACACGTATCAACCAACATAATAGTGCATTACATAGTTTCACATCACATACATAGCCTTCAAAGCCCTCGCATCAGGCGGAGCAATATACACGCAACGAGCCACGACTCGTCAGCATATAGTATATAACAGACCGCCGCTCTTGCCTCGACTCAGTGACGACGCACCTCCGTCAAAGCAGACCGACCACAAGACAGACTGACTTACGCAACCACAACTTCGCTCACATACTACCTCCGCACTGCCAAATAGGCACCCCTGGCATGATGCCATGATCCCCCGTGCATGCTTGGCTCCTGTCAGAGACCGAACCCCTCTCCCCCCCGCGCGGGCGCTGTCGTCCGAAACCGCGGCCCCGTTTCTGCCTCACCCCCGTGGCCGTCTCAGACCTGTCCGCGTGCCGGATTACAAACCGCCAGCCGTCGCTTAAGTCACGTCAGGCTTCCGCCGTACATAATACTTCGTACAGGGTTCTCTGGCCGCGGTTGTGGCGAGTTGCTACGTCGCAGAGGGGTCGGGCGCCGTGTCACTGCATGCGATATGCGACGGCGAGCAGGGCGAGTCGACAGAGTCTAGATACTGCGGTGCTCCATTTTCAGCGGTAAGAAAGCCGCTTCCACATTCTATGAACAAAGTCTCGAAATACAAGGAGCTGTGAAGGCAGCGCCCCATTTCCTCCCCAGTCTGCAGTGGCAAGTCCCCCGCCTCTTCACACACACACGCTCGTAGACCCAAATCCGCACACTCCATCCGTAGACTGAACTGCGCCATCGAGTCTCGCCCTCATCCGGCATGCGCACGATAGTCAGTGGCACACAAGTCTCGCTGAAGATTCCACTTCTCGTCAGCCACCAGGAAGTCAGCATTCATGCCAATGTTTAAAACTATCCACACGTATTAAAACAAAAGAGTCAGCATAATTCATTCGGCATCCTCCAAGCCAGCCGTTAGAGCTGCTGGTCAGAGAGCTCCGATACACAAGTCGAAAACTGGTCCGCGCAGTCAGCTTCGCTGGTGCCGCCCAGGGCCCCGGAGCTGACGGCGTCAGCACAGACGCTGCGCTGGAGGTCGCAGGCTCGCTGGACGACCTCGGCCCGCTTGGTCAGGAGTGCTGGTTCGCCGCCAACGACGAGCGCGTCGGTGAGGTCTCTCGGGGTGCGAGAACCGGCGCGGTTGTTCGTTCCCTTGCCCCGGTTCGCGGCGCCCCCTTGCTTTCCGGTGCGGCCACTACTTCCTTTGTTGCCGGCGCCCGTCTGGTTGCCATTATCAGCTTCCGTTCCATTACGAGACGGTACGCCGGCTTTGGACCCACTGGTGCCTCCCGCCTGACCTCCCTGGCGGCCACCGCCCTGCTGGCCGTTTTGGCCCTGTTGACCATTCTGGCCTTGTTGGCCGTTGCGGCCTTGCTGACCATTCTGACCCTGCTGGCCGTTTTGACCTTGCTGACCCTGCTGGCCGTTTTGACCTTGCTGACCATTCTGGCCCTGCTGGCCGTTTTGGCCTTGTTGACCGTTCTGGCCGTTCTGACCCTGCTGGTTGTTCTGACCTTGTTGACCGTTGCGACCTTGCTGACCATTCTGGCCCTGCTGGCCGTTTTGGCCTTGTTGACCGTTCTGGCCATTCTGGCCCTGCTGGTTGTTCTGACCCTGTTGACCGTTGCGGCCTTGTTGTCCATTCTGGCCCTGCTGCTGGTTGTTGTTGCCGCCTCGGCCGCCCTGGTTGTTGTTGCCACCCTGGTTGTTGTTGCCACCCTGGTTGTTGTTGCCACCCTGGTTGTTGTTGCCGCCCTGGTTGTTGTTGCCACCGTTGTTGTTGTTACCACCGTTGCCTCCCACGGTGAAGCGGACGCAGTCATCCTGGGCTCCGCGCTGGGCGACAGGCATCAGCACGGGCTGGTGGTTGGCAGCTGACGACATGCTGCAGACGCGGTAGTTGCCGGCGGGCAGGCCACCCGCGACGTCGGCGGACAGCAGGCCGTTGCCGTTGCCGTCGTCGTTGATGCCCTTGAAGAAGGCAAACTGGGTGGGGTCCAGGGGCCGCGCAGGGTTGAGGGTTCTGCCGGTGTCCTGGACGGTGACGTGCGTGTGTCCAATGATCTGGCCGTTGCCGTCCAGGTCCTGGGGAGCAGAGTAATAAGTCGAGGTAGCGTTGGTGAAGGTGCCGCCCTTGAAGTTGAGCATCTGGACCTGGATCTGAAAGTCCTTGTTGGCGGCGAGGTTGTCTCCGTTCTTGGGGTTGACAAAGACGCTAGAGACCATGTTGTTGATCGAGGGGATCCTTCCCATGGCTGTAGGGATAGTCAGTGGTGAGCCCAGGACTCTCAAACGTACCAGACTTACGGATGCCGTTGCAGGAGCCGGCCTTGAGCTGCTGGCCGTTGGTCACGGTCTGGCCCTGGCAGAAGTTGATGAAGTTGTTGTTGTCACTGCTCTGGTTAGATTCAGTCCCGTATCAGACAGCCTCAATGCACCTACGTAGCAGAAGCAGCCTGGCCGTCGGCGCCGGGGTTGTTGCCGTCGTCCGCGGAGGCAGACTGGACCAGGTTGGCGGTCAGGGCGCGGCCGCCGCCGCCACCATTGTTGTTGTTGCCGCCATTGTTGCCGCCCTGGTTTCCACCGTTGTTCCCACCCTGGTTGCCGCCGTTCCTGCCGCCTCCTTGCTGGCCACCGTTTCGACCACCGCGGTTGTTCTGACGGCGACTCAGGGTGTTGGCGAAGAGAGAGCGGTGAGGGAGCTCGGTGGCTTCCGCCACGGCCGTTATGCCCACGAGGGCCACGAGGACAGTCTTGACGTGCATATTGGTTGTTTCTTCGCAGGTCTCGTATGTACGATATGCTGTGGTAGCGTCGAAAGGCTTTGTGAAAACTTGGTGCCAGACCAGTTGAAGTAAAAACGTCTATGTGCGAACAGACAAGAAGCCGACCAGACGGAAAGCGGCCTCGAAAAGGAGAGTTGATACGGAGACAAGGAACGAATGTACTGTACAGGCACACAACCAGCGCGGCAGAGAAGGGAACAGACGACGGCTGGTGGGCGTCTAAGGAGCGGGCACGTTTAGAGAAGAGAAAGGGAAGAGGACGGGACACAAGGCTCGAGGAGACGACGGTCCAAAATAGTCTGCGAGTTGCCAAGACCACGGTTATAAGCTGGACAGGGCCGATGGGACACATCGGAAACCCGGCAAAGGCGCGTCTGGGCCGGCGACTAGGGCGTCGAAGGTGCGGTCCTCGACTCCTCTGGCGCCGCCCGGCAGAATGGACTGCAAGAAGTCCTTGACATCCGGCGAGGCGATCAAACCGGGGCGCAAAATAGGCGACCCCTACGTGTATGCGAGGTCATGGAGAGGCGGCCTCCTAGCGACGGGGGGTTGCGGTCCCGGGTGGTGATGCCTCAAACCTCGGGGGTACCAGATGACAGGCCCCGCAGCCCACATCTGCCACCGGCGTCACCGGCCGAAACCTGGTAGCCCATGATACATGGCAGTCATCTGGAGGTGCCAGCTGAGAGCGCTGGCGGTCCGTGTAAGAGTCCGGGGAGAGTTCTCAGCGTGACGAACACCGAGCCGCCTCGCCTTGGTCTCTCGTGAGCCGTGCCCGTCGTCGACAAACTCGACGGCCATGGCCGTGCGCACCCGTCGTTGCGAGGAGGGTTGCGTGCGGCACGGGTCCCGCTGCAGCGTGGGCGCACGGATTGCAATCCCAAGAGGGTAGAGAGCGAGCGAGCGAGCGAGCGAGGCGTGGGCTGCAGACGCGGCGCCGCAATGGTGACGGGAAGCCAGCGACGTTGGCGTCTGAAGTCGGAAGATTGAAGCGGTTCCTGTCTCGGGCCTGTCGCGGGCCCCTGCACAACCCCTGGTCCTCTGGGGCTCCCCGCCCGCTGCCCTACAGAATTCCCACAGCGGGGGCCAGCCGACCCAATGGCAGCGAGCGAGACGCCGGGCAGGCGTTCGGGGGTGGCACCTGCCAGGCAGTCGGCGTTTCGCCGAGCCGCGCCCAGGCTTCTGGGTTCAGCGACCTTGGACGAACTGGGTAAGCATAATGGATGGCAGCCTCCGTACCTTCTGTACTTCGTACACAGCGCCAGACGGGCACCGATACACGACCAGCCGCCCACCCGCGAGCACGACTCCTACCACCGTCACACACACACACACACCCATCTCATGCGCGCCATCGCGTCTCTGCGACGCAGCCCGGGCCCTCGTGCCGGCCGCCTGCAACCCGCCATCCGCATTCTTCACCCTGCCTCGTGGTGGTGGCGGCGGCGCCTCACCAAACCCAGCAACCGCGCCGGCGCCGCATACCCGGACGAACCGCAGCTAATGATGGCCAGCTCGTCTGATGTCGCCTGAAGACGGAACGCGCAGGATCTGGCCCTGAATGAAGCCGGCAATCAGTCTACTGGACCACAGCTGTAGAGACCCGTCTACGCTACGAAGTACTCGCAAGCTGATAGCCCATGCTAGAGCCCCGCCAACCCATCGCGGAATCCGAAACGCATGGCCGTCACGGCTGGTTCCCTGTTCCGCGCGATATCGCCTGTATGGCGTGCAAGTGTCCACTCACAAGACTCTGGCCGCTTGGCATACGCGCCCTCGTCTCTGACTTCGGATGGTTGTCGGCAAAACGACTACCCCTTCATCGACGTTCGTGGGACACACATTGGCTCAGTGTGCTATCGCAACGACGTCATCAACTTCCGAATAAAGCCCAAGCAGCGTAAAAATGCCTCTGATATCAGGCAAGTTTAACCAGTCCGTGTGGAAAAGCAGGGGTAGCACCTGGTGTTTACAGTTCGAATCCTGCAGAACCAGGACCAGCGAGAAATAGGTAGTTCACCTATGGAACTACTTATGAAAGTGGCCATAGTGTCGTTCGATGCTGCCACTTGCGGCCGCTCACGGCACGTAGTACCACTACAGACGCATCCGCAACTCTCTGATTCCGGGGCATTTACGCTGCAGTCCGAGCCTTCAAGACGCAGCGCTTACGAATTGCTCAGCTGCAATCTCTTGGCCTTGTTCGCAATCCCGCGTGACCTGCAGGAAGCTGTTCATCACAGGATCCGGTTGATCAAACTCGCAACTCTGCGTTCCGAGAGCGCCCACCCTCGCGTCAGGGGCCCTCCTGCGACACGCACGATCCAGGCGAGACCCTTGTGGCGGCCCCAACCATCCCAACGCGACAAGCACAAGAAAGTTTTCGTCCCGTTTCCCCCGCGGCCGTGTGTCACGGAAATTAACTCGAGCGGTGGGCACTTTGCAGCACGGTCCGGTGTCTCAGGAATCGTTCGTCCGCCTCCTCTCGTGCTCTCGTGTCGAGACGTCCGGTCAGCGATTGTGCCAGGCGCCGTGGGATGGCCGAGTTGAGACGGCTCATGTCCGGCCTCTCATACGCTAGAATGAAATGCAAACCTGATCGGACGGGTCGTCAAACGTTTTGCATTCGTCTGTATGTTCTGCCGGCTATGGTGCAACTCGCCGTCTGATCTCCGCGCGGCTCTACAACTCTTCGTTTGCCGGCTGCGCGACCCCGTCCGCCTGATACTTGTCGGCGATAATATCCAGCCATGCCGCCATCCGGAACCCGGCGCGGGCGACCTGCTTCTCGATAACGGGGCCGGCCTTGGTAAAGTACTCGCCGCCGAGCTCCTTGCCCACGATTGCCTCGGGCCCTTCGGGCAACACTTGGAGAGCGGCATGTCAGCAACATCTTTGACGTAGGGAGGGCTTTTGCACATCATCCTCACCATGGGTGCAGACCAGCGCGTTGGCCTCCCTGGACCACGCCATGGCCGTGTCAATGGGCTTGTCGAAATCGAGGTCCTTAAGCCAGGCCTCCTTCTCTTCAGTGAACTTGCCGTCGGTGATCTCGACTGCCAGCTGGTTGGCCCAGCGCTGGGCGATGAGGTACGGCTTGCCGCGCACTCCCCCGATCCACTTCTCGGCGATGGACGAGTCCCAGACGTGGTGCAAGTTGTACTCGCGACCGTCCCAGCGGACGTAGATGCCGTTGCCGCCGCGGGACACGTCCTCGTTGTGCAGCGGCTGGTGCAGGTCGCCGACGAAGTGGACGACGAACTTGGCGGCCTGCGCGCGCAGCCAGGCGGGCAGCTGGCGGTCGAGTGACTGGCTCGTGTAGTTGGCAAGCGCGTTGATGACGCAGCCCGTCTCCTTGCAGTCGCGCTTAAAGTCGACGTTGCACGATCGCGGCGGGTCGTCGTGCGCGTCGATGAAGTGGAACGTCTTGGTGAAGCGGCCCCATTTGGTGTAACGGATCGAGTCGGCCCACGAGGCGACGCTGCCGAGGTAGTCGTCGCCGTCGTTGCGCAGGAGCTGCTTAAAGTAGGCCTCGGTCGAGTTGGATACGAAGCGGCTCGCCACGTACGCCGTCGCGATGTGTCCCAGGCCTGATGAGTTCGTCAACGTCAGCGCGTCATGTTCACGGTCGTGGCACGCCGGGGGACAGGGGGCGACGCACTGCCCCAGGCGACAACGCCGGGCGCGGACACGAGGCCCAGAGCCAAGGCGCCGAGTGAGATCTTCATGGCGGCCTGAGTGAGGTGTTTGATGGTGGTGGTGAGGGTGTTTACGTTCGGGCCGGCAGTGCAGCACCGTGAGTCGCAGATAAGACCCGGGCTTCCTCAGGTACCTTGTCAAATGGCTGGCGCTGTCCACGACGCGTGCCGCGAGTCTACAAGTGAAAGCTAATGCCGACGCACGTCAAGGCACAGGCCACGGCCAACTGACCAGATGACGCACGGCACGAGTTGGTTGGTGGTGAGTTGCCGTAGGAACCACCACCGCCCAACGGGCCCTCAGCTGACGGCCGCCGCAGGGGACGGGCCGGGAGGCTGTAGCGGCTGCGCGCCTGGGGGCGAATCAAGCGGGCCCACGTGAAGCAGCCGCGGCGCAGATGGGATGCAAGGCACTGATGAGCGCGCAGCCATCCAGCCACCACGGGACCGGCTGTGCGAGGTTTGGTCCTGTGCGATGGAAGCTGGCATGAGCCGCAACGGGAGGCTTTCCACGTTTGGTCAGCCCGCTGACCGCAAGTCGCGGAACGATGTAAGTTGTATCGCTGCCGGCGGCTCCAGCAGCGGCACACCCTAGCTGCCCGGTCAGGAGCTGGAATGGCCCAGCAGCCCGGGCATCCATCACTCCCCGCGGCGGACGTAGCAATACTTAGATACTGTAGCTCAGCCGTCCCAGCGCTACTGCACCGGTGCACTCAGCACGCGAGCTGTGCGTCAGCAGCGTCAACCATCCCATCTCGGGCGGCGACGCTTGCGGCACTGCAAGAGGGTGACAGCGACGATAAGGTGGGAGCTAAGCCCGCTCCCCAGCTTTCCAGGCGAGCTCCAGGGCTACGGCGCCCCACGCTGCGAACCCGATTGGGGAGCGGGGCCATCCATTAGGTTTGCAGCCTCTCGCAGCTTCCAGGTTGGCTGCGCTGCAGACGACAGCCCGACAACTGGAGCCTCCCGTGAGCGGCTCCCGTTCCCTATCTCTGGCGCTGCACCCGCGGGCCTGCATCGACCTGCAGTGGCACCACACTCGCCAACAGTCCACCCCAAAACCCCCCCAAACGCAACCCCCCACAACAGCGCGCGCTCAGGGTGCGTCATAAGGCCGCCGAGATCGCGCCCTGCCCAGCCAATGGGGGACCCCGCTGACAACCAAATTCTCTTCGATAAGTCGATAAGGCCGATCCGCCTGACTCTTCCTCCACCGACTTTGGCCTGCTAGTCCCCGGGGCCTACTACTTGACGCTTCTTCCCCCCTCTCGCTCGAGGAACACCTGATCTCGTGAGCTTGCCCGCCCTGAGCTATAACCCTCGCGAGACGCCTTAAAGCTGCCACCGCCACCGCGCCGAAACCACGATCCAGTGCGCTCCTGCTATTCGCGTGCCTCGTCTCGGATAGCAGGACCGGTACTTCGCTCTCTTCTCCAACATGGCCTCTCTCGTGGCGACCGCCGCGTTGACCGCCGCGGCGCGGACGCTGCCCATTGGCGAGGCTCTCTCGGGTATCTTTGGGAGCATCAGCTTGACGGCGTGGATATGTCTCTTGGTACGTCGTGCGCTGCTCGCTGAGACTTGGTTCTCCTCGTCGTCGCGGCTCAATGGCCCGTGCAGTCGCTGACCAAAATGCAGATTCCGCAGCTGCTGGCCAACTACAAGGCCAAGAACGCTGATGGGCTGAGCATGACCTTTCTTGTCGTCTGGCTCATGGGCGATGTTTCGAACCTTGTCGGTACGTTTCTCCGTTGGTACCGGTGACTGTCGCGTGCAGCTTCATCGAGGCGACATGCCAACCTCAAACGCACCTCGCCGGTAGTTCCCAACTGACAACATCGCAGGAGCGCTTCTCACCCGCCTGGCCCCAACCGCCATTGCACTGGCAATCTACTTTTGCATCCTGGATGCCGTCCTCATCAGCCAGTGCCTCTACTACAACACGCTCAACGCGCGACGGCTCGCGAGGGAGCAGGCAAGCCCTCATACCGAAACGTCTGAGGAGTCGCCGCTTCTGCACAGGCGGCGCAGCTCTTCGCTCGGCCTGCCCGGCTCGCACCGCCGCCACTCCACGCACCACGAGTCTTCGATGGAGCCCATCAGGAAGATTGTGACTGGCGAGGACGAGACGCCCGACAGCAGGCCGTGGCTCCACAACACACTGGGCCTGCTGGCCGTTTATGTCGTCGGTTTTGCGGGCTGGTTCGTCTCGTACAAGGCTGGGGCTTGGGACGGCGACGGCCCGGGCGTCCCCGAGTCGCCAGACGGGAAGAAGCAGCCGCTCGAGATTCTCGGCCTCTTGCTGGGCTATGCCAGCGCAGCATTCTACCTCTGGTACGGCGACTCTCAGGTACTCTGTCGCAATCATCTGCTAATGCTGTCCCAGCGCCCGCATTCCACAGATTTACAAAAACTTCAAGGAGAAGTCATGCGAGGGTGTGTTGAATCCAAGTCTCTGCAGGCGCCAACCACTAACTGAATCCAGGCCTATCTCTCCTCTTCTTCCTGCTCTCCCTGACAGGCAACCTCACCTACGGGCTGAGCCTCATCGCCTACTCCCAGAGGAAGGACGACCTGCTCAACGCCCTCCCCTGGTTGCTAGGATCTCTCGGCACCATGGTGGAGGACGCCACAATCTTTGTTCAGTTCCGCCTGTATCGCGACAACCACCGCGCCGTCGTGGACGCATAATGGTACGCATGTGGTGGAGACATGTTGGGATGCGCGTGGCGGATGCATGATGTGTAACGGTTTCCATTCATTCCTCGACTGGCATCAACGTCGGGTTATCGGTGCATTGGTTGGCGTTTGGGGTCATTAGGGTCGCGATAAAGCAGACATGCTGCGCGGGTCTCGTACGGATTTTGGACGCTGTAATGACCGTGTTTTGGCACCTGGACGATTGGCTCGTATCACGGGCTGCGAGCTTATTCATACGAAGAGATGTTTTATTTGAACTGACCCTGATTGACACCGTCTAAAGTGCACGCTCGGGTCGTCGGCGACCGTCTGGTTCCTCCCTTTTGACGTCTCTCCGAGTCGCTACTGCAGCCCCACTGTGCTCCGATGGCGGGGCAGCATCCTGATAATGGCGGGGTCCCGCAACAGCACGTCAGTCCAGCAGCCCATGAATTTGTTTGGGAATTTCCAGGCAGCCTTCCTTGTCACCACCAACCCTCTCTTGGCCTTGACTCATTTCACCACCCATCCGCCTCCCGACAAAAACCCTCGCTTTCTGCGTCCCGATCCCTCCCTCGTTCGCATCCTACAGTTTGTACATATCCCAATTGGCACCATGGCTTCGCAGATGCCCACCAAGAAGTGCGGTACGTTTCGTCCCTCCCACTGCGGTCTCCCTGACCACCGATCCCGGAGCGCCGCACCTGTCGCCTCAAAACCCTCTCTCCACGAGGAAAGGGGGGGAGGGGGCCCTTGCGCGTCCGTCGATAGTGTTCGAAAGAAAGAAGCTGACATGAATGGTGAAACGACGACGCAGGCGTCCTCGGCTGCACCGGCTCCGTGGGCCAGCGCTTCATCCTCCTCCTCGCGCAGCACCCGACGCTCAAACTGCACGCCATCGGCGCCTCGGCGCGCTCCGCCGGCAGGAAGTACCGCGACGCCGTGCGGTGGAAGCAGGCCCGCCCGATGGGCGCCGAGATCGCCGACATGGTGGTGCGCGAGTGCAAGGCGTCCGAGTTTGCGGACTGCGACGTCGTCTTCAGCGGGCTGGACTCGGACGTGGCCGGCGAGATTGGTGAGTCTTATCCTCCGTGCCTCACCTCCTCTCTATAGACGACGTACCCCCCTTCCAGGGTCACCGACGACGTGGACCTACGGCCGAAATCGACAGCAGCAAGAAAAGCTGACGAAGGGAAACCTCCCCCGAAAAATATAGAACTCGAGTTCGTCCAGGCCGAAATCCCCGTCTTCTCCAACGCCAAGAACCACCGCCGCGACCCCCTCGTGCCGCTCGTCGTCCCCACCGTCAACCTCCCTCACCTCGACCTCATCCCGCACCAGCGCGCCACGCGGGGGCTCTCGCGCGGCTTCCTCGTCTGCAACTCCAACTGCGCCGTCATCGGGCTCGTCGGGCCCTTCGCCGCCCTGCAGGCCGCCTTCGGCCCCGTCTCCGCCGTCAGCGTCGTCACCATGCAGGCCGTCTCGGGCGCCGGCTACCCGGGCGTCTCCTCCATGGACATGATCGACAACGTCGTCCCCTTCATCCCCGGCGAGGAGGACAAGCTCGAGTCCGAGGCACGCAAGATCCTCGGCGCCCTCAGCGGCGACAAGACCGCCTTTGTCGAGCAGCAGGGCCTGCGCGTCTCCGCCACGTGCAACCGCGTCCCCGTCCTGGACGGGCATACCGCCTGCGTCAGCTTGAGCTTCGAGCGCCGCCCCGCGCCCACCGCCGAGCAGTGCAAGCAGGCCATGCGCGCGTACGTCGCCGAGGCCCAGACCCTCGGGTGCCCGTCCGCCCCGTCCCCCGCCATCATGGTCTTTGATGAGGACGACCGGCCGCAGCCCCGGCTGGACCGCGATCTCGGCAACGGCTACACCGTCAGCGTGGGCCGCATGCGCGAGGACGAGAGCGGCATCTTTGACATAAAATTCACGGCCCTGAGCCATAACAGTGAGACTCCCCAATCCCTGAACCCCTCGTCGGGGGACACCATAGCTGACACCAGTGTAGCCGTCATCGGCGCGGCCGGATCGTCTATACTCAACGCCGAAGCCGCCGTCCTCAAGGGATACATCTAGATCCGCTACTCCATGCCATATAGATGCGATTAATGATGAAAAGCTACGACTGCAATTTTGACACCAACAGAAGCGCTCCAGCGTCGCCTCACGTCCTTTCAACTTCACCGTCACTGTCACAGAATGCCGATGCCGATGCCACCGAGCCCCGAAGGCCGCCGTCCATGTCATCACGTAGAATTCAGGCCCCTTCCGAGGTCCATCATCGAGGGGTATATACCTCCACAGCCTAGAGATTTGCGGGCGCCGCCGCGTTGCGAAACCAGCCCCAATACAAAAAGAGGAAAGCAATGGTGCATAGTAAAGAGTGATGCTATGCTCGAGACTCCCGTGTCCGAAGCCGATGGAATGCGTGCCTGCTCCCGAACAAATATCCCGACCCTTCCAAATACCAATTACGCCTTAGACTATCGCCGCGCTGTCAAAACCAAGGTTCGGAATGTGGTGGCACAAGTGCCGTGTAGTGTAGTGTAGTGTAATGTAGTGTAATGCGGCGTGTTGCAATGTGGTGTGATGTCGCCACGGTGATTCTACTTTGCGATGCACCCAGGGCTTCATCGGCTGCGATCTCCTGGCGACGGGGGCGGTGACTGCCGCCTGGCTCTGGCGGCGAAGCTGCTAGAGAGCAACCCGAACCAGCTATCTGATCGAGAGGGCTCTTCCGGGTCTCTGGGCCGTGGCGAAAGCACGCCCTGTTCGAGGTCGGGGGTCCGCTCTGACGAGCCCGATCCCGAGCCCGAGCCCGAGCCCGAGCCCGACGCCTCGATCGAGAGGTCGTCGTCGCTGTCCTCATGGTAAGGCTCGTATCGTGGGCCGTTCCTAGATCCGTGCGCCAGGGACCGGACGACGTCACCCTTGCAGATGGGGCACGTGCGTCGACGGGTCGTCAACCAAGGGGTTCTTCAACAGACGTCAGTGCCGTGCAAAACATTGCGGGGAGGCAGCCAGATACTCACATGCAGTCGGCGTGGAACTCGTGGCCGCAGGGCAGACTCATGACCCTGCTCACGCCATCGACGTACTCCTCCAGGCAGACCACGCACTCGACTTGCCTTCCCATGTATTTCCTCCACTCCGCCGAGAAGCCTCCCGCGCCCTTCTCGTGCTCGTTTCGCGCCCTCGAAGATCCTGACGGCGTGGGCACGGCGGCGCTGGGGGCCAGGAAGTTCTCACTCTCCAGCACGCCCGTGGTGGTCCTCGAGCGCGGCCGCGGCCGCGATGCACTGTGCTGCTGCTGCAGAAGTGGCGTTGTTGGGGTTGCGCTCGCCGGCGACGGCAGCCGCGGAGACGAGCTGGTCGAAGAAGCAACCGTGTGATATGTCCGCACAGGCAGACGGTCCACGACGGATTTTGGTGCTCGCCATCGTCGGCGACGAATCCTCGCGCGAACAATCAGGAGCGCGTATACCACGGTCAGGGTTACCAACGGGCTGATGACAAGCACGAGAAGCGTGTCGAAGAAGGGCGTTGCGCTGCTTGTAGGGGTGATGGTCACCCACAGGCCTTCATGAGGCTCGGTTTCAGGGTCGTGATCCGGGTCCGTGGGATCCTCGTCGTGGTCGTCAGCCCTGCCATGAGCGCCCGAGCCCTTATGGTCGCCATCATCGCCGAATAGCTTGGACATGAGCCCGTGGCCCTTGGCCCCGGCCACTGCGTTCGCCGAGGCTGGCTTGGCGCCAGCGGCGTCCTTGCTATCTTTATGAAGAACATTGACAGGGTTATACTCGCCGCTTCCCGGGGTGATGCTGCCGCCCTTGGGGCCGTTAGCCTCGGGCGCGGTCTTGCCGGCACCGTCGGTGCGGTCCTTGGCGTTGAAGGCTGGTTTCTGGCCAGCCGTCTTGTCCGCGACGGCGCCCTTCTTCGCGCCAGTCTTGTCCACCAGGTCAGGGTCCCGCCAGTCTTGCACGCCAATGACGAAGTCGTCCTTGGCCGAGCTTGACTTGGACGACTTTCCGATGCTGTCCTTGAGCGCCTTGTCCTTCTCGTCGCTCCAGTCCTCGACCAGGACCCAGTCCAAGCGACCGCTGCTGGGCGGCCGGCTCTCGTCGCCGATTGCCCGAGCCGATTTGCCCCAGCTAAACAGGCTGGGAAACCACCCGCGTTTGCCAGACGTACTGGGCGTCGAGCTGCCCGCCTTGTCGTTGACTACTGCTCGTTTCGTCTTCGGAGTCGACGAGCGCGTGCTGCGAGACGCTGCAGGTCTCTTCCGGAGCGAGCGCTTCTTGTGTGGCCTCGACTTGGGGCCTTGCTGCACTTTGAGGACTGGGTTGCCGTTGTCGTCAAGCGTGTCCTCGATGAAGCTGCCCGGCTGCGTCAAGGACGACAATAGGTGCGCGGTCGTTCGCGCAGTGAACACAGACGGGACGGTGACATTGTCGACCTCGCTGCCATGTGCAAACATCTGAATAAGGGGCCCGCCCTTTTGATTGTCGCCGACGATGACGGCGATGGCACCGCGTCGCTGTGCCCACATGACCTTCTCCAGGAAGCCGCACCCGCCCCGCATGAGAAGGACAATCTTGCCCTCGATCTCGGCGGCCTCTTGGATGGACTGGATATCCGCGTGCTGCGGGGGAGGGGAGGACGCATCGCGCCGCGAGAGAACGCCGGCCGTCTTGTCGTTGAGGTGGTTGTCGGTATTATCGGAGCCGGCAGCGGTACCGGACACGGAACGGCCTTTGACGGTGGCCTCGTGATCACCCGAGCCGTCAAGCTCTCGACCGCGCTTGGGGTGGCTCGACTTTACCTGCGTGGCAGCGACGCGAGCGGCACTCGTTCGGAACGAATTCTTCAACGACGCTCTCGTGTTGCCGCTGCCCCAGCCGGGAAGGTCGCTGCAGCCCAGCTCGCCATTGCCGTCGAGGCTGTCCTCAGCGAAGCCGCTGCCAACCCAGAGCTGGCCGCTCAAGCCGCGGGCCGCGAGCTTCGGGCCAAAGGCAGCCGGGCGGGCGGCAAACGAGGTGCTGTTGTCGTCGGTCAAGCTGATGGCGGCGTTTGGGGGGAACAGCGAGAAGGGAGTGTTGTAGTAGACGAAGCCAAAGAGGTGCCTCGAGCGGCCTTCGGCAGGATAGGCGGCGGCATGGCGTCGGTTCGCGGAGGTGAAGGAACGGAATAGGATGAAGACGGAGGCGGCGGAGAAGAGGGCGAGGATGGCAATGCGCGACGGCCGCATCGTGGGCGGTGCCGCGGGCGGGTGGCGGCAACGATGGCCGCGCTGCGACGCGGAGTGGTGTCGTTGGCGGCCGCCAGTCAATCACGCGGCGTCGGCTGGCATCAGCTCGCGGCGAGGTCGAGGACGGCGGGGGCGCGAATCGAAAGGGTGATGAGACGCAAAGAAAGAAATGACGGAGCAGGGACCAAGCATGCACAGACACGCACCAAACGCTGGAGACGGCGACGATGAAGGTGAAGTTGGGTTGAAGGGCAGGACAGGATGGAAGGAAAACGGGCCGGGCGGGGGATGGATGGATGGATGCGTCACGGATGAGCGAAACAGCCGGGTGAGTGAGTGGTGGTGGTGATGGGACGCCGGGGCTGGACGTGGCTGCGCCAGCTGTTGGTGCTTGACGGCGGCAGGGAGGGGGGAATGGGGGGGCGGAGATGGGGGACTTGGAGTGCCGCAGGTGTGTTAGGCAGTCGCAGGGTACTTCCAGTGTTCAAAAGTACGTACCCCCGACCATCCAGCGGGGAGTCGCCAGTACTGGCCCGGGGACCTAGGGAGGGAGCGGCACAGGCTCCTGCCGCCTGAAATTGACCCTGGGCGTCAGCGGGCTTGGCGCCTGGGCTGGGCGGATCAGGCGGTTGGCGGCATCGTGAGCCTGACGAGGTCCCTTGATGGGCGGCGTACCTGTGCGTGCCCTCGGGGTTTCAATGTGTCAGGGCCCCGGTTGCCCGCGCTCGTGGCATCTAATTGACGTGCATCGTCCGCATGGGCAGCTCTCGCGGGTCAAACCCTGCATTGACCATCCGTCGTCGCCACCGAATATTAGCTTTCGGCAGTCCCTCCAGTTTGCTGCCCGCTTGGACGGAGACGGCTCAAACGCATGACGACGGGACCCGTCCAAACGACGCATCTGAATTCACCGGGGGGACCCAGACCTTGTCCGCCAGACAAACGCTGGAGGTACTTCGCACCCAGCCCAGCCACCGCGGCGACGGACGGGGCGGGAGTCAATGCAGCGCCGCCCCTCGATTGCCGGCACAAACGGTGCCGTGGATGGAATTGAAGAGGTCCCCCGCGGCATGGCCGTGCCGAGATGGACTGCGCCCCGAGTGACGCATCGCCTGCCCTTCCTCTTGTCTTTCTGCAGGGCGCGCGTGGTCTCGGACACGCTGAGACATGAGACATGCCCGCCTCTCTTGACGACGCCAAAGCCAGAGGAGCCAGAGGATTGACGGGACCTCAGACAGAGGGATGCGTTGGAGGCGGCTCTAGCGCCGCGTCGGAGTGGCTTGGACCCAATGGGGCGGCAGTCAATGGCTGCTTGAAGCTGCAGCAGGGGGCCCTGTGACACTGTCAGTCGCGCACGCCAGTGGCCGCACCGCAAGACGCTACGTCACCGGGCCCGGGTCAGTCAGGCCATCCATTAAATGTCCTCACCGAGGCTCACCTTGGGCTTGCCCCACCGACCTTGGACCCTCCAGACGGAGACGGGAGCCATAGGGTCATGGTCCACGGACGTTGGCCAGACGGTCCGGGATTATAAGCAGCCAGTCATTGTCATTGCCGTCATCTCGGCGAGCACCGAGGCCATCATGGGTCGCCGGTACGAGCTTAATCAACAACGAGACCTCGTTGCCTTGCATTCTCTCACAGGGTCACCAGATCAAATCATTGGGTAATCTCAACCCCAGCCCTACCATGACACGATGCAGTACGTGCGCAGGTTGAAGCTCCTAATCAGCGAACACGCCAGCCACGAGCTCGACCGCGCACCAAAGCGGCCATTTCGTTGAGTAACTGTTTCACAATCAGAGTGTAGTAACAAACATGCCTGGCTTGAGGCATTTTGCTGTTGCCGACGAGCCCTCGTAACTATTTGAACCACTGCAGAGATGTGTTTTGTCGGTCTAGGTATCTACCAACGTCATTTTTTTCGCAATGCTGCGCACATATCTCTGCCTCTCCATCTTCTCGCTCTTTGGCCATGTCACGGACGCTTCTCCGGCACCCCGGCATGTCCTCCGAAACAAACCCCGAGGGCTCGCTCTTTACCAATCCGACCCTATCAAGTATTTGGCGGATGGGGGTCAAATGATCGTGATTGAGTGCAAGGGAAAGACCGAGGAGGAGGCGGACGAATTGCTAAAGCCCTGCTTTGTGTTTGGCAAGTGTCAAAACCGCTTCTACTCCTACAACTCGCTGTATCACCCGTCGCCATGTCCGGGATACTGCGCTTGCGTGCCGCATACAAAGGTATGGGCTAATCCGCCAGGTCTCGGACCAGCCGACTGATGCAGTCCACCGTAGAAACCCTGTCAGTCGGGACCTTCTCAGAGCGCAATTCACGGAATGGCTGCCTCGACGTCGGCACACTACATGAGGCCAACGCAAGGGCCGCTGCCAGCATAGGTTCCGGAATATGTGCTCTCGCGTATCATCGCATTGGAAGGGCCGATATATCGAGGCAATTTGGATTGAGATGAGGTCCCGTCCTGGGCGTGCGTTATCACGCCACAGCCGCCGATCCGCTAGACTTCCAATAAAGCAATCAAAAAAAAAAAAAAAAGAGTTGATAGGGATTCACGCAGCAAACCACCAGCTCTTTCAGATAGACACAACGAGCGCCAAATGCTAGCAAAACGGCTCCATCAGTGGCGAACTTGAGATGATGCACTTTCCACAGTTGTGTTGCCACCCTTTAAAGAGGATGTGAAGCGAGATGCCACTCGTCGGATACAGCTCCATGCGCATTCCATTACTGACCTCATACCTCGAGTTCGTACAGGCTGTACGGTGAAAGTCCCCAAACGACCCCTGCTTAATGTATTCAGTCCATCCCCGCCTGGCATCGTACTGCTGCTTCCTATCACAGCCCATCACCGAGCAGCGCCCGCAGGTTTGCTATGACCTCCTCGCAACTAAGGCCCCTAATGCCAGACTGGAGCGGGCTTGCCGTGCCTGCCTCGGCAGGAACACCTGTCCTCCAGGTCACGCCCGTACGGACGTCGAAGTGCCACAACTTAGCCACGCCGCGGCTTCTCGTATGCAGACTTGGCCATACTGCGTTCGGCCGTCTTGTTCGTTTCGAATGGGTATCAAAGCCGTCGTTATCGTGTGTACCAGCGGTTTCACGCGGGTGGTGTATCGTGGACCACGGTGAGGAGGTATTTCGCGTCAGGGACAATGACAATCTCCTGTTTCTTAGTTCGTAATCGCAGCAACCTGAGCTCGTCCTGGTACGGATTAGCCATTGCCCTTCCCTTCCCACGGACATGTTACGTACATCTGTGTCTACTTCCTGCACCAGCTGTCCCGAGTTGTTGACAAAGTTCCAGATCATGGCAGCAAAGTCCTCGACGCCCTTGGCCTCGCTCGCCTCCGCCAGAGGGGCCTCGTTGGAGAAGGACGCGGCCGTGGCGGCATCGCGAGACTTGGCCGTTCTCAAGGCAGACACGTCGCCGCTCGTCTTGAGTACGGCGCCGCTGGCGCGGTCCAGGACGATGCTCGCCTTGACGCCGGGCTTCTTAGTCAACCGGCCCAGCTTCTCGTCGAGGGAATCGTGCCCGTTTGCCTGCAGTGTCGATTAGAACGCAGCCCAACTACCACGGGGTCCGTCAGGGGAACTCACAGCGGTGATGTCGACCATGTTGATTGTTTGTTCACATTGGAGGGGTGCGACAGGGACGCGTGCTCAAGCTGGTTGTCCCAGTTGTCTCCATTAGGCTCCGTCAATCCGTCGTGATGGGGCAGCCCAAGTGGGGAGCTTGGAGAGCCACCGCGGCCCCTTGACGGCATGCGATTCTGCCAGGCCACACCGCCAAAATTTCGGGACCCACCTAGGCGGCAGCTTGTCGCAAACCTCAAAGCAGAGTCCATTGAGAACTTGAGCCAGCTCAACGGTGTAATTTGAGGAAACGCTACTCTACAAAGCGCCCGCCTGCCCGCGACTATTCTGTACCTACAAGTCATTATCATACGCAACCGTCAAGATGGGCTCCAGCGCGAGGAAAAAGGCGGAGAAGAAGAAGGACTTCCAGGTAGACCCCGTGCCCCTCCTCAACTCATCAGCAAACACTGACATATGGCAGAAACCAAAGTACAAGGTTGGAAAGGACAAGCCCAAGGCTTCGAATTTTACGGACACTAGCTTCAAGGCAAAGTGTAAGTTGTTCCGCCCTCCGTCTCCCGCATGTGCTCTAACACAACTCAGCCATTGTGATGGGCCATCAATCCCTCTCAACCGATGCCCCAGATGTCGTCCAACAGTTCAAGCACACCCTGTCGCTGGCATCATCTTCCAGATCAGACAAGCAGCGCCGTGAGTCTCTGGCATATCTAACAAGCCAGCTGTCGTCAGAGCCGCCGACCAACCCTGTGGGGACGCACGCCATCCTCGCCAAGCTCCTGCCTCTTATTTCTGACAGCTCGACTCCCGTTCGAGCCCAACTCTTGAAACTTCTCCGGACTCTGCCCCAGGACGAAGTCAAACACAGCATCGAACACGCCGTCATGTACATCCGTGCCGGGATGACGCACTTGTCGTCGGACATCAGCAACGATGCCCTCGGCGTCATGGAGTGGCTCCTGGAAGTTGCGGACGACGAGTTGGTGACCTGCCCGGGCGGCTGGGTCAAGACGCTTAACACATTCTGCGCCATGATGGGTTGGGCCGTCGCGACGTCGAAAAGTGGCTGGACATCTGGGGCGCGCGGAACACTCAAGGCCAAAGACGCACAAACACTGGCCAGGCAAATCGCCGCGCTCTCCAAGTTCCTCGGAGCTGGCCTCAAGAACGAGGATGTGGGCGAGACGGGCTCGACAGAGTATTGGGACAACCTGTACAGGATACCTCGCGCGCCGAACGCGTTCGATTACTTGAATCTTTCCGGAGCGAGGCGCGACGAGGAGGGCGAGATGTACTCGAGCCGCGAAGCGCGGCAGCAGGTTTTTAGCCGACGTTTCCTCGATCCGATGATGAAAGGCCTCGACAAGGCGAAGAAGGAGGGTGGGGCGACGGGTAGAGCGGCCTCTACGCTGGAGCAGACTCTGCTGGATGGCATGCAGGACTTTGAGCCTTCGACGGCTATGGACACGCAAGATCTGTTGGACCTTTGGTGAGCGGGAGTGTATCCCATGAGAACCGAGACTACACTCACCACCACAACTCGGGTGCGCTCGCCGCAAGTAACCTGGCGCCATGGAAGTGCCCGCAGGGGGTGCCCTTCAAAAAACAGCCCGCAGCTGCGCCAGGTCAAAGATGGCTCACGGCACGGCTGCCAGCACGTCTGCAGCCTTGTGGCTGCAGAGGCGGATGCACCCCGCGCCGACCAAGTCGCAACAAGACACATCAAGCCTGGCACCTCGTTTGCCTCGCGTAAGGTGGAAGCCTCCATGCGTGCAGCGCCTTCAATGCGGCGATCTGTGTGCGTGTTTGGTCTTGCCGCAGTCGTGCCTCGCCGCCACTAGGAGTCGGGAGTATGCGTATGGTTGAGGTGTGAGACTGCCCGACACGGGTATCTCACTGCCCTCCTTGACTCAATGGTCATCCAGCACAGGGTGGTAGAATAATCTAGTAGATAAAGAAAGATGACCTGCTGGCCATAGAAGGAGCCTTGAGCTGGCGGTTAATAGAAGAAAAGAACCAGCTTCCTTGATACTCGGCCGCGTCATGACATGGTGGCCGCTGTACAAACAAACACCTTGCCGCTGCGGTGAAGCGCAGGCTACTTGAAGTTCACCGTCTATTGCCTCTGGTCGCTCAGCTAGAGCACGTGGTTCCCATCCCACTGCAATATCATCCTCGGCAATTCCAGGTCTCACGAGGCACGACCGATCAGCGTCAGGGGTCTCGTCACACACCCACATTGGGCGGGCGGTGAGAACAGCAGGTGTGCACCCTTCGTTCGTTTGCACGCCCGATCAAAGGGGGCCCGGGGGGCTGCCTGTTCAGGGCCGGTTGCTGGGCCAGGTGCGAGGAAGGTGCGTGCGGGTGCTGCCACCTGCCACCTGCCACCTGCCTGCTGCCGTGCGCCGCCCTCCTGCCTATTTAAAACCCCCTTCCTTCCTCTTCCTTCCACTTCCCTCTCTTTTCCTCCTTCAACCTCCTCGCACCCGCACAGTGGTCACGGAAGCCTGCATCTTGGACCGTCACGTTGGTTCGGCCGGGCCTCCACTTCCCCTGTGCATCTCGAGGCATCGCAGCACTGCCTTCAGCTTGCCTCTCGCATCGACACGCAATCCCGTTTGCCAGCAAGGTTTGTTGTTTTTCTGTCTTGCCCGTGACACCTGCCCTCCAACATAGAATCTGTCTTCGTCCCTGCACCGTTCTGCCCATTCATCCGCGGTCCAACTTGCTCCCTTCTCGAAGGCAGTGCCACATTCGCCTTTCCTTCCAGAGCATTCTTCTTTCCGCGCCCCTCTTCACTTCAGCACCAAGGCTTCGCGCTTCCTCTCACCAAGCTACCTTCAAGACCTTCAGGCTTCGATGCTGATCTCGTTTGTTTAGTGTCCTCGTCCAGCGTTGAGCATCTGCATCGGTCGCAATGGAGCATTCTGCCGACACCGAGGCTGCCGCCTCCCCCGGCATTCCCGACAACACTGTCCCCGGCTGGGTCGGCCGGGAGGCTGTTGACTACACTGCTGCCACCGGCGGTTCTGGACAGCATGAGTTCGACGGAAGCGCCCGCATCTACCAGTTTGATGAGGAGTTTGGCGATGTTGGCCCCAAGTTCCCCGAACTTGAGCTCGAACTCTTCGGCGATCCGGCCCTTCGCCACGAGCGTGCCGGCCTCGACTTTGCAAAGTTGGTCCCCTCCCCAAGATGGCTCGCGTTGGTTCTTCTGCTGACATCTCTCAGGATCGATCGTATCGAGGTCCAGCAGGAGGGACCCGTCAAGATCAACCCGGTCCGAACTTTCAAGGACGCCGGAATTCACCCCTTGATGTTGGAGAATGTCGAACTGGCCGGCTACGACACTCCCACTCCAATCCAGAAATTCACGATCCCTGCCATGCTTCAGGGCTACGACGTCATCGGCATCGCTCAGACTGGTAAGTCCTTTGCTCGCTTAAAGCCAAGTCTCCAGCTAACTGTCGGGACAGGGTCGGGCAAGACTGCCGCGTACTTGATTCCCATCCTCAGCAAGCTCATGGGAAAGGCGAAGAAGTTCGCTGCGCCCCGCCCCAACCCTTCCGCCTTTGTGGAGGGCCGTGATGAGGTGGTGGCGGAGCCGCTGGTGCTCATCGTAGTTCCAACTCGGGAGCTTGCCGTGCAGATTTTCAACGAGGCACGGAAGTTCTGCTATCGTACCATGCTTCGTCCGGGAGTTTTGTACGGTGGTTGCCCAATCCGCCAGCAAGTGGCCTTGTTGAACCGCGGTTGTGACGTCCTCGTGGGAACTCCGGGTCGTCTGGTCGACTTCATTGGCCGTCCCAATGTTCTGACCCTTCGACGCCTACGCTACATGGTAATCGATGAAGCAGACGAGATGCTTGACTGCGATTGGGGCGAAGAAATTCGTCAGATTTTGACCGGCGGAGGTTCGTCTCAACATTTCACAATATGCCCGAATATTGGCTAACAGTCTCACAGAACAAGATGAGGGAAACATCAAGTACGGACTCTTTTCGGCTACTTTCCCCAAGGCCGCCCGTGAACTTGCCAAGGATCACCTGTCGGCCTCTCATGTGCGCTTCCGCGTCGGCCGGGCAGGCAGCACGACCGAGAATATCAAGCAAACTGTCATCCGTGCGGAGCGCGACGAAAAACGAGAGGCTCTATCGCGCATTCTGGGCGAGATGCACGGAGTGAGAACGATCATCTTCACCAACAGCCGACAGGAAGTCGACAGCCTGGACGACTTCCTGTACAACATGCAGTTGCCCGTCACTTCGATTCATCGTGACCGGACCCAGCAAGAGAGAGAGATTGCACTTCGAAGCTTCAGATCTGGCAAGGCGCCGATTCTCATCGCCACTGGCGTTATGGCTCGCGGAATCGACGTGCGCAATGTCATGCACGTCATCAACTATGACCTCCCATCCATGGATCATGGCGGCATCGAGGAGTACACGCACCGCATTGGTAAGTCCCCGTACCCTCCAGAGCATTGTGAATTCACTAACGGATTTTCTCAGGCCGCACCGGTCGAATTGGCCATCGGGGCTTGGCCACGTCCTTCTTTTCGGAGAGAGACGAGCCTATTGCCAGTGTGCTCACTCGTACTTTGCTCGAGACCAAGCAGGACATCCCCGAATTCCTGCAGATGTATGTTCCGGACGGCCCAGAGGGCGAAAACCCAAAGTTCGAAACCGAATCCGACTTTGACCCCAACGACATTGCTGCACGCGATGGCGAGGCTGGTGGAGACGCTTGGGGCGGAGGAGACGCAGCCAACGCGAGCAACGCCTGGGGCGGCGGCGGCCAGAGCAACGGAGAAGACAACGGCGGCGGCGGTGGTGGATGGGGAGCGCCTGCTCCTGAGGCCAGCGCCGGAACCAACGGCTGGGGAGCGCCTGCTCCTGAACCGGCTGGATGGTAGATGTGTGCCGCAAGACGGCACACGCTGAAAGCCATCATCCGAGGCGCATCGATCTCGTTGGGGGAATTTGAGGAGACTAATGGCAATGGAGCACTTCGGCAATGTAGTCTAGATGGTGAAGCTCGCTACGAATGTGGCTGGCAAGAACTAGACAGAACCTGATGCTGAAGAGACTCCGGTAGTATCGCATGTTCCAAGCTGCCTCGGGTCAGTGATGATTGTGGTGGCAGGGCAACTCATAATCTTCCAATAAGTGAACGTGGTCTATTACGGCATTATGTTTATATTGATACAGTGGGATTTGTGATGGCTCAACCGTCCGTCGCCCACGCGCAACCCGCGTCTATTCCACCGCTAATCTCTACAGTTGATACGTCTGCAAGCATGAAGCAGCCTACATGTTCTTGAGCAGCCTGGCCAGGCCCTTGGCCTTTCTGGCGGGGCCGCCGTAGCCGAGCTCGACGACGCCCTGGGTAAAGTTCCAGCTCCTCTGCTGGCTAGGCACGGGGTACTGGACGGGCGGGGGGATGGCGGTGCGGACGCCAAGCCAGCCGAAGCGGTCCTCGCAGACGCTCTTGAGGTTGCACATGCCGCGGAGGCCCTCCTCGCCCGCGAAGCGGCCGTAGCCGGAGCCGGCGACGCCGCCAAAGGGCAGCTGGACGGCGTAGTAGGCGGCGAAGTCGTTGACGGCGACCATGCCGGCGCGGAGGCCGCGGACGACGTGCTCGAGGGCGGGGTCGCGCTCGGAGCCGTGGACGGAGGCGCCGAGGCCGAAGTCCGGGGCGTTGGCGATGGCGAGGACGTCGGCGGGGGAGGAGGAGGGGGCGCGCAGCATGGTCAGGACGGGGGCGAAGCACTCGTGCTGGGCGATGGGCATGTCGGGCGTCACGTCGACGAGCAGGGTGGGCTGGAAGTAGTGGCCGCGCGGGTGGTCCGGGTGGCGGAAGCGGCGGCCGCCGGCGAGGAGGCGGGCGCCCCGGGCGACGGCGTCGGCGACGAGGCCCTCGAGGCGGTCGAAGGAGGCGTCGGAGATCATGGCGCCGACGTCGGCGTCGGGCCCGAGGCGGAGGGCGCGGACGCGGGGCTCGAGCATGGCGGCGAGGCGGTCGTAGACGGCGCCCGAGGCGATGACGCGCTCGATGCCGATGCAGTTCTGCCCCGCGGCCTGGAAGGTGCCGCGGAGTATCACCTCGGCGATGCGGGGCAGGTCGCGGGCGGCCGAGTCGAGGACGATGAAGGGGTCCTTGCCGCCGAGCTCGGCGACGACGGGGGTGAGGCTCGTGGCGGCGCTGGCGGCGACGTGGCGCGCCACGGCCTGCGAGCCGATGAAGGTGACGTGCGCGACGCCCGGGTGCGCCGTGAGGTGGCCCGCCGTCTGGGGCCAGCAGGCGACGGCCTGGACGAGCGCCGGGTCGTGCCCGTGCGCGGCGAGGGCGCCCCGCGCGACGCCGAGGAAGTAGGCGCTGGACCAGGCCGTCTGCTCCGAGACCTTGACGACGATGCCGTTGCCCGCGAAGAGGGCGCTGTTGACGGGCCCCATCATGTTGTGGAAGGGGTAGTTCCAGCTGACGAGCGCGGCCACCACGCCCATGGGCTCGTAGCGCACCGTGTTGCGCTTATACGCCATGAGGAGGTTCGTCGGCCGGCGACTCGGCCGGAGCGCCCTCTCGCCATGCTTCAGCGTCCACTGGATCTTCTCCACCGTGACGAGAATCTCACCCAGCTGCGCATCCACCATGGTCTTCCCGCTATCGAGCCCCGCGACGCGGCAAATATCCTCCGCATGGTCAAGCACATGCTGCATGAGGGTACGCAGCACAGCCCTACGCTGCGCAAACGTCGTGCGCGCCCAGCCGCCGGCCTGTGCGGCCGACGCGGCAGCCACGGCGCGGTCGATGGCGCCGGGCGACGAGGCGTTGACGTGGCCCAGCAGCTGGCCCGTCGCGGGCGCGTAGCAGCGTATCGCGGAGGAGCCGGCCTCGCGGATGGACAGCGGCTCGTCGAGGAAGGTCTCGGGCGAGGCGACCTTGGGCAGCGGGACGGAGTAGGGGATCGGGCGGGAGGATTCGCACCGGGCGAGGAGCCGGACGAGGACCGTGGAGACGACGACGACGACGACGGCCGCGGCCACCTGGAACGTGCTGGCACTGCAGTTACAGGACACAAGCACGTGGTCAGCAAGAGAACGAGCAAAGATGACCAGCAAAGCGGAAGAGCAGGGGGTAAAACTCACGAGACGCCCAGCCGCGAGGTTGCATACCCGCCAACCTCATGCCAGAGGGCCACCGCCCGCGCAATCAGGGCCTCCATTGTGAGCGCACACCCTCTGCAAAACAGACCGTTCTCCCCGATTGAAAAGTTGCCGGAGCAAGAGACACAAAGTCGGCGTGTCAGGTGTGCGGTCGGTGGTGGTGGTGGTGGTGGTGCCACCAGGGGATGAGGCCGCGAAATCTTGGGGTGAGGTCGGATTTGGGATTGATCAATCACCCGAGCTCCTGTGGACCCCTGAGCTGCCGCCGCCGCCGCCGCCACACTTGACCTCCCGACAACCCCTTCCCATATGTGCCTCTTAAGCTTCACTGCACCGCACGCCTCTGCAAGACACGGCAACCCTTACCCTTCACCGCTCCCGCACGACTACGTACTGCACATCCCGCCCTCACTCATCGCAGACACCCAGCGTTGATGATACTCGTCTTATTCTCCAAAATCAAGGCTACTAGGATATTTCATATTCCCCCTATCCAGGGTCGCAGCCACTTCATGACCTGTGGGCGCGTCGCCCTTCCCATCCACTGACGCCCGGCGTCGACCACGCCCGAGCACTCGGGAAGCGCCGCCCTCTCCCCTCCATCAGCTCTAAACAAGGTGTAAAGGGGAATAAACACTACAATGTCGCCCGAGCAGCAGAAAGCAACCGTCTCCCATGCCCCAGCCCTAAAAACGCCTTGCAAAAGACAACCCGTTCCCCGATTAAGGGAAGGAACAAACCCCCCCCGGAAAAACAAAAAGGAAAAGAGACTTCTTTTATTGCCATGCCATGACGACGGTGGTCGGATGTAAGATGCGTCTTGCGTGCATTGTGTATGCGTGGTGGTGGCAGCCGTCGTGCAGAGCAAACCGCCGACACGGCGACCCATATCATAGATTGCTCATGCAGATCGTCCAAGCATAAAAATGCTGCCCGCGCGCGCGAGCGAGCTGTCGAGAATATTTGACGATGCGGCTCGGCAAACGAAAAACCGTAATAAGGGAAAGTGGAGGCCGCATGTGGTGGTGGTGATGATGTACAGTTGGAAAGGCTGAGCCTAGCTGCTTGCCCGGCTCGACCGCGACAAGCGAAGCTGCGATGATCTCTAATAGTTCGCACTCTTCGTTAGCGACAGCCCGCGCAGCCTGGCTCTGAGCCGCCCAGCCCCGTGCTGCTGCTGGCTCGCACTCGACTCGATGCGAGACAGCCGCGCCGCAGACGTGAAGTCGCTGCTGGCCTCGTAGCTAGCGCGGACCCGGTCCATGGACATGCGCATCCGGTCATACGACGGGCGCGCCCTGTCCATCGACGGCCGCCCGTGCGCCGGCACGTCCAGCGACGTCCGCTGTGCCGGTGCGATGTCGAGCGACGTTCGGTTGCCCGTGTAGTTGGTCGAGTCGCTGCCGTTCTGCGTCCGGTTGTGCGTCGTCGTCCGCGTCGCCGTCGACGGCGGGTAGATGGGCCGCAGGTCCTCGTCCACGCTGCCGTAGGCTATGTGCTTGGATGGCTTCTTGCTGCTGTCCGACGACTGTTGGCTCTTGGCGTCGCTGCCGTTGATCGTCTTGTCCGCCCCGTCCTTTGCCGTCAGGTGCGCAAACTTGCCCATCTTCTCCTGCTCTCGGATGATGTCGACATCGTACGGCCAGTACACCTTCTGGAGCGCCTTGATGGCGAAGCGAGGGAAGAGGCAGATGACGGGCACGATGAAGAAGACGGCCCAGAACGTCGCCTCGCCGTACACCTGCGCCGCAGTATGGTAGAACATGCCCGACGACGTAAACGACGTGTAGACGCCCGTCCAGAAGAAGATGAACAGGTCGCTAATGGCCACGATGAGCAGCATGATCCAGTCCCACCGGTACGTGTTGATCAGAATGTATCCGTTGATGGTCAACACGGCGGGGTGGGCAATGTAAGCGCCGAAGCGCAGCCTGTCCTCGACGCCCAGACCGTTGAACGTCACCGGCCTGGAGGGAATGAACAGCAGGTAGGGGATGAAGAAGACCATGACGGACTGGTAGACCCCGTCAATCATGTAGAGCCTGTTCAATCACGTCAGTAAATGTGCACTGTCCGCGTGGTCAAACAGGACTGGCTTACCAGAACTTGCGCTGTGTCCACTCCAGCCGCTCGATGCCGCGGCGATACAGCTCCGGCACAGCCAACGACACCTTGTCCGACACGTCCTGGTCCAACACACCCATGATGCCGACGGGCACCGAGGTGAAGAACAGGTTGAACATGAGAATGTAGGTGTAGTCGAACAGGTACGTGATGTCAAAATCGCAGAAGATCTCGAACCAAAAGATGCTGAACGTCCAGACCATGTTCTTGTAGAAGAAGTTGCTGATGCTCTCGGCCAGGCGGCGGTAGGACCAGCGGCCGTGGACCAGCACCAGCCTCTGCAGGAATCGGAACTGCGCGATGGCGTAGTCGGACGACATGGCCGCCTGGCGACCCTCGACGCCTGCGATGCCCACGCCGACATCAGCCTCCTGGATCATGGCCACGTCGTTGGCTCCGTCGCCGATGGACAGGGTCATGACATCCAGACCGTTCTTGACCATGGCGACGACGGCGGCCTTTTGCGCGGGGCTGACACGACAGCACAAAACCGACTTGCACTGCTTGCAGAGGATCAGGAACTTTTGCTTGAGCTGGTCATGGAGCGCCCATCGCAGGGTGAAGCCGTCGATGACGATGCCGTGCGTGGGGGCCGGCGGCTCATGGCTCTTCTTGGCCGCGGCAAGGTCGTTGTCGTCGCCCGTGAGGCCGAACAGCTGCAGGTTCTGGTCGAGAAGCTGCTCCGTCGATGCGAGGAACATCTCATCGCTCGTCTCGCCCGTCTCATCCTCATCGACCTTCATGTGCACCAGCTCCATGTCGTTGTTGAGCAGGTTGCATGAGAAGCCAATGTTGATGGCCGTCTCCACCTTGTCGCCCGTCAGCACCCAGAGCTTGATGCCGGCCTGGCCGAGCAGGGCAATGGTGTCAGGCACGCCGTCCTGGAGGCGATCCTCGATGGCGGTGCCGCCGAGGAGGTAAAGGTCCTGCTCGATGAGCTCGGCAACCGACTCAAGCTTTTCTTCGCGGTTCTCGAGGGCGGCCGCTGCGGCGTCGTGCTCCTTCTTCCAATCTCGGTATTCCTGCTCCGTCAGCTCCTTCTTGGCGATGCAGAGCGTCCGCAGACCCTCCCGAGCAAACATCTCGAGGTGCTCGGCAGTGTCCCGCCTCAGCTGCTGCTGCTCGCCGCGCTTCAACCGAGCGTAAATGACCGAGTCGGCGCCTTTGCAGTACAGGATGATGCGCCCGTCGGGCATGCGCACAATGGAGCTCATCCTCTTCCTGCTAGAGTTGAACTCGATGGTGTTGAGAAGCGGGTAGTGACGCTCCTCGCCATGGATGCTGAGGTTGATGGCGTCGCTCGAGTTGCCCAGGACCACGAAGCCCATGTCGCGCGCGGTGGCGACGAGAGCCTCCTCGTCGGGCGACTGGGCCTTGAACACCATCTTGGGCGGGTCACCGGGGGCTCTCTCAGCAATGACCGTGTGGCACAGCGCCAAGGCCAGCATAAAGTCGTCGTTTGCCGCCTTCTGTTCCGGTCCAGACTCGCCAGCCATGTCCGCGACGAAATCCGGGGCGATGAACGTGACGTCCTCGTCGTGAAGGTACGGGTTGTCGTTGATGCTTCGAAGCCCCGCCAGCGCCTTGGTCTTGGCCTCGGCAATCTCGGCGTGGATCCTCTGCCCTTCCTTCTCCACGTCGACGCCCAACCGCTTCTGCATGCCGGCCTGCGCCTCGGTGTAGGCCTCGCCGTACGGCTGCCCGTTGATGGTCGCCTTCTTGAACTCCATGACGTTTTGGGTGAGTGTGCCGGTCTTGTCGGAGAAGATGTACTCGATCTGGCCCACGTCGTCGGAAATGTTCCACGACTTGGGAATGCACGGCTGGTCAATCTTCTCGTAGTACATCTCCACGTCGCTGAAGATGAAGATGGCCTGGAGCGTGCGGACGATTTCGAGGGTGATGTACAGGGAGATGGGAACCAAGTTCTGGAAGACAATGATGGCGGCCCAGAATGTGATGAAGCCACTCATAGGGGCGGTGCCACCAATCGACCCGAAATCGAAAAAGTACAGCGAGGCGTCCGTCTTTGCCCAGGCCACGCCGTTGACGATGGCCGCGAGCAGACACATGATGAGGAGGATGCCAAAATTGCAAATGACGTTGAAGTTCATCTCTCGAGCGATTCGAGACCGCTTGCTGGGCGTGATGCCGGCGTTCATCATGATCTTGGTGTCGTGGCCCGTGTACACGACGACTCCCAGGACCCACTCCGTGTTTCGAAGGTTGCATCCTCGGAGGAGCAGGTTGTCGATGGTGATGGGCTCCTGCATGTCCTCGGGTTCGTCGTCGTGGAAGCCGGGCACCAGCTGCTGCCATCGAATGGCGCCGTTGTATTTGTAGAGATTCGGTTGCGGAGGCTCGCTCTCGATGACGAACTCGGCTCTCTCGCAGTCGCGGGCGTGTCTGAGCTTCCTGCCGCAACGAAGGGCCTGGCGGACCTTGAGGTTGGTCTCACCGTCCAGGTTCTTGGTCTCCACATAGCAGGCGCCGTCCGGGTCGGACGTGGCGAGGATGATGACATCCGCGGGCAACTCGTCGTCGTTGTAGATGCGGACAAAGTCGCCGACAACGAGGTTCTTCCAAGCGTCCTTCTTAAACTTGGCACCCTGCGGCGCGTGAAGATAGTTGATGACGTCCGACTTCATATCCTGCAGGGCGATCGCACGCTTGGCGTCCTGGGTGTCGGGCAGCTCAATGCGGATGGCGCCGTTGGCAGGCGTCGGGGATGGCACGGGCGTCATCTGGATGTCCTCGCGGGCAGACACGTACGAGTCGCGGTTGGTGAATGGCGACGAGAGCGACTCACGCACCGAGCGCCTGGTGCGGATTGTCTCGATCGACGGACGGCCCTCGCTTTCCTCCGGAGGATTCAGCTTGCGCATCTTGCGCTCCTGCCTGGCAGTTCTGGCCTTCTTAGACCAAAGACTCTCAATGGCGTGCCATATGCTGCCAAAGAACTGGGAGGTGGCCTTTTTGAACTTGCGCCAGTCAGAGACGTTGTCCGTCTCGACATTGACATTGTTCCAGTGGTGCAGACGGTGGACCGGCGCGTTGTTCAGCTCAATGTCGAGGATCGTTCTCCGGTAGTCCTCGATGGCGTCCTTGATGGCCGTCACGACAATGATGAAGATCAGGGGCACGGCGTTGAGGCCCGGGTTCACACCACCAAAGATGGGGAAAATCTGTGGCGAGACTGGTCAGCATCTGCGACGGCTCAATTCGGGGTAGGAGGCAAGAAATTGGGTACTCACGACGAGGATGACGAGGAACAAGAAGAAGATGTTGGCCACATTGTGGAACTGAAACCACAGGTTCTTGGGCACAAACGACAGTGGTGTGTACTTTGCCGTCCTGATCTTGTTCCGCGGAAACGTGTATATAGGATGCCCTTCCTCGAGCATGTCATCTGGGAGGGGGAGGTTGAAGTAGAGAGTGCGGCTCTGGTGATCCTCGTCGTCCTCCGACTCGGAACCGCCGTCATCGTGATTGTCCCCGTCGTTGGGATCGTGGTCGCCCAGCGGCGGCTCGTTGCCGTCGTCTCCGCCCGGGTGATTCTTCTCATTCGAGGCGGTCCTCCGGTGCTGCATGCGGTTCAGGAGGGACATGCGCTTTGTACGGCCGCTCTTGACCGTCATCTTGCGGGTGGCCCATCGCGCCCGCTGCGTCTTGACCTTTTGCACGTCGGCCTCGGTGCCGGGGTCGGTGGTCGTTGAGGTGGCCATGATGATGGGAGAAGGGAAAGAAAGTCGCGGGCTAGCGCCCGTTCAACCCCAAGTCGCCAGCCAGGGTGCGGTGGTGTTGTTGTATCCGGGCGAGAGGCCTCAGCGCGAAGGGGGGGGGTTGCCGTCGGAGCAGGCGCCTCGCTGAGCGTGTGTCGGAACGGCGACGGGCAAACGTGTCGACGACGCGGGACGTCGAGGCGGGTTGTACAGCAACCTGAGCCTGACCCGTGGAGGGAGGGAGCTCGATTCGAGGCCGCACCGGGCGAGAGGTATCGCTTCGAGGGGTGGGCGAGTCGTCGTCGCCGTGGGCGATGGGTGCGTGGGTGAGGGAGAGTGAGTGAGAGTGCAGGTGGAAGCGAAAGATTGGCGATGGATGGACGGATGGAGGCTTCAGGTAACGGGCCCAGCGGGCTGGAAGGGGGATGGGGGGCTACGAAAAATGCAATGCTCACTCCAACCTGTCCTGTCCGTCCGGCGCTCGACGATGTAGCGTGGCATGTACCGGGACGCTGCGAGGGGGCGGCGGCGGGTACGTCGCGACACGCCCTGCGGTACCTCATGGCAAGCCCGGTAAGCCAGCGCCGTGGGAGGGCCAGGGGGTGCGAGAGGGCCACTAACAGCGCGCAGGAGACGGGGAGAGCACCAGCGCCCGCAGTTGCAGGGCAGGGCAGTGGAGGGCACCGCGCCGGGGACTGGCGGGCACCACGGCAGGCCGCACCCCCCGAGCAAGCACCCGACCCTCAGTCACCTAGCATTGCCTCCACTGGACAGACTGGCGGGCGCTCACTGCCCGCCCACCCGCCCGCGCGTGCGTTGGATGGCGGCGGCTGGCTGGCTGCCAGGGCCACTAGCTCCCGGCCCATCCGACCACATTCGCTCCGCCCCCACCGGCGTCCCTGCGAGGAGCAGGCCGTGAAACTGTTATTCGCTGCCAAAATGCGCCCGAGGCGCAACCAAGTTGCTATCGTAAGCACCAGCCGTTGCGGTGCGGTGCGGTGCGATGCGGGAGGAAGTTGGACGAAGCAGACGGGCGATCAATTGGTCAGCCGGCGACCGGCCAGCGGAGAGGGCCAGCGTCCTGCTCCCCGGGCATTCGGGGAGCGCGAGCGCGCGAGCGCCTGAGTCGGCGCCGACGCCGATTCGTGCACGCAGAATTGGAAGCCGTGATTTCACACACACGTTTGTTCCTCGAGTAAGATGCCCGTACCGCTAAAAACTCTACAATGGCGTTTCTCTTTTTCCCCGTCATTGTCGTTCGCATCGGCATTCGAGCAGCGCTACCGAACCCTCCCGCGCCGCCGGGCCTCCGCACACGACAGGCTCGGGAGACGCGCGCTGGTATTCCACATGCCAGCGGAATATGGACGGCCACGAGCGACGGCCTCCGCGAGTGGTCGAGGGGCGCGTCACCCGGGAAAGGGTCCATCCATCTCACGTCCGTCCCTATTATGTACGAGTCCCCTAGCCCGCAGCGCGTGTCGCTGGGGCCGGACTGGGCGTGGGCGGACGGCACAGGAGCCCCTTGAATTCCGGTCCATGGCACCCGCCCCTTGGCAAGACATGCAACGGACGCGTCGCGAGCTGGACGAGAGAGCAAGATGCCCGTCGGTCGCGGCTCGCGTAGTGCACGATAGCCTGTCCGGAAACCGGGCGGGCATCGCTGCGACTGCATGGACGGGAAGCCGGGCAAGCCGCTCCTCGTCTGGCTGGCTCAGAGCCCGTCCGTCATTCACGATGCTTCAAAACGTCCGTCGTCCCCGGGGTTAGCGGACTCGGACTCCATGGGCGCACCGTGGCTCCGCCGCCACGCACGCCCACCGCAACCGCGCGACGGAACACTGGGCTGCGTGTGGGGGGTGGGCGCTGGGTCCCACGGCAATACGGGTCCCGCTCCGCTCGACACAACCTGGAAATGTGATGCATATCATGAGAAGTCGCACCGCGGGGCGTCGCATTGCGCTGCGGGCCATGCCCGGACTGGCACTGCTCGGAACACGGCGGTGACGTGGAAGAAGCGCAGTCACCCGTGAAGCTTGCTGTCGAGACGCGCACGCCTGTGCACGCTGGACAGGCACCTGGGCAGGTTCCACGGATGACGACAGTCGGTACGATGCTATAATCTCAGCGCTGTTACAGGCGGGGGCCAGTGGACTTTGGGTCGGCAGGTAAAGTGCCCTGCCATTTGAGCCCCAAGCGGGCACGGCTGCCCGTGCTGCTGACAGCGGGCCCTCCCCCTTCTGGGCCGCCCTCCACTGGCACACCTCAGGTGGCAGCTGGAGCCCGTCGCCGGGCACCCATGAGTTCCTGCAAGCCCCCCCTTCCCTCCTCCGCTCCCTGCCACCCCCGTCATCCGTCCGTCTTTGCTCCGCCTGCGCCGCCGCTGACGGGGCTAAAAGGAGCCCTGTGCATGGCCCAACGGCCGCAAGTAAAATTAGATAGACTTGGCTCCCGCGCCACAATTCGATGTGGCAGCAGCGCCTTGTCGCTTCCATCGCTTTTATGCGGCCGGCCGAGGCCCCGTGGGTGCGTGTGCATGTCTGTGTCTGAAGGGGACGATGGGCGGCGAAGGGAGCGCTCGGGGGCTCAAACGTGGCATTCTGGCATTTTCGTGCCCCCAGCGCCCGCCAACGCCGGGTCCCCAGGCTGCCGGTGCAGGACGGATACCGGAAGCTGCCATGACGCAACAGCTCCCTTCTCCGCAGAGGCAAAGGCTTGTTTGGGAACTGCAATCACGCACTGGGAGCACCAAGAGTAAGATACTGTAGTACTACTGCCTTGGACTCGCACATGCGAATGGACGGGCGGCCGCGCCATCAAAGGTCTCGCAACGCGTCCACCCACGATGCAAGTACGCGCACTACAAAGCAGTAGCACCAGCAGGACGCGCGTGTAATACTCCATACGACATGCATACACGCTCCTAAATATCGCAGTCCCCCCAGAAAACAAGCACGTCGTCATTTGGCCTTGTGGGACGGACCCCTGACCACCGCCTCACCTCGCAGAGCCATCTCGGACTTTTTGAAGCGCTACCGGCGGCGGACCTCGCCAAACTCGGATCTGGTGGGGGTCCCTGTGCTGTGCCTGCGCTGTGCCTGAGCTGTGAGCTCTGTTGGCCTCCTCGGAAGGGACCCTCATCGTGTCATCCATCCCCTCTTGCCCCCTTTCTCGTACTGTACCAAGTCATTCATCTCCACCGATCCCGCCGTCTCTTGACACGGTCAATCAATCGCGCTGGCCAGCCGGCCGCGGCCGGACCGTCTCGGGCGGGTGGGAGGGTCGGACGCCCGACTCGCTGGCCTTGTCGCGGTGCCGACGCCGCCGACGCCGCCACCGGCGTGGCCGTTGGTGATTAAGGTATTCGCCACCCGGACGGGAGTCAGGACAAGAGTTGCCTTCGCCACGTCCGTCCTCCACGGTTGCCGCCCGCCGCCGCCGCTGCCGTGATGGACTTCGTGCTTGTTCCGGTCCGGATCTTCAAAGCACTCCGCTCGCGAACGGCGTACCAGATTACATCGGCGTGCGCCTCCAGACGCATACGTACCCCCCGGGCGAGCAGCTGGTAAATCCCAGTCTCCCCGGCCCCTGACCTGGGCTGGCCGCTAGGAGGTACCTTGCTTGCCTGCTTGCTTGCTTGCTTGCCTCACCTTGGCACGGCTGCGCTGTCCTGCCTGTGAGAGCCCCAAAATGTCCAGCGACGCGGGTGAGTCGCGATTGATCCGCAATCGCGTGGCATTGGGGTCAAGATTGTCGACTGGAATCCGCGCCAGAACCCACCGCGACGGGCACTTCTGCTTCGCTGCCTCGCCGCGGCGTGCAACCCTGCGAGAAAAACCTCAGACATGTCCATGTTTAAGTCTACTTCGTACCGCCCGTGCCATCCCCCGTCTCACATTGTCTCGCTTTCAGCCCCAAGCCATTGGGTCCAGCTGCCGAGCGCAGGGACCTGCCACCTGCCACCTGCCTGCTCAGACCGAGAGTTCGTTTGGGGAGACTTGGGCCGGCGTCCGTCACCGTTCATCGCGTGCATTGTCGGAAGACGCTCATCTTCCCCTTCTGGTGGGCGCACACGCTGATCACTTCTGGGGGGGCCAAGGGGGGCTGTTGATTATCGCATTTGTGTCACCCTACCTTCAGCATCGCCTGCGCGGGCCCGTCAAAGATGTGACAAGTGTCCACTTGGGACGGCCATGCGGGTAGCCCTATTCGGCAGGCGGGCAATCCCATGTTTGGGATGTTCGCGGGATGCTTTGCATTGGGCGGGCCGCTTCGTGACGAGCGTGCGTGCGAGCATCGCCGACAGAGCCACCACCGGCAGCATCGAGACAAGTGGGCTTGCAGTTTGCGGCAGCTGCGGGAGAACGTAGTATCATGGATGTTTCAGCGCTGCCGCCTGTTCCTGCACGGATGGACCAGAAGATGAACACCGCGCCCTGCTTGGAGGTGTTGTCGCCGAAAGAGTCCCGAGACCAAGCTTTCCCTCGACGTCTAGCTACGTACGGTACAGTACTCGAAGATAAACCCTTGAAGTGTTTCTGTACATGCTGTTGCATGTGCCACTGCACTTGGCATAGACTAAGGACGGCGAGCATTGATTGTCCTTTTGATGTGCCAGATGTGATCCTTTAGTTGCCGGTCCGTGAACTTCACGGGATATGAGAGGTATAGGGTAGTCTGGGCTTATATAAGCCGACGCGGTGGGGAAACCCCTCGACGCGCCGTGGTGGGACCCGATCTATCGTCCTAGACCCTGCTTGCCTTGACGCGGATGGCACCGAACAAGGCGAGACCCTGGCCCCAATGACATCTCAACGCCACGGCCGTCAAAGACATCGCGTCAAATCCAACGTCGAAGCCCCCTTGCCGCGGGGTCTCCGGCGTCGTTTGCGCCGTGCCACCGTCGGAGCACCTCGCAAGAGTTGTCGTGGCTGATAACCGGCGCCATGCCGTCTCAGAAGCCCAACAAGACGGCCGCTGGGAACGGCAACATCATGAGCTTCTTTAGGCCCATTCCGCAGTCGCAGTCGCAGTCCCTGCCGCAGACGCCGCCGCGGGCGTCCTCTTCCTCGCGTCTCTCAGCACTAACGTCCCCGTCCCCGGTCCCGTCGCCCTCCCCGCTCGGCGCCAGGAGCCGGAGCGCCACGACGACGCCTGCCGGGCGACGGCTGCAGCGCCAGGAGATTGCGGCGTCCGACGATGAAGGAGCCGAGTACGAGGCGTCCTCATCGGACGACTCGCTGGAGGACCTCTCTGTGCTGCTCGGGGGTACTGCTCGCCGGGCCACGCCGGTGCAGCAGAGGGCCGGGCAGAACCCCTACGCGACGCCCAGAGCCAAGAGGACGGCCGTGGAGTTTCACTCGAGTCCGCTCGCCATCATCCCAAAGCACAAGTTTGACATCAAGGCGTTGGCCAAGGATGCCCGCAAGGACAACGCTACCATGGCCAGCTCGCTCGCGAGCAAAAAGGCTGCCGAGGAGTCGAGGCAACGAGCCGACGCAGCCAGCGCGGAGGCGTCAGGAGATGTCATCGCCGGTGTCGTCACAGAGAAGGGCGGCCACGATGCGCAGAAAGTCCTGCGGGCTGTACAGCGATCGGACCCCGGCCAGGCTCAGCTGCGGTACTGCTTCTTTGACCAGGAGCCCGCCGCGCCGTCGCCCAGGCCAGTGCCCAAGGAGGGGAAGAAAGGACCCTGGCAGTTGTTGACCCAAGGCAGCATCAAGGTCCGGGAGCAGCATCTCGTGTCCGGCTTGCCCCAGATGGTTGTACGCAAGCTCAACAACCTGCCGGATGCCATCTTTCAGTGGATTCTGGACGATATGTGCACCCAACAGTCTGTGATTATTCGGCAGGAATACCTACAAATGATACTGGACTGTCGCGAGCAGGTTGAGCGGCTGCTCACGCCGGAGCGGTTGCAGTACCTGTTCCTCCAGCTAGGCGCGGCCGAAGACATCAAGAATGGGGCCCCCGAGTTCTCAGTGTCTAAGCTGGCCAACGAACCATACCAGGACCGCGACTGGTCATGTCTGCAGACGTTCATCGAGCTGCTAGGATGTATCTCGGCTCATCTGTCTGTCCCTGCTGTCCGATATGCGGTCAAGACGCTGCTGCGAATGTCCATGGACAGGCTCCTGATATGCAGCATCGACCTGTTGAATGCGTACCAAGACTCGGTCCAGGGTCTTGTCAATGCCATCCCTGGACCTTCATGGGATTCGTTTGTACGTGCCTCCAACCACCAATCGCCTCTGAGCTATCCAATGCTAACTAGTACAGTGCTTCGAGGCAAGCTCGTTCCTTTCCGCAGGTATCAAGGTCCAAAGCATACGGGCGGACTCGCTGCTGTGCCTTCCCGTCAGTGACCGCAGGACGCACGACCTGAGGCGGAGGTTGGCCGTCGTGTTCCTCTTCGAAGACGACACCCTCGGCCGGCACAACGCCGAGGATATTGTCACCCTCCGGACTATGATCGATCTTGTCAGCGGGGACGACTTTGGCATCACGTCCAAGACCGACTTTGCCGAGCTCAAGGCCAAAATCATTCTCCTGGACATGGCCGTCGACGACGGGTCCGTCGGCGCCTTTGACGACCGCGAGGCCGAAAAGAGGTTCAACGACGACGTTGATGAGCTGGCCTCGAAGCTCCGCGAGATTTGGCGAAAGATTAATGACTCGGGCATGAAGCTGGCGCGCACCGAGACCAAGAGTGTTGTCGAGTGGGTGCAGCAGCGGTTGCTGACCACGGTGCGCACCAAGAGAAAGGCCAAGAAGAGCGTATTTGACCTCCCTGGCGAGTCCGACGCCGCAGACCTGCCGCGGCAGCAGGACTACATGAAGAAGTTTCTACAGAGATAGGGTGAGCCACCCTGCCGGCCCCTGCCCCAACGACGGATGCATTGTTTTCGCGGATTGATCTAGAGGAGCGGCCGATACCCACCCATTATCACGAGGCATGTTGGCGACGGATGACAGGAATTTTTGTGTGCGTGCTTGGAGCTCGGCGTTTGAGGCTGGAAAAGGTCATGTTTTATGGTACAGCATCTAAAGTAGGTACGGGTCGCGCGATTCGAATAGAAACATTGCAAGGGTCCTGTCGATGCATACACGCACATGCGCAGCTCCGTCTCGTGTCCCCCCTCTTGCGTCTCCCACGGAGCAGTCTCAACACTTGGCCGTGCCCCATGCGAGGAGATATCTAGTCGACGAACTTGCGGTTCGGGTTCTTTCCAAACAGTGACTGGCGCACGGCGGGGGCGGCAGAGTCCTTGAGCAGCTCCAGCCGCGTCTCGAATGTGTTGTCGATGTCGATCTTGCCGTCGCCACCAACGATGATGACGCCTCCGGACCTGCGTGAGCGATTGTGTGTCAGCACGTTTACTACCAGCGGCAATTGTCGGTGGTCGAGGAACGGAGGGTTGCGACGTCACGTACGAGCCTTCGGGCAGGGGATGCTCCTCGTGGATGACGCCCTCGACGTCCTTGCCCGTCTCCTTCTTGTACTCCTGCGCCGCCTGCTCGCTCGCCTTCTTAACCGCGTCGTAGTCCTTCTTGCGGGCGCGCAGCTGCAGCTTGGGCTCGTTCATGGCGTAGAAGCCCTCGAGGATGAGGCCCTTGAGAATCTTTTGGTACTTGGCCTTGTCCTTGGCGCCGTCGGCGAGCTGCTTCTCGGCGGCCTCGAATATGTTGTCGAGCAGCTCCTGGCGGGCGCCGAGGACCTTGAGCCGCGTCTTGTTGGCGACGGTGGAGCGCGTGATTTGCTGCGACATGGTGGCCTGCTTGAACTTCTTCTCGTACTGCGAGTCGATGGCGTCCGTCTCCTGGCGGACGAGCTTGGACTTTTCAATCTCGAACTCCTCGTTGGCCTTGATCTCGATCTCGCGGGCCTTTTCCATGGCCTCTTGCTTGATGAAGGCCGTCATCTTGCGGAGCTCATTGTCGACCTGGTACGACGGACCTGCGTCAGCGGTAGGTTCTACGCGCGCGGGGGAGCGACCGCGGCGGGGGTCGCAGCAGAAGCAGCGGCGAGGGCGAAGCTCAGCGCGGAGGCATCGCCGCGAGCGCCGCATCGTCGTCATCGGCCTTCGTGCGCACGAGACGTACCTGTTGGTCGGACAATGCGTGTTGCGACATGGCTGCGGTGTTGGGGCGGACCGGCGCGGCTATAGACGGGGGAGAACGATGGGCGACAGGCGGGCGGGATCCCGATCACAGCCCGAGGATGGCTGCGGCGTCGAGGGCGGAGGGATGTAGGTCGTTGCTGGGGGATGGACGGAGCGGAGATGGAGCGTCGTCGCAGGAGGAGCTGTGACGCCTTGGGGGCAGTTCGAGAGGCGGGAGCTGTCGTCGGCGGGACCCCCCAGTGAGGTGGCTGTGGGTACGATGGAATTGAGACTCGAAGCCTCAACCGCTGTTCTACCAGCCACAGCGGCCCAGCTCAGGTGATGCTCCCCGCTATTGGCCTGGTGCTTACAGGGCGTTCCAGCGGCTGGGATGACGTTGCGACCGTTCCTAGGTACATCATCATGTGACCCCCAGCCGGGCACCAGCCACATGCGCTCGAGCACAAGGGGGCCTTTGGGGGCGCTGCTACAGCACCCGCGCGGGCCTGGCTCGGCGAGTCTCAGGGCCACGGTAACACCTCAGCGTGTTTGACCCTGTCAGGTGGTCTCGACGGGACGGTCTGGCGCATGAGCTCCGCCAAGCAAGCGCCCATCCCGCTCCTGCGACGCTGCTGCAGCCTGCATTCAACCGTCGAGACATCATCAATTGCAATCGCTTACCTCGAGAGCTCCCGCGCTCCCTCCCGTCCCTCACGCAGCCCCCCTGTTCGACCTTTTTGTTGCGCGGGTGCCGGCGCCCTTCATTATTCGTTTATCCACCCCCCTCCCGGGCCATCGTCATAGCTGGCGAGCAGCCACCGCTCTCGCTCCCTCACCACCCAACAAACCTGGCCTGACCGACAGAGGGCCTGCTCCTCCAGCCATCAGCGAGCCTCGCGCCCCGACCGACGCCGACCGCGCACTCCTCCTCGCTCCGGTGCCCACCGGCTGCAAGGTGGCGCTCTCGATATCGACGCGCGCACGAAGCTCCCGTTCCGCTCCTCATGCCTGGCCCCAGCGACGCTCTGCCCTTGTCCTCCGCCAGATGACCGTCGATCTGGACGCCGCGCGATGGGACCATTCAGCGGCATCTCCCCTGGCGGGAGCATAGCTGTAAGCACTGCTCTACGCCTCTCCCTGAACGAGGCTCGCAATTCTACGAAGAGAGAACGTACTAATACGATGTGCGCGCCCGCAGCTGGGAATCATCGTCGGCTTGATATCGACGAGCGTGCAGAGCCTCGGCCTGACGCTCCAGCGAAAGTCGCACATCCTCGAAGACGAAAAAGGCCCGCACGATGTGCGCCGGCCGCCATATCGGAGGCGCAGATGGCAGCTGGGCATGGGCATGTTCATCATCGCCAACCTGCTGGGTAGCACGGTGCAGATCTCGACGCTCCCCCTGCCGGTGCTGTCGACGCTCCAGGCGGCCGGCTTGGTCTTCAACTCGATCTGCGCCACCCTGATACTGAGCGAGCCCTTCACGCGGTGGTCGCTCTGCGGCACCGTTCTCGTCACGAGCGGCGCCGTCCTCATCGCGATATTCGGCGCGATCCCGTCCCCGGCACACAACCTAGACGAGCTGCTGGAGCTGCTCGCCCGCAAGCCGTTCGTGGCTTGGATGATCTTGCAGGCACTATTCGTCGTCGGCACTGCCATTTTGATAGATGTCATAAACCGAACTTCCAGCATATCGCATAATTCTCGCTTCCGCCTAGCCCGCGGCATCACGTACGGGGTCATCAGCGGCGACCTGTCCGCTCACGCCCTGCTCTTCGCCAAGTCGGCCGTCGAGCTGGTGATCAAGACGATCGGGGGTAACAATCAGTTCGCTCACTGGGAGTCGTGGGCCATAGTACTGGCGCTCGTTGCCCTCGCGCTGTGCCAGCTCTACTACCTACACCGCGGTCTGAAGCTAGTGTCTACCTCGGTTCTATACCCGCTTGTGTTTTGCGTTTACAACATCATCGCCATCTTGGATGGATTGATATACTTTAACCAGACGAGTCTCATCTCGGCGCTGCACGCGTGCCTGATCGCGCTCGGCACCGTCATCCTGCTGTCGGGCGTGCTGGCGCTGTCGTGGCGGCTTAGCGACGAGCAGCACGCGCCCGGTGTCGGCCAGTCGACACTGGCCCCTGGGCTGGGCCTTGTCGAGGACACAGAGGGCGAGGAGGAGTCCCTCTTGGGGTCCGAGGAGGCGGCGGTCGAAGAAGAGGTCCCTACCTACCAAACATTCCCAGCCGTCAACGGCGAGACATCGCCGCTTACGCCAACGCGCAAGAAGACGTTCCGGTGGGCAGAGCGGGCCGAGATCTGGGGTGAGCTGGAGGATCAGGAGGAGCCGACCACGCCGGTTGGCAGGCTGCGGGCCATCACCCTCCCTGGACGGACGGAGTCTACGCCGTTGCTCGCCTCGGCGCGGAGGTCCGTCAGCGGCGTCATTGGCGGCCGCGACGATGGCAGCGGGCCGAGCACTGAGGCGAACCCCCGCAAGTTTACCCGCCGGCGGAGGAAAAGCACAGGCTTCCCTGGCCTCGTCGCGAGGCGCAACGTCCGGAGGAGGAACTCGTCCGGGTCCGGGTCCGGCTCGATACGAGACATGCTCTCGCTGAGTTGGTGGACGCAGCGCGGGAGCCGCGCCTCGGTCAGCAGCGCCGGAGCGGTGGGCAGTCCTTCGCAGCCGCGGCCGTCGGACGGCGACTTGGGCGACGACCGACCGGAGAGCGCCGGCGGCAGGGGGCGCGACGACTCGGCTGTATGAGTTGGAAAGAGATACACTCTTGTTTCTGTTTTGCATCATTTCTCATGTCGGGCGGCAGCTGGCGAGGCGAACAAGGCGTCCTAGAATATCACATACACGACACGCACGCACATTCCGGTGTGGAGACGGACTCGTTGCAACACTGGGGGGTTCACCGGTGTACTTTGGAAGCGAGGGCCTCTCGACGGTGCAAGATGGCCGAGGGCCCCTTAATAATATACGATTATGCCTCTGGTGTCTACAGATCAGCCACAGCTTGGCTCGAAGGGTCTCCTGATCGGAATTTTGCACAGACACCGACATGTCTCCATTCCTATATACTGCCGTTGGAGGACATGATGATACCGAAAGATTTTATTTATACCGTGCATTGACAGCTGCTTTCTCTAATTACAACAAGGCTAGGACAGCGCGTGAAGAAGGAGCAGCTGGGCAGTGAGTGAGTGAGTGAGTCTTTGGTTCAGACCAGGAGCCAAAGGGTTTGTTGGCAGAAGGAGTATGGGGCGAATATGTCGTCAATGCGTGACACTTGTTCTCTCGAGCAGCGCTCCAGTGCTGCTATATCGCTGATATCCAGGCAATATACACAAATTCTTCCTCCCGTACAGCGGGCACGCAGCAAGATACCAACCAAGCTGGGCTTAGGGACGGACGCCCGCCCGCTCCGCAAGCAGGCAGGCAGCTCAGAAGCCGCGGTAGCCCGCCTTCTCGTCGATGTGGCGGTAGCGCTCGCGCTCCTTGCGGTCCTTGAGGAGGCACGCGATGGCGAGGATGAGGACCGCGTCGACGCCTAAGAGGAAGAGAAGGGGATGTTAGATGGGACGGATGCCGGATGGGAGCAATGGCAGCACTAAGGGGAGGGGGTTTCCGCGAGCGGCTTGTGGGCAGAAGGCAGGCAGAACGTACCGACCATGCCAAAGACGGCGGTAAAGATGTTGTCGATGAAGATGTTGGCGAAGCTCGAGATGGCGGTCGCGCAGCCGCGGACGAGGGCGGCGGCGGCGGGGCTGGGGCAGGTGTCGTCGGTGACGAAGGCGGGCGTCGTGCGGTTGAAGTAGCCGCAGCAGTCGAACTGCGACGAAGCCGTCATCAGCACACTCAACGTTTCACCCCGTGATGCACATATGGACCCAAGCATATGCCCACACACCGACTCAACCCAATACAGAAGTTTGTCCACTCACCGAAGTTTGTATCAGAGAATGCACGGCGGGTGTCTGGTCGACGTAGGTATCGAAAAACGCGTCCTTGATGCGCAGCGTCATGATCCAGAGGAAGACGCCGATGCAGAGCGTGAAGAGGCCGCAGACGGTGATGAGGTAGCCGCCGGCCTTGAGCCAGCCGCGCATGGGCGACATCATGCCGGGGATGGTGAAGACGAAGGCGGCGAGGATGAGGGCGGCGTTGACGATGCCCGCCGTCAGGGGGAAGCGCTGGTACAGCAGGTTGCGGACGGCCTCCTTGCCGTCCCGCGGCGCGTCGTCCATGAGCCCCCGCACGACGAGGCAGAAGCCCAGCTGGACGCAGCCCGTGGCGAGGAAGAGGACGTCGGCCGCGAGGGCCGCGAGGAAGACCTTGTTGGGCATGATGGTTGGGTTGGGTAGGTGGGTGGTGAGGTTCGCCCGGGTTGCCCGGACGGATGAGTGAAGAGAGCGCTTCTCGAGGGGGAGAGTGAGTGGTGTTGATGACGGCCAGCGTCTAGAATCGGGCGTTGCGTTCAATCGAGCATCCGTATGCAGCGTGCGTCCGGTTCAAGTCGAATCTCGTAGGACGTCTACCAGGACGGCGTCTTCAGTCGGCGATGAAGCGAGTGACACGGCCCTACACAATGGCCTCGACGGAAAGCTCACACCAACGAAGAGAAGATAAGAACTCGAACAGCCCTTCACGGCCTTCAGAACGAAAGAATCAAATCACCACGCTGCCATGACGCGAAAGGGAAAAGGAAGCCTCAGGAAACCACTACCGCCGCTGTTACTCACGGAGTCGCACCTCATCAGTCCCACGGAGACCGAGCGGGCACGCGGGCGGGCGGGCGCTTACACCCAAGGTACGTCTGTCGGTCGGTTGGGCCAAGCCAGACGGGCGGAGCAGCGCCCTGACAAGGACCGTTTCAGGCGTGCATCAGAAATCAGTGCGTCGACGGTGGGCGCGGGCACGGTTGCGCGGGCTTCTGGCTGCCGGGGTGACGCTCGGCCAATCAGGAGCGCGCATCCGCTGGCCAAATCGCCTGATTGGGGAGGGGGCAGGGACGTCTTCCACTGCTGGGGGGGGGGCCAGAGTTTTGGTTTGGCCCCCCCCAAGCCCCCCGTCATCGCCCGCTCGTGGGACTACTGCCTGCCTCGTCGATGTTGCACTGCGAAAACCTTGCTGCTGCTGCTGTTGCTGCTGCTGCTGCGTGTCTGAGGAGGTGACGAGGCCAGGCCAGGCCAGTCGCTGCAATGACAGGCAGAAAAGTAATTGCCAATGTTAATTTCACGGTGAACGAACATGTTTGGTGTCCTCCTGGTCAATGAATGCGGTGCATTGATATGATATACCCTGGGAGGGTATCCGGCCCGCCTTGCCCGCGCCAGAACAAGGAAGAGAGGACTTGGCATCACGCGCATGTGCAGACGGATACCCATACGTACTCGTACAAATTTTGCAGGCATCACTGCTGCTCCGTACTCCCGTGGTCCCTTGCAACGGTCCTTGGAACCCTCACTTGCCTTGCCGGCTGCTTGCGTTCTTGCCTGTCTAGCTCGTGGGATGAACCAACCGGCGGCAAACGAGCCTCTTGCTCGTCCAACACGCCTCCATCGCCGTGTCGTGTCATGTCAAGACGTCTCTCGTCTTGACGCGTTTGAGCGAGGCTTGCCTGCCTGCTTTGCCTGCCCGTCAGCTGCCCATCCATGCGCGGCAACCGTCGTACGAGCAACGCCACGCCCGTGCGACCCGACGCGCGACACGGCCGGACATCCGGCGGCTTGGTAGTTGGGTATCTGTCGTCCTCGCTTCAGGGCGGGCGAGCGGGCAGGTGGATGGACGGACGGGCAGGGCTCGGTCAGTGTGTGCTGCCACCGCTGCTGGGCGTGACGGCCGCGCAATGCGTGTCGTGTCTCACGGCGCTGCGGTGTCAGGCCAGGGGAGGGGACGAGGCGTCCGCCAAATGTGCCCATGCCGGCATGTGCGGCGTTGGGCGCGCGTCTGGAAACAGACGAGGGTGATGCTGGGAGGTCGGCGGCCGTTGAGACACAGACGTCGTCGCCATGAGAGTCAACAGGCACACCGGCGCTGCACATCTAATCTGGGGGCCCAAAACGGTAGGTATTGCTCTTCTGCCTTTGCAACCACACCACGTGGACGGGTTTCCTGAATCGTCCCCGTGCGGAAAGACGGAGCGTCGCGAGCTTCCGGTGCAGGGTGGCTTGCTTGTGTCGTAACGCACTCGCAGTCGGCCGAGTAGCTTGCGAGGGTGCGTGCGCACAAACCCTAGAGTTGGACAAGGCAACTCTACTCCGACTTGATTAAGGCTCTGACCTCGATGTACTGGTCTCGGGACGCCTCCAAGCACACATCCCGAGGCATCATCTTACTGTAACAGCCGCTGCCGCACTCGAGCGTCGTCGTCGCCGGCGACCTCTGTGGCCGCCGCCTCGCTCCAACCGCCACGCGCCCTTGCCGCTGTCGACAGCGCCATCGACTGCCACTGCCGCCGTGCTCGCAACGCACCCAACAGGTGCCAACGAGGCGCCCGAGCGCGATGTGCCTCGACCCGTCAGCACCGGCACCAACGCGTTGCCCATCTGTAGCGGAGTATCCCGTCTTATGCTGCTAGCGAGGCCCCCCAAGGCGGCTCCGCCTAAGTGCATACTCGTACCGGCACCTTTTGAACTGCACTCCGTAGGTGCATAAGGTAGGTACCTCGTACGTCGTACTTTCCAAGGTTGTCAGTTCGAGTACGTGCCAATCACGCCGGCCATGCCAGTGGAGGCATGTGGCAAGCAGGCATGCTCTTTCATCTCGCCCCAGCGTCAACACAAAACAACCGTTCGAGCCGCCGGCCCCTCGCATGGGGGTAAATGCCACGGGAACCCCTCCGAACGCTCGACGCCCTGCGTTTAATGCCGCCGGCCGGCCATCCGTCTGATGTCCCAGCCATCCTGCGTGCCATCTCGTCGTGTCCTCGCCCCGGGGCTGTCGCTCGTCTGGCCGTCAGCCGGCTTGCCTCTGCTGCCCTGGGCCTGGCCTGGACGGACTGGACCGGACTGCTGCAAGGCGACAGGGGAACCGTGGCGCCAGCGGGCCACGCTCACAAGCTCCGTTCTGGAACCTTTCCGGATTCACACTGTGCGCGCCCAGGTAGCTGCCTAAAGCGGCCAAGCGCGCAGGATCTCCGCCGAGCCAGCCCTCTGACAAGCTCACTGGCGCCGGGGCAGCCAGAGCCTGGGCTGGGTTGGACAAGCAAGCATTGGACAGGCAAGCAAGGAGAGGGGGCATGGAGCTTGGGTTGGAGGGAGGGTTCCTTGTGGGAACGCCAGTGCAGGTCCCTGCGGCAATCATTGGGCCAGGCGGCATCCGCAGGAGGCGTCATGTCGAGTCGCCCGCCCGCAGACTGAGACGGCCGAGCCGTTCATGTCACGACGCCTGTTGAACCGATCGCGCTCGCAGCCTGCTGTATTCGGCCTCGACGGCCTGTCGGATTGGTTGGGGGCGCGGCCGTGTTGGTACGGGCGCCAGACGACTTGTACGACCGACGTTACCTGGGCCTTCTTGCCACGATCGATGTCGAGGCATCCGGATCGGCTTCAGTGACCTGGACGGAGTCGCCACTACCAGGTACCGTACCCTCCATGCCTCCTCCAAAGCGCCTCGTCGTTTTGCACCGGCGCATCCTTCGATACTGTTCCCCATGGTGCGTGCAAGGCATGCATGTGCCCCCCGGACGTCGTCTATAGTTGGCAACACCACAGCTGCGACCCGGCACGCGAATGACGCGGGACAGGCCAACAGCCCAGGACCCTGGCTGTCTGGAACAACTGATCAGCATGCTCCGGCTTCATGACGGGACCGCATGCTTAGCACGAGCGCTCGCCAGGGAACTTTTGCCGCTCTCAGCTGCCAGCGCCATGGTCTCCCGTGCCATGCATCTCCGATTCCTCGAGTGCCCGTGGCCATGGACTCGTGAGTGCCGCGTCTTTCTCTGGGCTGTGTCGACAAGCGGGCTGTCTGTCTCTCGCGTCAACGGTGTCATCAAGGCAAACGTGTGCCATGGGGTTGCACAGAGACGGCTGACGTCCGGCAGAGCCTGTCAAGCAAAGTGCTCCGCACCCCGGCACGCACCTCGACCACACCACCCGGCGGCACCGCAAGAGCACTCGCGGTTTTGGGGTTGCATCACAGTCGAGGTGGAAAGGGGTTCGACGGCCAACGCCCAAAGTGCAAAATTACCTGATTTGATTGCGTCGATTGCTGACGACAAGGACGTTTCGCACGAGATCATCAGAGGCGCCGATTGCCGTGGCCCACCCTAGCGCAGCTTCACCATCGACGCCGCCGTCCAGCGTCCCTTGCTGCACGGGGGATGTGACGGCTGGCGAGAGCGAGTGCCCGCCAGCCAGTCCTGCACACGCACACTGCCCGTCGGAGCAATGTCCCGAGTCATGGCCTGTGCTAAGCGAGGGCCGCCTCGGTCTCTCAAGTCGACGGCTGCGAGACACTCTGCTTGCCTTGGCCCGCCTCCAGTCGTCTTCATCACCGGCAAGCGGTTCGTTGGCTGCGTCAATCTCAATCGGCAGCGGCAGGGCGCTCGCTCGCCGTCTGGGGCCTCCTGAGGCGGGCCGGGGGACCGGCCAGGATGGCGTGCCGTGACCCTGGATCATTAAAGGGCCCCAATTGTGTGGGTGGGGACTGGCGAGCCAAGTCCAAGCCGGAGAGTCCAAAGTCCAAGGCATCAATCCAGGCCGCGGAGGCAAGGAGGAGGATGGAGGGTCGCCGCCAGTGATTGATGGACTGATGCATGCCGTGCGTGGTGGACCAGACAGCAGTTTTCCCAAAAAGACCGCCCCGTAGCGGCTGCGACTAGCGAGTGGCCCAGGCCTGGCCTTACGGGGGCAGCGCGGGAGAGGCACGGCCAAGCTCTTACCTTACTTTACCTTTCGCCTCGTGCCCCGGGCGGCAGCAGGTCCTCGGGGCGAGGCCCCAGTTCAGCCCCGGTGCTGCCGTGCGAGGCAGCGCGCGCATCTTGTTACCCTGTGCATGTGCCGACTACGAGGCCACGGAGTGGGAGCAGGACACGCAAGCAGCTCGGCCACCATGACGACCGCGAGACATGTCCTCGGCAACCTAACTCTGATGCCATCCATTGTACCTGACAGTCCCAGCGTCAATGCGAGTTGGGCGGACGCAAGGCCTCGGGGCTGGGGGACGTGGAGCTTATCTGGCCGATGGCGGGATGAAAAGCCACACTTGGACGCCGGCGTGCGTCGATGCATCGACAGCGCGAACCATGCCATGCCACCTGCTAGTCCCCGGCCGGCGCCATGAGGCACTGACGAAAGCCCACGCTGCAGAATGCACATCCCGTCCGTCTCAATCCTGCTTGTCATCTGCACAAGGCTCGTCGCCCGCAGGGTACGAGGTAGGCAGGACACGACAGGACCGGACGGGCCATGACAGGCAGGCTGGAACAGAGCTCCGCCGCGTCTCCCCCACAGGCACAGCCCTGCGCGCTGCATCCAGTCCGGTGTCTTGCTTTTTTTTTCGCGCGACGGGCCCGGTGGATCCCCCGGCCTGCCCAGCCCTGGGGGCCTCCACCGATGGAGCCCTACTCCAAGGCTCCTCCTCTCCCACTGGGTCCACTGGGGTCCTCGTGCTGGTGCCGAGCGGCGCTGCTCTCGGTCGGGTACCGCTGCTCCTGCTGCTGGTGCCGCCGCCGGCGCGGTACCTCAGCAGCCGGACGGGGCCCCCTCCACTGCTCCAGGGCTCGGAGCACCAACAGTGCGCGGACAGTGCTACTAGTACGGGCCACCCATGCCAGCTGTGGATGGGCCCCACCCAGCTTGCCCACTCACAGGCGGCCGTTCGTTCGTCCGTCATTCCAGCGACCGGGGGGGCTTCACAGAGCCGTCCAATCAGCGCGTGGCCGTCGGCCATTCTTGTCGCTGCCCACCCACTCCTGCTGTCTCTCTCGTCTCTTGTCCGTCGCCAGAGGTCAGCAAGTTGCACGCGGCTCCAGTCCCACTGCGAGCCCAGCACCGCAAGGCCCCCCCCCTCCAATCCTCGCCCCCCCGTTGTTGCTCTCCGCCCCCCCAGGCCAGCCACTGAGCCGCTGTCCTCTGGGCTGGCTGGCTGGCAGCTCCGTGACCGTGACGACCACCAGCAACCTACGCTGCCCGCCCACCCGCCTGCAGGACGGCCCCGACAGTTGAGGTGAGGTGGGAAGTGGGAAAGGCGACAGGGCAACGACGAGCAGCAGCAGCCGCCAGCGGCGGGCGGGCATGTACCTCACCTGCCTGCCCTGCCTGCCCTGCCCTGCCCATCCCCCGCCAGTCCAGCCTGCCGCCTGCCAGACTTCCCCCCCGATAATCAAAAGTCAGGCCCAACACTCTGCCCGTTCGCCCTTCTCTCTTCCTCGCAACTCGCCTTTTCCACCAAGCGCCCCGTCCCGACTCTCTCGAGCGCTATGCGTCAGGGCCGAAGCTGGCATCGCCAAACAAAGCAATAAGAACTGGCGGCAGGTCGTACCTTGCCTCGTTTCGCACACTTCCTACCTTTGCCTAGCACCTACATCCAACTGCCCTCGCTTCCCCTTCCGCCCAGCGCGCCCAGCAGCCCACCTGCTCCTCCCGAGTCCCGTCCTCACCTCACACCAGACTCAATCCAGAAGAGCGCGCGCCCAACCGGGTGTTTCTGCGACACACAAGGGCACCTCCCTCCCTCTCCGCTTCGCAACTCCAGATCCAGTATAGATCCATCGGCACCACGCTCAAAGCAGTCATCTCCACCACTTTGTTGCCTTTTCCAGCTCTCTTGTCGACGCCGACAAGCAACTCGTCGAGACCGACGACAGACGTGACGAGAGCCCGTCTCGAGTCGACTGCTTTGCAGCGCCGCCGCCTCTGCGCACGCGCGATTGCCTGACTGATTGACCCGGGCGCTGCCTCGACCCGCCAAGCCGCCCGCCCCCTCGCCTCCTCCCACCTCGCTCTCGCCCACCCAAACGGGGCAAACAGCAACAACTCGCACCTCGCGTCGCCGCGTCTTGCCCGCACCGCCGCTCGCCGCCTGCAGCCCCCAGCCCGCCGTCGCCGACGTACCCCAAAGGAGAAACAATGGCCGACATCACCGACCAGCACGACCAGACGTCGCCGACCGACCTCGACGAGTCGCACTCGGTCGGCAATGGCAACGCCGCCGCCGAGAGCCGCGGCATCAAGCGCCAGCGGCCCTCTGCCGCCGACGACGACGATGATGACGACGAGAAGGGCGGCCGCGAGCGCCGCAAGATTGAGATCAAGTTCATCAGCGACAAGTCTCGCCGGCACATTACCTTTTCGAAGCGCAAGGCCGGCATCATGAAGAAGGTGCGTCGCGACCCTCGCCAACCCTCTCCCAGACCCCTCCCTTCCTCGCCAGCGCCCACCGCGTCGATGCATCGCGCTCGGGCGCTGTCTCGACGCGGCGCCAAGTCCCTTCATCATCGATGCGGTGGCGCGTGGATTTGCGTCACGTCTCTTTCCTACGAACGCGTCTGCTAACTTGCATTTTCTCCCGCAGGCATACGAATTGTCCGTTTTGACCGGCACGCAGGTCCTGCTCCTGGTCGTCTCCGAGACTGGCCTCGTCTACACCTTCACGACACCCAAGCTTCAACCGCTCGTCACTAAGGCTGAGGGCAAGAACTTGATTCAGGTACGTAACTACCCCCACGCGTTTGCGTCGCATTCAATCCATTTGCCTTTTGCTTTTTGGCTGGCTCGTTGCTTTGTATTCCGTCCAGACCCGCTCTGCGGCCTGTCGCGTCAAGCCTGCGCCTGGGCCGCCCGTTGTTATGTTGCGGTTTGTGAATCAAGCGCGTGTCGGCAAGGCATAGCATGCTTTTACGCTCGTACGATAGGCTCATCTTGCTGACAACGGAAACCTAGGCGTGTCTGAACGCTCCCGAGCCGACGCAGGGCAACGAAAACGGTGTCGACGGCGGTGATCAGGTCGAGTCCCCCGAGGAGTCAGCCGGGCAGCACATCCCCCCTCAGGGCAGCCGCCCCGGAATGCCCCAGAACCCGCACATGCCCGGCAACTACATGCCCAGCATGCCCTTGGATCCCCAGCAGGCGCTCGCGTACCAGAACTATGTACAGCAGCAGCGCAGCCAAGGGTACGGGTCCGGAATGCCGCCGCAGGCTGGGATGCCACCCAGCAGCCACCATCAGTCATAAGGGGGAGGGCAAGTCAAGAGGGGATGCTCGATGGGTCGTTTATACCCGGCTTCCGATGCTCCATGGGAACGTCGAACGACCACGGCCGTCCTGCTCGCGCGCGCTGCCATATTCTGCGGGGCTCTGGTGATTTGGCGTTGATGACGAGTTGGTACGCTGATTCGATGTTCGGTCTATACTTGTTCCTGGTTCTCTTAAACACAGAAAAAATGTCTGCCGGGACCCCGCGTCTCGGCTGTGTCTTCGTCGCGTTGGTTTGGCTCAGAATTCTGCCGTAAAGGACGACGAGGCGCTACTGGCCGGCCCCGCCACGTCCATCGCAGGACGAGGAGCGGCCACGTTCGGATGCTTGGGTCAGGGGTGGACAAGGCTGCCGGTTCCTGTGAAGCGTGTGGGTGTGGAAGCCACGCGCGATCACGTTGGCGCATTGAGGGTCACGGACGACGGGCGGATGGATGGGATGCTAATGGAGGTACTTAGGTTTGAGGTCAGAAGGCTGAGAAGCCACGGCTGGTTTGCACGGCCGCAACACGGGGCAACAATGTTGTCCTCTTCTTCTACAAGTAGGCGGCAGGGGCGGCGATTTGACGGTCGCAAAGGTCAGGGTGCTACGACAACGGCGCATTCAATGGAAGTATCGTATTCTTTGGGTCCAGTGAACACGGCACACGGTGACAGTAGTACGCATCAAGAGAATTGCCAGTGCTTTGTAGTTACAAGCCATTTTGTGTCGAGAATCACGGGCCATTACACGCGGAGCTGGCCACAGGTGGCCGTGTAAGTCGGTCGAGTCATGGCGCATTTCCCATCCTTTTTTAACCTTTTTGGAGGAAACAGAAACACCACTTCCCCTTGTAGACAAGCGTATGGGCCGTTCGTTGTTGGATCGGCGGGGTGTCGGGAGGGAACGAGTCGAAATCTGATGAGATTTGCGGGATTGAGGGGGGGCCATTTCCGGGGAAGGGGAGGGGGGTGGCAGATCTGGGGAACAGGCGGGCGGGCGCGCGGGCGGAGGAGAGAATGGGAGAGAGGGATGGGAGGGCAAAGATCGCCTTGGCGAGGCGGCGGCCCATGCCTGATGGAGTAACCTCCCTGGAAGGGGGCATCGCGCGCGCAAGCGGGAGCGGGAGCAGGCGAGACATGACGAGGCCGATGGGTTTGAGTTTCTTTAGGCAGCGGGGACGAAGGGACCCCGGATCCAAAAGTAAAGAAAAAAAAGCAAAGCGGTACAGTAGATACTGTAGCCCGAATTACGAAGTGTGTGATTCTCTTGTACGGCTTTGGAGGTGAGATTATAGGCGAGTACTCGTAGCAGGGCAGGCTGCTTCGTCACCGCGGAACACTAGGGTTCTTCGCAACATGTCGGCACGATCTGATCTGTCTATGGCCTTTCCGCCACGGCCCCCTTGTGCGTACAGCGTACAGCGCTGCGAACTGGTGATTGATCATTGCTGTTTTGGTGGTTGTCATTTGGTCACGCGCGAGGGTTGTACGCCCAAGCTCCGAGGGGGGTTAGGCGGGTACAGCGGCAGGCGGGTACGACATCCGGATCGGGCATGGGGAGAAAGTTGCCATTTCGGGGCGAGGCGCGGGACGTGATTGGGGAAAAAAGGGAAATAGAGAGAACAATGGAGGAATAGGACGGGCTGAGGCGTCTGGGATGAGCATACACGGACTACGTAGGAGGATCACCCGTGGTGGACGGAAGACGAAGGGTGAAGGGTGGTGGGATTTTGGACCCGGCGCGATGCTTGTAAGTTGTCGAGGTGGGCGGGCATCGCGTTCAGCGTGCTCGGCACGGAGGGGCAAAGACATGGGCATGGGCATGGGGATGACTGGAGGAGCAGTGCCAACACGCAGAGGATGAGGTTTTGATGCGCGTGTGAGCGAGTGCTGCCCGACCGGGCCGGGAAGAGAGGACGGACTGAACGAGTGTTGGCTGGATCTCGTCCACGTACATACATGCAAGCATACATACAGTACAGTACCGTGGTGCGAGGCCGCATTTCCCCGCGGACGGATCGAGCCCAACATGTGACGACAGCTCTGACCCGAACCCTGATGATGCTGCTCCGCAAAAGTCCGCGGAGCGGGGGAACCAAAGCTCGACAGCAGCAATCGGGGGGCGGCCATAGCTTCACGTTGGGGAGGGAGGGGGGCGATGACCATGGCCCTTGAGAGGTGACGTATCGCATCGGGCGCGCACAGACGACGACTCTCCATCTTGCAGATTTTTTAGGCGGGGGGAGTTTTGACCCCCAACGCGTTGCTTTTGCTGCTGCTGCTGATGAGGATGATGCGACGTGATGAGACGTGTTGAGAAGGGTCAGCGGAGAGGCCAGATGGCGACATGTGTATGCGATATGTGCTGCTGCTACTGCTACGCGAGTGCGTGCGTACTGTATGCGACGGTACGTGGATGGCATGACGGGTTATCACCACGACACGGCCGAGGGCGTCATGGCAGTGGCACGTGTCGATGTTGTGAACGCACGGGACTGGTCATGTGCTTATCACGATGAGCCATCGCCGCATGCTCTATACGTTTATTCTGCACACTGTACAATACAACGTAAGCTGTGCGCAGAGTTTGTTATCCTCAAGATTGAGGAATGTACTAGACGGGCCGAGTGCGGAGGTCATCATCATCATCATGGTGCGAATTATACATAATAGTTCCTTGTGGGATACAGTACAAGTGGCTTGCTGCTGCACATGACTTTGACTGGCTGGCCCATCGTTGCCTACTCCTCGTATCCTCCCTCATATTATCTCCTATCTGCATGCAGCAGCATCAGACATGAAACCTCTTATACATAATGAAAAGCCAGCTCCAGGCGTGAGCAAAGTCTCGGGCACCAGGGTAGCCCGCCTTGTCTTGACGTTCGCCTGAGGGAGGCATGCTGCTGCACCTCCGACCTCTGACTGGTTATTTTTAACTTTATACCTCATTTAAAATCTTCCGTCTTTTATGTCTCAAGTGTGTTATCTCGTAGTTGCCTTGCCGGTGTGACGTGGTTCCGTGCTGCGGGCAGGCGACCTGTGTCTTTTGCGGCGGCGCCTCTTCATAACGGCTGCAAAGGGGCACGTAACCTAGAATGGATGACGTTCGTGTACTGATAAGGCTGGAGGTTGGAATATTCTGGAAGAACCAGCGAAGGAGGCAATGTATGAAAGAACCTTGATGCTGCCCATGGAGGCAGCCAATACTGATACGTGCCGTCCGACACTCCCGGCTCATCGACCGCTGACAACAATTGTCAGGGTTCAGGTGCTTTTAGGCTGGCATAGCAAATAGATCAGTGATTGGTGATTCACGCGAGCTCGATGATCTGTAGGGACGCAGTGGCATCCGGCTTCCTGTTCGTAGTATGAGTGTTTCATTACACATCCTGATTCTCGGCACGTTGGCAGTCGATGTGTACGAGATACATCCTGCGGGCCACTCGCACGGAGAAACATGACACTGAGGTTGTTCAAGTCGATCTGACAACTTTTCTGAGGCTGAATGCCGGCCTTACAGCCAGAATGTCCTCCGCTGGAACTGCAAGTGTCTACTCAACGAACCACTTTGGCATGCTTGATCCATGTGACACACGTGCCGGCCACATAGTAGACTCGTGCGACTGCAGTACTTTTGGAGCCACTGGCTGCATGACAATGATAGCCTGCCAAGTAATACATACCTTGCATAATGACGGCATCTTGAAAGTGTCGTGGCAGGCGCCAGACTTGGAAGTACATGGGAATATATCGCCTATAGCCCCGCACGTGCCAAGGGAGCTCGACTTTGACAGCCCTTCTACTTACTTCTCTTTATTGCCTTTTCTGAACCTTGTTTTCCGCCCGAAATGGAGACCCGCGTACGCTGGTCAATGCCACGCTGGTGCCGTCGCTTCATGCACCAACGGCGTGGACTCCCTGTAGCCCACGCGAGGTTCTGGAAAAGTGGCCTCACTGACGGTAGGTAGTCGTACCCCGCCTGACTCACCATCTCTGGTGTCTCTGCACATGAGTCTGTGGCATGGTAGAGCGAAATTGAGAGGTGAAAGATGTGATTGATGGGTTATGCGGCTTACACGATGAGAAGGCACCTCGAAAGAGGCACTCACTCGGTCGTCATTCGTGTGGTTGGATGCTGATTCAGCAACGTTGGCGGAGCTCTCGGGCCGGGTACTGGGGGGCGGGCAAGGCGGGTTGCCGGTCGTGGGTGGCCCCGCGCTAGTGCCTGTCGCTGAGCAGATAAGAGCAAGTTTCCCGCCTCCCAGGTACCTGTACCCGCGGTACCTCACCTCGCGTGTCCCTGGTGGAGGAAGCGACAGCGACAGCAGCCCGAACGGTCCATCAAGCTGGCTTCATCCGGCGACAAGAGGCACGTGCGACATTCCAACAAGGCACCAGCAGAAGAGACAGAAAAATGCTTCTAATAGTATTCCATATTGCGATACAGTACCTACTACCCGGTAGATAGACTCGCCGCGCCGCAATTGCCTGCCGTTCCTTGTATGATGATGCCCGATTGCAACTGATTGCCCTGAACGCCTGCTAGATAGTGTAAGAATGTGTGGGAAAAGACCGCTTGGTGTATGCCGAACGCGATGCTGCTTGCTGCTGTCGCCGAGGGAAGAAAGACGTTTAAGTCCTCTAGTGCTCGCCCACGCCGCTGTAGCGACCGACGGCGAGGCTGCCGATGAAGACGCCCGCAAGGACGGACATGAAGTAGCCGACATTCATGGTCATGACGGCCAACATTCTGTATCCGAGTCAGTCAGCTACTTCGGCTCCGACAAACACAGGAACAGAACGGGAGAGAAGACGGGGGAGCAACAACGCACAGCAGGTATCCGACGCCCACAATGACCGTGTCCATGACAGCGCGGACAGGGTCGACGCTGAACCGCCACGGGCGCGCGACGTGGCCCCTCCGCTCCACGACGCAGACCGACTCCTCGACGCCGTTGACCGACAGCGCGACGTGCTGCTTGGCGTCCGGGTCGCGCGAGAGCGCCTCCGCGAGCGACGCCTTGCCGGGGGCGGCGACGTAGCGGCGGCCGAGGTCGCGGTCCAGCCAGCGGGCCTCCTGGAGGGCGCGCGCCGCGAGCAGCAGGCGGGCCACGACGGCGAGCACCACGAGGAAGATGCAGGTGCCGGCGTAGGCGCCCGCGCTGCCGGGCGTCCACGCGCTCGAGTAGAGCGGCGTGGCCGTTTGCGTCTGGAAGACCATGGCCATCATCATGGAGCCCATGGAGCCGTCGTGGCCGCCCGACGTGGACGAGTTGCCCATGTCGCCCATGCCGTCCATGCTGTGGCCCTCGTGGCGGGGGAACGACGGTGACGAGGACGATGCCATTGTTGCTGGTGTTGGTGCTGTGCTGTGCTGTGTGTGTATGCTCGTATGCGTATGCCGTTTGAAGAAGCGGTGCGTTCGCTACCTATCCGCCAAAAGAAGATGGAAAGTAGCAGTTGCTTTTTGTTGTTTGTTGTCGTATTGCTCGCGCTGGTCTTCAATGTCTCGTTGTCGATTCCTCAGCCAGACCGAAGTCCACGGGCGCCCGCTCGCAGCTATAAATGGAATCTCCTCCCCGCTGAGACGAGGAACAAATGCTGCGCAAGTTTTCCTTCCTCCGCACCCGCCAGTGTCTGAGCCAAGCACGACAGAAATGCGAAACGGGCTCACGAAACCCGCCAAAAAAAAAAAAGGACTGCCGGGTGGTCGGTGGTGAGAATCGTTTTGCGGTCGAACTGCTGATGATGCGACACACGGCCTTGGCTGAGGGAGGAGGGGGCGGGCGCTTTTTGTTTCAACTGCTGGTGGTGGTGGTGCTTCGGTCGTGATGCTTGACGAGGTACGTTCTTTACTTGCTCGTCGAAGTGGGGAGGCCCCGGACCCCATTCAGCTCCCCCTTAACACCCGAGCAAAGAAATTTGTACGACGCGCTGTTAGCGAGGCGAAGGGTGAGACCCGCGCGCCCCAGCTTTGGTGGGCGGGAGGTGGTGTACCGGTACCTTTGTGAGGTACCTCCCTGCCATGCCCTGCCTGTCTGCAGCGCTGACCTGCGTGTAAGCCGTGCTGCCTCAGTCAGTCAGCACTGCAGAACTTGACGGCAACCTTTCAACCAACAATGAACTAACGTTCACTTGCAATCAAATCCCAGCACCGGCTCGTCTCACTCCCGTGAAACACGCTCGCCGTCTCGACGTCCCCTCCCCCCCGGGGGGAGAGCGAGCCATATAGAGCACGTTTGCAACGGCCGGCCCTTAGTTCAGGTCAGGTCAGGGCATTCCCTCCTCCTCCTCCTCGTCAATCCCACGGCCACGACATCCCGAGTACCTACGCCGCGCTCGCTCCCGATCTTGACCGGGGGCCAACGACACGTCGTCAGCCATCCCCAGATCTCGCAGCCGTCGACTGCCAAAAGTCCCCCTCCCCCCTCCCCTCTGCGCAAGTTGCCTGTCTTCCCGCGCTCGGCTCGTCGCCGCTCCGGACGCCATCCCGTCGACCAGCCGGTCAGACCGCAGGCACATCACAGGGTATGGTAGCAGCCGCAGCCGGCAGCAAAGAGAAAGGGCTGGGTGGGTGTTGAGCCAAGGTGTGGCGCTGTGTGATCTACCCAGAACGTGCGGCAAGCCTCGCGAGACCCTGGCCTGACACGGCCAAGAGGAAAACTAACTCACGGCGCTGGGCAGGGGACGCCGTCTTAATTTCCACGCAACCTCGATGGCAATGGCGAGACCGAATCGACGGCACTTGGGTCGCGGACTTATTGCAGATACGAGCAACTATGCGATTCATTCGCGACGACTTCGCCCGGCTACGGTATGAGGGCGCTCCCGCTACGTTCTCAGCTAAATTACTTGCTGGCTTGTCCAAGCCTGCATGCGAGACAATGCCGACAACATCTCCCAGCAAAACTGCGTCTGTTAGTAGTAGTACTCCCCGGTCGCACGCAGCCCTCCCTCCCTCTATCTACACGAATCACACTCGTGTAGAATTGGACCTCCCCTGGCAGCCCGAACCCGGGTCCTTCATGTGCTGCGCTAGGTGCGCAGAAACCGCCGCCGAAGCCTCCGCCTTCTGCGTCGAGTTGGCCGGCAGCTCCGACAGGCGATAGCACATGACACCCAGCGTGATGCTCACGTCTGCTGCAAGCTTACCTGCGTCGCCACTCTCCGTCAGCATGCTGTCTAGCCAAGGAAAGAAGGGAGGAAGGTGGAAAGGGGACGGCGACGCTCCAACGCGTTGCCGTTCACATACACCAGTTGGTCTTGTCGCAGCGCTCCTCGGCGCAGCCCTCCATGCCGGAACCCATCTTGCCGATGCTGCCGCAGAGGCAGGTGATGTTGTTTGCCGCCGCGCAGGACGTCGCGGCGACGCCCGGGGCCCAGCACGACCAGCCGCAGTCGGGCATGTGGTCGAGGACCTTGGCGACTGTCGGCTCGTAGAGGATGCCTCGGGACGCCATCGCTCCGGGGATGAGCGCGAGGAGGGAGCTCGTCTGGGGCTTCATTTCTGCGTGGCTGCCGTATGCGTGGTGAGCTGGTCCGTAGAGAGGGCAGTAAAGGTTGGCTGGACAGCTCCTCGCGTAACATATATACTTTCCGGGAGGGTCCCCGCCGTCGAACGTGAATCATGGAAAAACGATGCTCGAGTCCATCTCATGGAGGACTGGCGAGAATTGCAACAGTAGACCAGTGCGATGCTGCAATGTTGGGGCAGGCATCCATCCCACACGGCGCGTAACTTACGGCCGCGTCTGCCGCAACATGTTCCTTGGGTGCAATAGTCGCGTCAACATGGTAATGTCAAGTTGGTGCTGCAGAGGCAAACGTTTCCGTCTCCGTTTGCACCGCGCTGCTTCATGTTAACGCGCCTTTCCTTTGAGATACTCACCAACCACACGATGCACAGACATGGCACGTCAAGAGTAATAACCTCGTCTGCTGTATTCCATGTCAGTCCGTAATCTTCCAAGCTAGCAAAGTTGTCGACATGATTCCTCTCTGAATACAGCAGCGAGATGAACTCAAGGGGGGCGGAGGGGGGACTTATGGGTGGAGGGTGAGAACCGTAACCAGACGCAACAAACCCAGCGCAACAAAACTAAACCTCTCCGGCCAGACCATCATCAGCAAGGACAACAATCAAGGGCAAAACAATTAGCAATCAGTAACTTCCAGCGTCATACCTCCCTCCCCTCCAACCTTTCCCCCTCCGCAAACCAAAAAGAAACCCGGGTCACCTTATTCGATAACCTCCTTGTTCTTGAGCATGTCCCAGGTGGGCTTCGGCCGGATCGAAAGCTCGACGCTCTCGAAGCGTCCCTCGGCCGCCTTGCGGGCGGCGTACAGGCGGGCCGTGTCCTCGACGTCGCGCCAGTCGGAAACGGCGGTGCCGATGGAGAGAAGCGCGCCGGAGCGGCCGTTGACCTCGAGCTGCTCGCGCGAGTCGGCGTGGAGGCGCTCGAAAACGTCGGCGACCCAGGTGCGGCAGCGGAAGCCGTCGGAGCTGCACGAAGGGCGGTAGTTGTGGTCGAGGACGCCGCTGGCGGCAGAGTGCTGGACGGGCGCCGACGCGGACGCGATGCCGGTGAGCGTGGTAGAGCGGATGAGAGTGCGGAGGCGGCCCTCGTTCTCGACCTTGGCGATCAGCACGCGCACGAGCAGGTTGGCCGAGACGCGGGGGTCGGGGAGCGGCTGCTCCTCGTAGATCCAAGCCGAGCCAGGAGGATTCTTGACATGGAAGCGGGTGCCCTCGGCGGGATGGCCGTCCTTTTCTTCGACCTTGGGCGACATAATCAGGGCCCAGTGGTAGCTGCATGCCCAAGGCATAGTCGGTCAGCAACAGATCGATTGAAACTCATGAGAAGGAACCAGAGGTGTTAGAGAAAAGAAACACATACCGGCGCTCTTCATTGCCAACGACGCCGCTCGGGTAAAGAGCCACGTAGAGGCGCTTCTTGTTGCTCTTCTTGCAACCGAGTCCGGCCACGGGGAGACATCCGGCAGGAGCCATGTCGTCGACGTAGTCGTTTTTTCGTTTGCGTTTGCGTTTGCGTTTGTTGTCGTCGCCGTGGGCGTTTGCTTCGCACTGTAGAAACAGGGGCTGAGGAACCCGCTGCAAACGCGCAAGGGCGTGGGATACTCACTGGTAACGACAAGAGATACCAGGCCTAGGGCCTTGTTGCTTAGCGTTGTGCAGATGGTTGAGCGTTGGTGTTGGTGTGCGTGGATGCGCGAATGCAGCTTGCCTGACGCGAGCGGGGAGAGACGTGAGAGAACGGGAGAGGTTGTTTGAGAGAGGTTGAGTGAACAGGGCACCGGCCGCAGCGACGAGTTTATATACGGCGGCTGTGAGCTGTGAATGGCTAGTGTTGTCATGGCCAGACAGGACCAGCTGGCAGCCAGCTGCGCGGCCTGCCGGCTTGTGCCATGCCCTGCGACCCTTGGCTCTGCGCGGGAGCTGTTCAGTGCCTGTTGCTTAGGGGACACGGGCCCGCGTTCAGGAGCTGAGCCGGCCGCAGGAGAGGGCATTCCCCTGAGCGCGACGCGAGGCCTCTGCCAGCGAGCGGTATACCTGGCGGCTTCTCCATGGCCGTCTCGACGCAGTCTGGCTGGACGTGTTGGGCATTTCGGAGACCTTGGTTGGCGGCTTGGACGATGGTCCTGTGAGTGGTTGTCTCTGCCCATCAGTCAAGCCGTCACGATCCGGTGGCACTCTCGCCTCGACGGATTGCCTGCGTTCCCATCCAGCTCCGCAAGCCCTCTACCATGCCTAGCCTTCGCACTCGCGAGGGAGACGGCCCCGCACAGTTATCACGGCCGCTCTGCAAAAGGGGCGTCGTGTCCAGCTCAGAATTCCACCTCTACGAAGCTCAACGGCCCGACGCCGTCCTGCACGCGGCCCTTGTCAGTCGATTGACCGATGAGATGGCAAGGGCAGTAACCACGCCAAGACGCCAGAAGCAAGGCCACGGCAAGACGAAAAAGTATCGTGGGTATAGCAAGACAGCCATCATCGAAGCACAAGATACCGTCACTGTGCCCGTGCTTCACCGATTCCGTCATTGTCCACTGGCGCATCTCGAGCATCGCCTTCGGACCGTACGGGCGCAAACCAATTCGGCCGACTGTGTGGCATCAGGTTCGGCTTAGCCACGCCTGTCGTGACCATGATAGACCGAGGGGTGGGCAAATTTCAAAGGGCAGATGCGCCGACCTGCATGGTCGCCCAGGCCGCCTCGTTGTCCAGATATGGGGCAGAAAAACATGGCAACCCCGAGATTCCGTCTTGCAGCGCCGAGCATTGCACGATGCGCCCTTGTGCCTGCTTGAACCTAATCCGCCGTTGCGCGTCAAAAGGGTGCACACATGGTGGTCACGATTTCGTTCACATGCACCCACAGCCTCCCTTCAACGAGCTCTAGACTTCAAGGATCACGATTCAGCGCCCAGCAGGTGCAGTGCATGATGCTGACATGGACATTAACTCACGGCCTCTGGCCAACTCGTTCCATACTCACCTCGATGATCGGCAAGCATCAAGCGATGGCCGCGCCCTTGGGATGCCCCTTGACGGCACCGACTACAACCAGTCCTGGACATGCTCCGTCAGCGACATCTTGTCTTGCCTGCCTCCGCCAGGAGGCTTCGCAGAGCCGACAGATAGACGACAAAAATAGAATGTGTAAGAGGTCGCCAGGGTTCGTTGGGGCCTGCTGTTGTGTAACCTCTCTCGGCGTACTTTGTAAGCCCCGTCCCGCAGCGCAGTTGCCCGAGACGCCGAGGAAGGACAACAGACAATGCCGGGTCCATTCGATCAAGCCTCAAGCAGACATCAACTTGTCCTCATCGGATAGCGAGACTCCCGGGGTCGCCTAGACTAAGGCATTCACGAGCAAACGTTCGCGCCGAGACATGCAAAGCCGTCACCCTTGCCGTCCGCCACGACGGGATGAACCAGGTGGATCGGGTGTGGCTCGCCCCGTTGCCATATCGCCCGCGCCGAGAGTCGCGTTATGCACTCGCCCGCGAGGATCCATCATTGCCTCTGTTTGTGCTGGGGTGTCCTGGGTCGATCGCTTGCTGCTCCGCTTCTTTTACCTAGGTTTAGGCTGGACTGGCGGATTCTGCTTTGGTGTCTCAACTATATCTCCCCAGGCGAACATGGCCAGCGCTTCGTCGCAAGTCGTCGTAGCGCTTGCGCAGCCGGAAAAGCCCAGACTGAAAAAGCAAAGACAAGGGTCGCCGGCCGGCCCGTCCACACGGGATGCGAGTATCCGCGCGAGAGCCTAATTCGACGACGCGAGGACCCCGAGCCCCAACCCCGTCTCCGCACAGTTCTGCACTGGGTGGGAGGCCATTTGTCCCACGTCAACTGCATGTTGGTCCGGTGCAGAAGGGAGGCTGGCCCGATGGAGACGTCCGAGCCGGGGGTCGCATGAAGAGAGAGAGAGCAAAAAGGGGGGG